CGCTCGCACAATACTCGAGTTTGCTAGCACGACCTCGACTTCCTCGACGTGGTCGAGCGCCAGACCCCACTGGCGCGCTGTCGGACCCAATCCGCCCATTGTCAGGTGGCCGCCTGTCCGAATGGTCGGACAGATACCGTGCGCCATTGCTCGATGGCCCGCATTGTACAGCGCGGTATCGAGGTCGCCTAGTGTGATTCCGGGTCCGATGGTCGCGATATTGGTCGACTCATCCATGGAGAATTGGTTAAAGTGCTTCATTTCGACCACGATGGCCCCGTCTTCTCCCCCGAGGCCTAGAACAGACGGTTAGCGGACTGTATATCCGAGACTGCAAGCTACCACCGTAGCCAGTCATACATACCATAATTGCCGAAACTGTGTCCTCCACTGCGCGCTTGCACCTTGTAGCCATATTCAGAGGCACATTGTACCACCGCAGCTATTTCCTCCGCTGATTGAGGGTATGTGACTGCCGCCGGAGTGACCGGGATATTCAAGTTGTATGGCTCGACTGCGGTAACCTGGTACAACAGCTGATCTTGGAAAGCGACATGAGCATGATTCCCCCCAACGGCGGATAGTAAACAGTCACGCCCTGCGGCGATACTGGTGGTATTGCCCATGATGCAATTCCGAAGTCAAAGTCGTACTGCACGGCATTGCGAAAAAAAAGCCCATGGTCCCACGCGCTACGGGGCCCCTTTTTGTACCTGCAGTCGGATTGCGCAGGATGTTCATGTCTAGCTCTTAAGCTGCCGACTAACTAGAAGACTAGTACTAGATAGTTAGTGATAGGCATGGTCAGTTACTACCTCACTGAAGTGTCCCCGTATGCTAAATAAGAACGGGCATAGCTTGCCCTAGGGCCCACTAGGGATTACACCGAGAATACCCCACTTAGCAGAAACGAGGATTAGAAGGATCAGAAGGATGAGCGTGATAGTGCAGGAATGACACAAATGATGGTACTATCTTAGCAGTATTCTCATCAGACAGAGAAATTGTGGCTTGGATGCAAGTAGGCTAAACTAGTCCTCAGTATCTTGATGGGTAGCCAGGGGGGTATGGACTCGTGTTTGTTGATCATTATAAACACTAAGCACCCTAGTGACACTAACTAATACGGAGTACTATGTTTAGATAGGATAGTCAGGAACCAGTGCACAGTGCGCTGGTATTTTGCGTTAGTACTAGTATGATACTTACTAATGATCTCCACTTATTTGTGCGGTCTTGGGGCCCATGAGAGTTAAGCAACCGTAGAGTAAACATGCAACACGTTTATATCTCTATAGAACTTAGGCTGGCCTCAGGAAAGAGAATTCCAGTTGGCCACGAACTCTGAATATAGCCCTAAACTATCCATGGCTTATCATCTTACTAGATTTGTGCTCACAACTAGATAAGATCCTATGTCAAGACTTGATATGTACATTTGAAAAAGAGTCATCACTAACATCGCAGAAGTCTTTATTGGAGAACAATTGAATCAGTCCTGCCTTCTCAACGTGTTCTCAATCCAGTCAGTGTCCATATCAATATCGATCTGACCAAGGACTTCTTCCCACAATCCCGGGTCGTCGTTGATATCAAGATTGAACGTGATATGCTGCTGGGATGGCCAGTCTGAGGGACCGACCCTTGGATCATCGTGTCCTATACCGATATCTTGAGGAGGACTACGCTGCTGACTGCTCCTAGGTGTCACAGGAGCATTGAAGTCAACCCTCTCCTCGGCCACTTGATTGGATCCAATGGAGGCCTGAAGTTCTAGCAGCAAGGAGTGACGAGACCCGAGGTAGGTATTCCCTCGATCAGCCATGCTGCGCAACAGATTCAGTGCCATGTCCATTGTTCGGGCATTGGTCTCATTGTGCGGAAAGGCCGCATTGACCATGACCAGCAGTAGAGCGGCCGAGAAAATGTACTCGCCATCCAAGTAGCCGTAGGTTGCTGATCGGTTCACAATGAGCATCACGTTCGGGTTGAGAAGGAAGATATATGAACGTACCCACTAGATTGTGCCTGGCTGCAGCATCCATGATGAGCGTCGTGGCTCGAGCTGCGGTGATGCAGCTCTCAATGACGGCAACTGTGTTTTGCGACAAGCCTGCTTTCCAGTCATTCGCGGCCGGTCCTCCAGTCTCTGCATCCAGTCGCCTCTGGATTACATAGAACACTAGGGGTCTGGCAGTCATGTTGATGCATGAGTAAAAGTGAAGGAATATGGAGACTGATTCGCGATTGATATGCGTGTCTAGCGTGGTAAAATCAATGCGTAGGCGATCTGGCACTTGTCGGAGCCAGTCAGATAGGTCATTTGTAATGCTCTGGACGGATGCCAGGAGATTAGACCCGGATCGGGGCTTCTTGCGGTAGATCTCTATACCGCATGTCAGCATTGCTATTGAACGGGCTAGGTTGAGGAGCTTGCCTTCTCCAATTCTGCCTAGAATGCGAGACAGTCGGGTGTAATGAGTAAGAACGACGGACGGCCACGGAGCTGATGCAGAACCGCCCTGCCAATGGTTAGCAAAGAGTCATTGATTGAATGACGAAAACCGAAAGAACTTAAAGAATAAAGTTTGAGGAGTCATACTTCAGGTATCGGCCATAATGTCCCAATATCTTCATCCTGGATAGTGATTGGATTCCCAGACTTGACAGAAAGTAACCTGCAACATGTCAGCATGCCGCTCCCAGAAGATGTAAGGCGCAGTACCTGTCAAGACTATACACGGACCACCAGGCTCGCCGTCGTCGATAGCGATCCGCATCACTCACATCGGGATGCGATACCTCCTGATGGAGTCCTAAAGAAATAGCCATGCGAAGCGCGAGGCCAATCTACAACCATGTCAGCGGGCCATCAATGCCATTATAAAAACGAATGCTTACGTATAGAAAAGCAGCATCCCGTCGGTTCAGATTCTGCATGTAATAAGCGACATAGCACAGCACCTCGACGAAGAATATCGAGCCTTCCTCATGAATGTCTGGCAGAAAACGCAAGGCATGCTTAAAGTACTTGAAGCCAGGCGGGCCATCGTCACCTGACCACTGGTTCACTGAATACATCAGTCCGTAGGCAATGACAAGCAGGACTTGGCAATAAACGAGGCATGACTCCCGGTTCGAGAAGTCAGGGGGGTGATGATAGACGATATTGAGTCGTTCTTCGAAGTCCTCGGGCTGTATAAGGGAAAAAATAGTTCCAATATAGGCATACTGCACCCAGAACAATCGCTTGGCGAATTCGAATGGTGGCATCTGTGGGAGAGCCCGATTGACGGAACGGTGCAGAGACGAAGGATCATCGTACAGAGGGCGTACGTCCCATGCGAGATTGGATGATGAAGGATGCAGTCGCTTGGCTAGCGCGACCGCCGCAGCAGGGCCAACATAGTCTGAGAGTGATTAGCTGCTATCATGGATGACGCAACCTATGGGACGTACGATGTTCTCCCGATCGGTTTAAGAAAAGATTATCCGTTCCATTATACCACCAGTCATCTCGGTTAGGCGGAGTGCTCTCGCTCGCGTTGCTATAAGGGGTGGGCTGGCTTGGAGTGGAGTGCGATGACAGAGGTGGAAGACTGTGTTCCGACCCTTGTCTTGCAGCTCTAGCTTGCGATTGAAGCTGACGCAGGTAGCTGTTTGACGTACCATTGCGATTAGCACCTTGCGCCTTCCCGACGATTATTCCTTTATATCTCCGCTCCCCTCCTGGTCCGCGTAGTACGGGTAGTCTTGCTCACCTTTCAGATACCGACACACGTTTCTCAGCTTCAGAATACACACATATCTGTCCCGCATCCTCACATGCAGCACAGGGATAGGGTGGTGTGCCAGCGCATCGGGTCTTTCTGCCCCGACATCGATTGCATCTGCCATAGTCGTCAGCAGGTCTTTGCAGAACGGCTGGTGATCATCACGCACGCTATAACAGAACGCGTACTTCCCGACCTGTCTATTGATCGGTTCTGCAATCCACTTCGAGCTTTCCCGTGCGCCATTGGGAAGTATTTGTGGCAGTCAAAGATAGAACATAATTATACTGACTGCCTCCTGCCTTTGGGAGATCAGATAAACTGGCTTGCAATAGACTTGAACTCGTTCGATTGTCCTTTCTTTCACAGCAGGGGCGTTAACAGCCCAGGAAGTGAGCTCAAGGATTCGATTAGTTATGCAATCGAGGTTGACGACGACTATGCGATGTTTGCCGAAGCTCGTCTCATGACCCCACGATGCTCCTTCTCCGATCGGCTTTTTTTAACAGTGTTGTCTCGTTGGACACCCACACTGCTGACCTCGAGGCTGAAAACCTGCTCGTATTTGGCAGACCTTGAAGATAACTTTTTTTTCTCATGAATCAATGATGTCTTCTCCAGATTCCCCGGATTAACCTAATGGCTGCTTGTGGTGTCACGCAGCATGGGAGCTGATAAGCCGTCGGCCCGATGGAGAATGGGGCACGACCAATCCAGTTGGGTCTTGAGATGGACATGACTTAACCCACTGAACAATCAGATAAGACCCAAAGGAAAAGCTGACCAATTACGCAGTACCTAGGCTTACCTGTGCTGCTGGTGACCTTCGAGGCTTCAAGGATTGAGACTGGTCGCCTGGGGAAAACAAAAAGAAAAACAAAAAATGAGGCACTGCCCTTCTCCCCGGTTCTTTTTCTCGGTTCGGGACATCGCGGTTAAACAAGGAGATGTAGTGGTGTCATGCCGAGTTGTTTCATCGAACTCTAAAGTCGGTTCTCTACTGATTTCTTCAAAGGAGAACAAAGCCCACAGGTATGGTTCAAGCTCCATTTCGAAAGATGTCCCAGGCAAATGGCTGTGCTTGCGATTTTACTATTGATTCTCTGCGTGTTCGGCGGAATCTTGTGGAACTATACGCGGCTAAACTCAATCCCCGGCCCATTGCTTGCGGGTCTATCTGATATTTGGCGGGAGTGTCTTAAATCGTCACCACGATATGCTTATCGCATGGAGCGTCTTCATCGCAAATATGGCGGGGTGGATCGCATAGGGCCGAAGACGATCAGCGTCCCTGACCCCTCCACCGTTTTCTGGCTGGACGCCGCCTGTCAACAAACGTCGAAGGTATTCATCACTTCCTCTCCAAGTAGATGGACTACAAGCTGAGATTTATGAAGCCGTTCCTTGATAGCTATGTGGATGAACCAGAAGGAGGGACTGTCAATACTCGACTCAAAAGCAATCATCGTGTTTACCTAGACGGACAGACCGACGACGGACCTCACCATCATGATAAAATCGAGAACCTGGTTCTCGACTTTCTCAGAGCCATTCGAAATCAGCGTACTTCGAAACTGGCCGTGTTCCGAACCTTCGCGACAGACATTGTTAGACGCATGTTCGTGGACGACCTTGACAATGAACGAGCAGCAGCCATGGGTACCGGGACAAACCCTACGAATAGATGCCGATTTACAGCGTCTCTGGAGCATATTATGTTCAAGAGCCCAATTGCTATGCTAAAGCGCAAACGCAACAATAGCCTAACATGGGTTTCTTGCACAGGGACCTATTCCGGGTGGAACGATGCGTCTATCTTCGAAGTCTTGCCGGAGACTGGCAGGAGACCATTCCTGCAGGCAGGAACCCGTGAAGATTTGGATCCGCACGCCTCTCTGATTGCGAAAGGAGCGGACTGTATGATTACCGCATTCGTTTCAGTGTTTCTCCATTTGGTCAAGTGCCCTACGGCTATGTCTCGACTCAAGCACGAGGTAGACATCGCATTTTGCAAGGAGGCTTTGTCTGATATTCTTCAGAAAGGGACGGAATTACACACCCTACCATTCCTGGATGCTGTCATGAAAGAATCGGTGCGACTTGCCATGAGATTCGATCCTCGAAGAGATGTTCCTGGGGGTGGTATAGCAGTCCTGGGACATCACCTTCCTGAAGGAACGGCCGTTCAGTTTCATTCAGAGACTCTAAGTAATAATCATACCATCTTCGGAGAAGACGTCTCTTCTTTTCGGCCTCAGAGATGGCTACAGGCCGACTTGGGCCGACGGCAACTGAGACGGATGGAGGCAGCATTGTTGGTTCTGCGACCGAATATGCCAAATTCTGCAAAAGCTCGAGCTACTTGGCTAGAATTGAAGCGAGCAGCTGCTCTGATCATCTGGAAGTTTGATGTAAGTGCAGTTGGCAGTCTTGCAGATGTCAGACTAATATATCTTAGTTGCATCCTATCAATCTTGATGAGGTTTCCATTCTTTCCATCCAAGATGCCGCTTCTCCAGAGCAAGGATACAATATCTTGGTGAACTTTACTCCTAGAATGCATTAATTCGAAATATGCCAAAAATAAACAATTGCTCAGACATCATTAAATACAGTTGTCGCCTGGGATACAAGACGAGGCTGCGGGCGGCACATGCCCGAGGTAGTTCTATGGACGCTCACTCCCCCTTCACCAGCCCCATCTTCTCATTTTCGGCCTTGCTTCGCTGACTCCATTCCGGGGCCTCATCTTCACCCTTTTCTTCCTGTGCATCTCCTTCTGCTTTGGTCTGGTGCATAGTACTCGGATAATGCTCGGCAGGCGCATAGATTGTCACCACTTCCAAGGGGACATCGCCAATGTTAAGAAATTGATGCTGGGTACCTGCGGGAACGATGACGACATCGCCCTCCTTGATCTCCTGCTCCTTTCCAGCAACGATAGCCTTTCCCTTTCCGTGTGTGAAGATGAGCGTTTGGTCGACAGTGTGAATCTAAAGGTCATTAGCTTTCACCGAGCCATCAAAGGTTGAATGCAAAGACGAACCTCATCTCCGATCTCTCCGTTCACTGGTACTTCCATAGCAACAAACTGGGAGTACAAGCCTGTATGTAGTACTTTGCGGAAAACGCCAAACTTCCGATTGGGCGACATCACGCCGGGAAGATAAACCATTTCATTCTTGGGCGGCTTATCAGCCGTATTGCCGTTGAATTTGTGGAAATTGGACATTTTTCCGACGCTGTGGTGGAAGCCTTGATGAGGGTGGTTCTTGCAGTAGATGCTAGATGCGAAGGGCACTGTGTTCAGGCCAGAGTGAGTCCCGCGAATTATACCAAATTGCCGCCGAAGTAAACTCAGTCCTCGATGCATTTTATAGTATTCAGCGCTCTTGAGAAATCGGATGTCATCCTTGACACTGGCTTATCTTATACACGGCGTCTAGACTTGTTGACAAATTCGACCGACCAGGCCGAGGCAATGGTGACGTAAGGAGCAGATTTCTTGATGCGTTCATCCGTTGCCTACAGACAGGAACCGGTCCGATGATGTATATCCAATCTTAATTGAGTATTGAACGATCTGATCGCTCGATAGCCTGTTTTATTGCATCAGTAGACGAAGAGCGTTAGATGGTGATGATCGATGTCTAGACCGCGTTGTGCCACCACTTTATTATCAAAGCACCAAAGCTTGTTTTACTCATTCCTCCCGTCTACGGCCCCATCCTATCCTCCAAATTTCGGCATGAGATCTTCCCAGGATTCATCAGTTGCTCTATATCTGTAACGTTCCTCCTGTCAGTCCCCTCGTATCGCTCTCCGAGCCTTCCCGCATCCAGCCAGGAAAAATAGTCAGCGCTTCTGGGATTTCTTCTGGGCTCAGAGCTCTATAGCTTATAACATTACCATCTTTATCGACGTTCCGCCACACTCCATGCCGAGGTGGGACTCCGTGGGAGCAGCCCAAGGGGTCTTCTGTAAGGAGCTCAGGGTGGATAATAAGATTGACTTATCTGCGCAGGTGGATCCCCCTTTCTGAGTTAAACTGTTATCACTACGAAGTCTAGATATACCATAAAGCTATCTACTATAGTCTATTGATAACTCTAGCTACTTATTATCTATATATTTTTACAATATATACTATTAAGACCATCATTTCGTCTTGCAACTGTATACATCCTGTTGACTGTATTTAAAATACATCCTCTTGGCACCACCTTTCAACGCGTGCCTCTGTTTCTTTGTTGACTTTGTTATTTGCAACCCAGCTTAGCTCCTGCTTCTCGCGCCATACCTTAACTTGGCAGGGAAGTGCTTCTTCTATAATGAATGGATCCATTACTTGTGTGACCCAGCTATATTTGGCCGCAGGTCATGATTTCAAAGGGGTTTAGATAGGAATCTGAAGAGAAATGCTCGCGCAGGTCTACGCAGTTCATAGATTGAACACGTAGACACTACGCTGTATAGACCATTGTATCATTATTTCCCAGTCGATCTAGACAGAACAGCGACTGGCATAGCTGGGAGCTACACAATGTCGACCTCCCCCATGAGTCTATAACAACTTACAACTACCTTCCCCTTAGCTACGGCCTGTCCTCAGGTCTGGGGTCATAGGAAACCTAAGCTGTCTGAGTTCCGGCTAGGGCAACCGAATACAAGAATCATTAGCTAGAACAAGATGACAGCTCAAGCTATAGGCAATCGATAAATCCAAGCACATCATCATAGAAGAGCACCAAAAAAAAAAAATCTGAGACTCGACAGTCGAACAATCAGGTCAAAGTGGGAACCTGCCAGTTCACCCACGGCTTGCTATCAAACGCAATCCCCGCATAATTCTTCTGCACTGTGGTATTAACATCCATCCCCAGGAGGAACCGATTAACAAACGCAAACAAGTCATCCCGCTGCTGATCTGGAAACGAGCAGTGCGGATGATTCGTCGACATCGAGTACCCCATCCGATCCGGTACCCCCATCGCCTGCCAAATCAATCTCGCCGTCCCCATACATCCCAGCGACGACCACGGGCCTAGCCACTGGTACCCCGCGTTGTCAATGGACAGCAGGCCGCGCGGAGCAATCAACCCAGCCAGCATATGGTGGTCGAACGGTAGTTGGTTCACGTTATTCGCGTAGGTATTGAACGCAGTCGAGAACCAGACATTCTCCTGCACGATCTCCCCCGCCGTCTGCACGTTCTGCGGCGCGCCTTCAGACGCCGCCGCCAGCCGCCAGCATCCTGAACCCCCCGTGCCGGACTCCTGCGGGACGGTGAGTGCAATCCGCGAATCGAATGCCCCAGCGACTAGTGCGCCCTTGCCGTTCCGCGAGCACCCCGTCACCCCGATTCGAGCCGTGTTTATTTTCGCGGCGGGGGTGGCTTCGAGACGGTCGATGATGAGGGATGTGGCCCAGGCCCAGGCCATCATTGCGCCGGCGGGGTGGTTGGCGCCGTACAGGGTGTAGAAGAGGCCCTTCCCCCGACTGCTTTGGTCGTTTTGCTGCGCGATTTGGCTGTTGTCGAAGGTGATGGTTGCTACGCCCGGTGGGAGGGGGATGCTCAGTCCCCCGTAGGCGATCATTGCTGGGTAGGGACCAGCTCCTGAGGAGGGGTAGGTGATGGTTGCTGTGAAGGAGATGGTTTTTCCGGCGTTGGAGGCGGTGATGGTTAGTTTGTTTTGGCTGAAGGTGGAGGTTACGCTGGAGGGAGCGGGAGGCTTGGTGCCGAGTTCGAGCTGCTGGAGGAGGGTGCTAATGTGGCTCTGGCGGCATTGCCAGTCGGAAAGGGTGGTAACACGACCGGACTGCTGCAGCGGATACCACGAGAAGGGATCGGGGAGTGTGCTGATGGCCTGCAGCTGGGGTGATGAAGGGAGACTGGGACAGGTGGCAGCCAGAGCTGGATGGTCAGTAATAGCAACGGAAGACAGAGAGGTGACTTACCTCCCCTGGAGATGAGGTAAAGGAAGACTAAGCAGGAAAGCATCGTTGTGTTGGTGACCCTCTCGATACCTCAGTTATCCTGCGGTTTATATGCTCGAGAGGCATTCTTCCGATCAGCCGATGAGCCTATACAAGGTTTCAGTACCGACATGATTAGGCTAATATCTATGTTACATCGATGATCTACATGACCTTGTGATCGTATTCTGCAAGGATCGTGGAAAAATTGGGGAAATTTAGCATATATACTCCGAATGCACTGAGCTCAGTAATGACAGGTCAATGGTAGGTGGACGGAACCAGCGAGTTGGCCCACACCTCCAGATATGTATAGCCACTACTATGTAGTTTCATAGAATCGTTGGTGTTGGGATCTGTTCCCAGCTGCTTCTCCGCTTCATCAGGGATTCCATCCCCATCAGTATCCTTTGCAGGAGTGCCTCCGTTTAGACTACCTGGTCCTCCCATAGTAGCTTCATCCGAGATCAAAGCACCCTTTGTGCCCCAAGACTGTACTTGCGTGATCAATTGCGTGTCGACACTATCTCTAACCTTGGATGCTCCGGCATCTGTTGAATTTAGTCAGCGATGCTCACCCTGGACGAGGCAAACTCACATTTGGTCACGTAGGTCACAGCTTCAGCTGGGCTCATGGTATATGCCACCGCTGGATAGTTGTATTTAGACGGCACAATTGCCATGCCGCCGTAGTTCGACGACGACACGCCGAGCGCAGAGCCGTCCAGTTGCCCATCCTTGTCAGGGTCATAGTAGTTGTTTTCGACGTATCCGTGGAAGTTTGCATTGCCACGAGTAAACGCCGTCACTGACGTCGAAGGACCGCTGATAAAGTAATTGCCAATAATATTGGCGTCTAATAATTAGCTGGTGCCAACACAGAGGGTAGAGGGACATACAGGATTGACCATCCGAGTCTCCAGCGATGTATCCTCCGCCACCGCCCCAGTTGTACACGACATTGTTCGTAAACTCGTTCACGCCCTTGACCTTGGGATTGCGCGTCTTGTTATCGATATACAGGTTGCGGAACAACGAAACGCCACCGTCGGTCTGAATCAATCCGCCGCAGGAATGCGTCTCCAGCCCTTGCGCAATGATGCTGTTCTGTATGGTGATGTTGCTAGCATCTCCATTGATGGAGAATGTCTCGTCGCGTCCCCATGACACCGAAACGTGGTCGAAGATCATCCTATTTCCTTCGGCGATGCCCATGGCGTCCTTGCCTGAGGAGCCGCCCTTACCCATGCGACTGGAGATGTCAGTAAGCAAATCTAATACATGGTCACCGCGGAAAGCGTAGACATACATCCGGATATATCGCACAATCGCATCATCCGCATTAGAAAATGACCATCCATTTCCATAGACTGTGATGCCGTCTCCAGGCGCCGTCTGTCCCAGTATAGTCACCCGCTTCGAAACCACGATTCGATCGGAGATCTTAATCACGCCTCCAACTGCAAAGACAACGATGCGATCAGTGGCAGAAACAGCATCGCGTAGCGAACCTGTTCCGGAATCATTCAGGTTGGTAACGACGTAGACCTGGCCTTTGCGGCCGCCGATCGCATTGGCGCCAAAACCCTCAGCGCCAGGGAATGCGACCAGCGCCGTGACAGCTTGAGAGAAAGCTGCTAAACTGACCAGAAGAGGAGCGGATAGCTTCATATTGAAGGTATGGTTTATGAAAGATGGATCAAGAAAAGAGGAGCCATTCTTTGCTTATATACCAGAGTTGCAGGACCGAAAAGAATAAAAACACCAAGCATGATTGCTGCAGAAATTCCCCCGTGCCAAGGAAACGCCATCAACCTGGGGAACCTGCAGGGCCCGAGATAGATTAAAAAGGTTCGTGCTGAGGATATTCCGGTCAATCGGAAGACAAGGTTGAAGAACGCGACAATTTAGGCAGTCTAATGAATGGGCCACTACGACAATCGTCTCCACCTATCATGTTCAGTAAGGAGGCCAGCGTTTCGGATAATCCGGCTCATTTGCCGTATCAGTCTCGCCTGAAACAATTCATATTGGACTGTTACAGAGGTGGAGAAAGCCGGCGCCGCTGCTGAGTAGGTTACTCAAGGCTACTTCTCGGAATAGAAACATCGGTAATTCATGGAAGAGGAAGGGTATACAGGGTACCGATTGACCATATAGTTCTATTCAAGGATGGAAGAGGAGAAGAAATGAAATGAACTCTTAAACCATGTTACTTGTACAGCCTGAATGCTTTTACGAAGAAAATCAAGCGGAGAATTGAAGATCAGCGAATGGGACCTATTATCATATCAAGCCATTATCACAGTGCTTGGTAAAGCTTATATGCGTCAATGACGAGCTTTCATATCATAGGGTCAAGGCAGACTATTATATAACAAACGTCTGAGCAAACTAGGGAATCCTTCTTGGTATCACGCTGGAAACAGTGATTCAATCGTGGCACCGGCGACACGGTCTCCTATATTTGGGATCCACTTGCTGACTATCCAATATACTGTGACGAGGGCGATTTTCTCGAAGACTGCGCTGGGGCCAACCAGTTTCTGGATAGTAGGAGGAAGAAAAGACCAAACATAATACCAAACAATGCTCTCGACAAGCAATCTCCCAAAGCGGACTCTCTGGTTCGGATCAGGGGGTTCTCCGTCTTTAGGCTTGTCGTCTTGTTCAGGCTGGAGGATTTCCGTCTTCACCAACAGCGTCTCGGCGGCGCCGGCAACCTAGGTGTATCAATCAGCAGCTGCAGAAGACGTGCATGGTGACGGTAAATCTTACCTGGAGAATCAGGATGACCAGTGATTGGCCACATACGTCCCCCATCACCGTGGCCAGGATATTTGGGTGTTCACTAAGGTGTAAACGCCCCAAACCTGCACATAACGTGAATGTGAATCCATAGAATCTCTCTGTGATCCGTCCGAGTCCGTATCCTAATCCGCAGACGATAAAAATAATGAAGAATCTACGCAGACTGGTCACACGAGAATGTAGAACCTGCACCTTCGCCTTCTTTGACTGTGAGAATGGTCAGCTAACAGCATTTCGGCAGATACACAGCAGGTGGTAGACTGTAGACTGTAGGACTGACCGGGTGTATTTTGGATTCAGCTTCGACAATCAAAGCAAAAACGCAGAGGACATGGACAATCCATTTCCTGTTGTTCTGTGACAGACCCTGCAAGTTATTTAAAGAGTATGAATGCTCCACAACGTGGTCAGAAAGCTTGCCCAGATATACCGCTGCGATAAGGAGACCCGTGTAGTATAGCATGTCCCTTCTGTAATTGTGCTGGCATGGCAGGTCCTCTTTGGCGAACACGGCGTAAGATGAGGCGCATACTAAGATTGACAAGACATCGAAACAACTGAATGATTCCGAGGCTGAACGCCAAATGAGACGGTAAATGGTGGCAGCCGTATAAGAGGCAAGCCAGTAGTGAAAGGGAAGACTGAAAGACAAATATGATAACATCTTCTTTGTCTGATGGTCAGTAAAATATATGATTTACCTTGTCGCGAGGTTGACGAGTGAAGTGAAATGAGATGAGATATCTGGACGTAGTGAAGATAATGATGAGGTAAGATACATACATGGTAGGTAGCGACAAGGAGACCCATGGGCAAAGTAAGGAGCATCCATCCAAAGTTTCAGACCAGCAGGTACCTCACCTTCAGTGGCAACTTTGGCTATTTGACGGTTTTCCCAAACCTGCCACTTAGCGGGAAAGTCATATGAAATCAAATCTCCCAGACGTCCTTCTAGACGAACCGGGGTGCCTCGTACTGGCAGGGAAATCAAGACTTTTGTCTACCATTTCTCTGTTTGATGATGTCAACGAGCGTAAGGTGGCAGAACAACCCCAGTATCTCCGACTTGGGAACAGTCAACCAATTCTTGCGCAGACCGGTCGAGAATCGCTTGTTGTCAATCGCGCTCATCTTTCCCCAGGGCTGCTACAACACAAGGTGATGGCAAGTAACAGGCTTTCGCAGAAAGGATGGAGTTTTGTAAGTCGGGGAGAGCACCCATCTAGAAGCAGTTGCATAATAGAATTCAGAGGCCCGCTATATAACGATATAAAGAAGTGAAGTTAGACACAGTGGGTTGGCTTATCCAGCTTCAGCCTCAACGTGACCCACCCATAGGTTGAACTTAGTACTTTACGCACCTATGATTACCCAGACCAGGAGTATCTAGGGTTTCCACCTTTCAAGCTTGGGTGCTTACCCCACATGCTGCTCCGTCTGTTGCAAATGCTCTTGATCTCATGGGAGTATGTGAAGATTTTGGTCTCTAACATTGCGCGCCCATCCCTGTCGTCAAGATTGAACTTCAAACACTGAGATAATTATCCAGAATTGAATTAGTATGTGGATCAACCCAATCAACTGTCATCGACAAGAAAGCCCTCAGCTGCTGCTTGTCTTACACTTGGCCTTGTCGACTGGTCTATCATGCGTATAGTGGCTGTAGCTGTGGTCCAATGGTCAGGACATCATCGCCTCTCTCAGAATTGTCTTGCTCATTGGCCAGAGGAAAATACGAGAGCTACAGAAAACTATGCATCTCTGAAGAAGCCACTCTCTGCCAAGGCGTCCAGGACTTTTCACCCTTTTCAACCCTGGAAAATTCTTCGCAACCTGTCGCCGATTCCTTATCCTTCTCCTTTTCTTCTCTGATCGATCCTCGTCGTACTTAAAATCTGTTAACCTAGTCAAACACGATTCGGCTCAGGCCTGTTACGAGGTATGACATCTTCACTATCGAGCTTAATTAGATAAAGGCAAAATATCAATTATATAGACCGGCAAAATATAATATTGCTTTAGTGGTTGATGTTTCTTCTGTTCTGAATCAGCAAAGGTTGGATCTCATAAATCATAACAGGCTCTTTCTGCTGATCAGCAATTAGTGCTAACTTTGAATTTCAGAAATCTGCCACTATGCGACTTTTTGTCGGTCTTATTGCCCCTTCCTCTCTGCTTACCACTCCAACTGTTGCCGAGGGAGTTGTATTCTACTACCGCGCCAATTCGGGGGCGCGAGGACGCGCAAATGATAAGGGCACAGCAGGCTGGATGTGGGTTCATTACAAAGTCTCGGGATACTGCTAGGAACAACAACTGGTTCATCATGGCGGGGGATTGCCCTAGGATACCAGAAATCGGACCTGGGGTTGAACTAAGCAGGAGGGTTTCTCAGTGAGGATCGCAACATGCCTAACAGGCAAGACTGAGGACCTCTGACCTGAATCTGCAGTTAGTATGTGTAAGAAAATAAAGATAAGCTGGCTGATCAGCTAGTGTTCTAGACCTATGTATATTCTCTACTGCTCAGCCTGAGACATGAAATCTGGGTATGCAAATACTTGCAGTTTCTATAGGACTATCATCAGGGTCATGAGCCTGCACTGTAGCCACTTCATCCCTGTGACCCCACAACAAATCACTGTGGGGCTGCAAAAGTATCAGAAAATCACCTGGGCAGTATTACTTATTTGAACATTAAACTAGGCCCAACTCACCTATAGTGTATCAAACATCCGCCTTCATGATCCGCCATCTCCTGTTGTTGCCCCTACTTCTACCGGCGAATGCACAGCCGGCAGAAGACCATCTCCTGGACGTCCAGACTTATTGGAATCCATCCGTCTATGATTTTCCAGTGCTTGGTACCAGTGGCTCCTCTTTGTTTCCAGTGCGACCTTGTCATGGAATACAGTTGGAAGAAGCGACCATCGACGACTTGCAGGAGTACCTAACCTCCGGGAAATTGGCAACCCTTCAACTGCTTCATTGCTACCTGGATCGTATCTCCCAAACGGATAGTTACCTCAAGTGAGTATCTGTTCTACTGCCTAGTGTCGACCACAGTTCATATTGCTGAATCAAGCGCAGTGCCATCCTCCAGCACAATCCCGACGCGTTCGCTATCGCGGAGGCCTTGGATGTTGAACGCGCCCAGGGTAAAATACGAGGCCCACTACACGGCATTCCATTCATTGTCAAAGATAATATCGCGACCAAGGACCGCATGGAGACAACTGCTGGCAGTTGGGCTCTGCTGGGGTCGGTGGTGCCACGCGACGCGTTTGTTGTGCGGCGGTTGCGGGAAGCGGGGGCGCTGTTGCTGGGGAAGGCCGCTCTGAGCGAATGGGCTGACATGCGATCCAACAACTACTCTGAAGGCTATTCCGGTCGAGGAGGCCAGTGCCGCAGTGCATATAACCTCACAGTCAATCCCGGGGGCAGCAGTTCTGGCTCAGGTGTGGCTGTGGGAGCCAACCTTGTGCCTTTTGCTCTTGGTACAGAGACGGATGGCAGTGGTGCGTTTCAGATATGGAGCTCCCTACTTCGGAATATTTCTGACAATCACGGATAGTGATCAATCCAGCGCAGAGAAATGCTGTTGTTGGTATAAAGCCTACAGTCGGCCTCACGTCCCGCGACGGCGTTATCCCTGAATCATTGCATCAAGATACGGTGGGAGTGTTCGGCAAAACGGTGCGCGATGCGACCTACGTCCTGAACGCCATATATGGTGTTGATACGCGCGATAACTACACCTTGGCCCAGCGAGGCCGGACGCCTCCCGGCGGCTATACTCAGTACCTGAGCGATCGATCATCTCTCAAGGGTGCCGTGTTCGGCCTTCCATGGGAATCTGTGTGGCGCTTAGGGGATCCAGACCAAGTATCTCAGTTGATGGAGCTCTTAGATTTGATCAAGGATGCCGGTGCTACCATCATCAATGGCACCGAGTTCCCCCATTACCGTCAGATTGTGTCCCCGGATGGATGGGATTGGGACTATGGGAGTAAACGTGGATATCCCAATGAATCCGAGTACACCTACGTGAAGGTCGACTTTTACAACAACATCAAAGCCTATCTCTCGGAACTAAACAACACCAATATGCGATCTCTGGAAGACTTGGTCGAGTATAATAGAGTCAATTTTGGGACGGAAGGCGGCTACCCCGGTGTCCATCCGGCATTCGGTTCAGGGCAGGACGGGTTTGAGGCGTCTTTGGCTACAAAAGGCATCATGAACGAAACGTACTGGCAAGCATTGGAATTCTGCAGACGTACTACACGTGAAGAGGGAATCGATGCGGCGTTGAAGCACGGAAACCGCACTCTGGACGGCTTGTTGGTACCGCCGGATGTGGCCCAAAGTATTCAGATTGCAGCACAGGCGGGATATCCTGTCATTACAATCCCCGCTGGTGTCAATGAGGAATCAGGGATGCCGTACGGACTAGCAATTATGCAGACTGCCTTTGCCGAATCAACTCTGATCAAATACGCCAGCGCCATCGAAGACCTGCAAAGGGCCACGAATACTCCTTGGAAACGTACCCTTCCCGAGTGGCGAGGATATCTGACTCGCAATCTGCCAGTTATTAATGCATGAATAGACAGAGTCAGTTACTACTACATTAATACCTATGACAGGACAGTAGCTTAACGGCATGTCGTACTCGGGTTCATGGACATTGCAATTTCTGTACAATATAGAGCCAGTGAGAAAGGGACATGAGTGTAGCACCAAGTAGCCGTGCTCATCGATTGCTATGCTGCAGAAAGATCCTCTACTAACTTTCAAAACTTGAGCTCGTTAAATCATCCTAACCGTAACGATAAGGTGGCGGCGGGGGATAGGTCTGCGACACAACTGGCACAGCTGGCGATGCCTTCTTTGACGGCCGTCGACAACAGCTACAGATCGTGCAAGCCAAGATGGCAAGGACCAGCGCACCGCCAATCCCAGCCGCGAGACCAATAATGAGTGATCGATGACTGCCCACCCATGACCTCTCGTTTCCCCTGCATTCTCCATTGGAACACGAGGATCCCCCATCACCACCCCCGCAGCGTTGTCCACCCGACAGAACCTGATCCGCGGGACATACGGTCGAATTGCCAGTACACATCTCCTCAACATCGCAGGGGCCGGTGCTCGGACGACAAACTGTATCCGCCGAAGCAAACTGGCAGTTGGTGCAGCACGGACTCGCGGCATCATCGCAGAGAGCCCCCGCTCGCAACCGGCAGGTCGAGCCGTCACAGCAACTGTTCTGATCGCAGGTGGCGCCGCAGTCGCATTCCTCGCCAACTTCCACAATCCCATTCCCGCACTGCCCGTCTGTAATGGTGGTAATGTTGCTGTTGCTCACAAGGCAGCGGGTGCTGACGCGCCCAGAACTGAGTTGCGAGCAGATGTTCCGGATGCTGCATGGAGAGAATGCTGTCTGCGAGGCTGAGGAGACCGGGTTCATGATATACTGGCCATTTGCATCGCAGGTGGAGGAGGACAAAGGACAGCACTGACTCTGGGCGGAAGCACACTGCGTTGACTCACAATCATGGACGGCCCCAAATGTGTGGCCTGACTCGTGGCTACAAAATTCGCAGTTCAGCCAACTAAAGCATTGCTTGTGCAAGGCAAGGAGACTTACGCAAAAACTTGCCATTCACTGCGAGTGCGTGCCACCACATTCGCACCACTTGCGCTTTGCCGTCCCGGGTTGGAAGTACACAATTGACCGAGCCAAGAGACACCGACCTCCTGACCCGACGGACAGCCGGTCATCAGCGTCCAGTATGCATTGCCATCGTTGAGGGAACCGCGCCAGGAGGTGAATCGACTCAGTCTCCAGTTTAAATCTCCTGCCGAGCAGTCGGCATTCCACGACGTTGAACTGGACGGACTGCTCGGGCAATCGCGATCGCTAATGGTCAGGTCGTGGAGGGCGAGGGAGATGTTGAAGGTCCGCTCGTAGACTTCGGAAGCTGAATTCACCATGTTGATGACGTTTCGACGGAGCTCATCGCTGGAGGTGAACGAGGCCGAGTATGTGCAATCAGTCGCGATACCTACCAAGGCGACTCTTCTGGTGCTAGGGCATGGTAAATCGTCGTCTGTGATGAAAGGATTCCCCGAAGACTGCGGCGACCGAGGTGCTAATTGGTCCCATTCATGATATGAGGAGTGATAGTGAACAACCATGTGCGGCTCCCCAGTATTTCCGGATCCTGATATTATCGTCACCTGGTACTGCTGACCGACCACGCTGAAAATACCGTCAAACATGGGATCATCCCCATCTCGATGTATATATATCCGCGCCCAGCCAACCTGATGCCAAGTTGGGTTTGAGCCAACGTGCTGAGCGGACACAACTCCTTTGAACACCTTGTGTTCGGCTTTGTTCACGGCTTCCCTCCTGCGAATTACGCCGTCTGTACCGATGTACTGGACACGGGAATCTCGTGTGAGGATATCATGGTTCGGCTCCAGGCTCAACTTCAGCGCTACTTGCCCGGGAAGGTTAAAGGACAAATCAAAGTGTGAGTAGGCATCGACTCGATGAGACTGTGTATGGATAATGGTATCCTCGACTCGGGTCTCACTATCCCAGACGGAGGTTTGCACCGAATGTGCTAAGAACGTTAGGACGTATAGTGCATGGCACAGTGCTCACACCTTACCTGCAACATTTAGACTCACAGCAACAATCAGACCAATGAAACTGACGAGTTTGAGAATCATCATGGCTACCTCTTTTGAAGCCTCTCACACATGAAGTAAATCGTCATCTTCTCGATAGACCTCATTTCCATATATGTATTGCACGCCACTCCATCACGAACAAGTTAGAGAACCACAACATAATGCAGATAGAGCCTGCCACTGTGACTTCCGCTAGGCATCCAAATAAATCGAAGACACTTTGCGGTTCCCAATGTCAAATCGATGTACTGGGGAAGCCAAGATAGGGACTCGTCATCTCAAAAGAACCCAATCGAACAGGAGACTCGACATCGTGAGTGGCCTGGCTCATTGGCCGGGGCCTTGATATGGTGTATGCACAGCCACCGGCTGCCGATTACACTCTGCTCGGTAGCTGACGGATGTGTCGGAGAAAGGCGTTAACGCCAGCCAAGATGACAGATTCCCCCCGATCATGAAGTCAAAAATCGGAGACTGTGCTTTATTATCAATGACAAAGTGGCTATGCTGCTTTCCCACTTGATCTTGGCCTACAATGCCGTACGGTACTGGTGAACCAAAGTCCCAGTATGGAATAGCGGGGGAAATACTGGAGCTCACTGCCGGCGGAAAGTCTTGGCTGCCAGCAACTTGCATCGAGCCCGGAAAGACTCCGATGCTATTTGTAGGACGAAGTTTGACTGGATCCTCATTGGTTGGGCATAGAGTTTCAAAGGCGGACTTTAACCATTGTGCTGGATGAGATAGACATCCGCGCGTCGGTTTTCGCAGATGATGTAGGTGAAGGTCCACGGAGACATGCAGGATCACCGTCATCTGCAGACACTCCACGAAAAGTGGCGCATATGGCCTTGTATTTCCATGTTGGGCACCCTTGGCTGGGAAAGATAACAGCAGCCAGATTTAGGCAGGTGTCCACTCAACTGTTGTAGTTGAAAGAGAAAGGCCCATAGCACTGACAAAGAGGTCCAGACTTGTGTCTGTTTATCTTCCTGTGAGCACGCTGACTAATCATTTTTATCTGGTTTCTTGTGGCCTGAGGCTAAGACTGCCTGAGGTTGCTTTTACCTTAGTATCCAATTCTTGTTCTTGTTTATGTCTGGAACCCACTATCAAAGCCCCCTATCTAGCATGGCCACAGACGTCATGGATTATTCTAGATCATATTCTAGAACCTGACAGTTGACGCCGAAAAGCTCGTCTTTTATCCGGAAAGTTCCTTCTGGAGATGGAAATCAGACTCGAACCAGGAGCGCGCGATATTTTGTGGCAACTCTTTGTTTGAGAGTATTCCACAGCATCTTGTGCCTTCTCATTCGAATATCTCGACAGACTCAGTAACTTCGGTGTCCATGTTCTGGGTTTTAGCGACATGTGTCGAGCCATGGTATCCAGCCACGCATTATGCCGTCCTTATGCCGCATAGATAGTTATGAGTTATGACGTGTTGCAATGCATCGATTGCTAAGGTCCAATCGAACATGAATGATACCGCAGTCCACAGGGGAGAATTCCGGCTAAAATCAACGTTGGGTTGTTCCAGCTCCACTCGATTCGAAAGGTGAGAAATTTCCCCTCCTGAGGATTCTTCCGACGACCTGAGTCGGTTTCACCCCCGGATTGAGACAGTACGTATCTCCTTGTGCTTATGATTGGTACGCTGGAGTTGCTCTTGTCTGCGCTAAAGCACTGGCGCCGCTCTATGACCGTTTCCCTGCCTAGCTTCACGACTAACCGGTACTGTATGGAAAGTGATTGCGATCCCGCGCCGGCAGCCGGCATGGCGTCTCGTACCGGCAGCCACGAAGCTTAATAATATTGCAAATATCGAAGGCATACACTTCCAGGTTACAACGCGGTTTTTTCTGCGGTGTTATACTTACCGACAGTTTGAACAACGATTCCACTATTGTGAATGTTTGTGACAAGAAAATGGACATACTCCAGGCGACTGTGGCCCCACGGGGATAAAGGCCGGGGAAAAGTGGACCAATCCCCATTCAGTCTATCACCGCCATTGGTTCAGGATAAATCCATACCGATCATTGCCGAAAATCGAATCGTACACAGGAGGGGGTAAATGCATGGGCTGATGGGGAGGCTCGCGCCGGTTCTGGTCGGCTATCGGTCTGAAATCAAGCATTTGTTGGCAATAGAAGCTCTCGCAGGACTCCCTTGGCTGCCGAGTGTTCCGAACCCAGCTGTGTTTCAACTATATATTTGATGACAATTGAACCCTTCTTTTTCTTTTCTGGTCTCTCGTTAGTACGGGTTAGATTCTGTCTTTCACCTCTGTTCATCCACTTGCCTACAATCAATCCATCAGAATGGGCGGGGGCATGACTTCCCAAGACATTTCGGCCAAAAGAGCCGAACTGGCCGGAGGAAAGGTCGGTTGGCGTGGCTTGCTCAGCAGCAAGAAGACCTTTGGTATTGCCTTGTTCGCCTCTTTGGGTGGCTTAGTTTATGGATGTATAAGCGTCTCCTATCACCCTACTCTCCATGAGGAATGCTTCAGAGGCTGACGTATCCAGACAACCAAGGAATGTTCGCGCAGATTTTGACAATGCACTCATTCATTGAAGCAGTATGTGCCTCTTGACGACCTAACGTCGGTAGTCGCTCACACTTCCAGACCCAAGGATACGCAGAGACCACTGGTGTGAAACAGGGAATGTTGACTGCGATTCTGGAACTTGGTGCATGGCTCGGGACTCTCATCAACGGATATCTGGCGGATGCTACCGGTCGTCGCATCACGGTTGTCATTGCTGTGGTTGTGTTTTGCGTCGGCGTCATTGTCCAAGCATGCACCAAGAACGCGGACTACATCTACGCTGGGCGGTTTGTGACTGGTCTGGGTGTGGGTAGCCTGAGTATGATTGTGCCTCTGTATAATGCGGAACTGGTATGTTCAAAGGACCTATATGACGATTCTGTCTGACCTCGTTAGGCACCGCCGGAAATCCGTGGCTCTCTGGTCGCTGTGCAGCAGTTATCCATTACTTTTGGCATCATGGTCAGCTTCTGGGTAAGTATATGGTCAACTTGAGGATGATCGAATGCTGATGTTTTAGATCGGTTACGGGACAAACTATATTGGAGGGACTGGTGAAGGGCAATCCATTGCTGCCTGGGAGATCCCCGTTTGCATCCAGATCCTTCCAGCCCTAGTCCTGGCAGCGGGAATGCTACTCTTCATGCCGCAATCCCCGCGACACTTAATGAATCAAGGACGGGAAGAGGAATGCTTACAGACTCTGGCCAGACTTCGCGATACCTCTGTTGATGATATTTCAGTCCGCATTGAGTTTCTCGAAATCAAGGCTCTGCGCATGTTCGAGGATGAAGCCGCTCGGAAGAGGTATCCTCAGTACCAGGATGGCTCCTTCAAGAGCCGATTCATGATTGGGCTCAATGACTATCTCTCTCTAATCACCGACAAGTCGTTGTTCAAACGGACAACTGTAGCTGTAAGTATTTTCTCCGCGTCCTCTGCAAGTCGCTGACTCGCGCAGTGTATGATCATGGTCTTCCAGCAATGGAACGGAATCAATGCGTAAGTCAATACATTTGGTGCAATAAGAGCTTGCTAACAGTTCACAGGATCAACTACTATGCGTAAGTGTATTACTCTTGAAGTCAATATCATTGTGTTGACTTGAAAAAGTCCGCAGATTTTCAAAGGTCTTCAACTAGGCGGCAAGACTACCTCCCTCCTCGCAACCGGTGTCGCAGGTATTTTCGAATTTGTCTTCACCATCCCCGCGGTTCTTTGGGTCGATAACATCGGCCGGAAAAAGATTCTGATCGCCGGAGGAATCGGTATGGCTGTCTGCCATTTTATCGTTGCCGGCATCATCGGGACGTACTCGGGAGAGTTTGAGAATCATAAGGGAGCTGGCTGGGCTGCCGTGGTCTTCGTATGGATCTTCATTATCAACTTTGCGTACGCATGGGGTAAGTGCGGTTCTGACTTGGGCTCTAACAGACGAACTGACGGAAGCAGGCCCTGTCGCGTGGATCGTCGTGTCGGAAGTCTTCCCTTTGCGCATGCGCGCCAAAGGTGTTAGTATTGGCGGGAGTAGCAACTGGGTACGTGCACTCATTGCAAATTTGCATAGAATCTCTAACAGAAGGTAGCTCAACAATTTCGCGGTCGGCCTATCAACCTCCCCCTTCATCGAAGCTTCTGATTACGGTACCTTTATCTTCTTCGGCTTGGTGACCACCATCGGTGTCCTGTATGTGTGGTTCCTCGTCCCCGAGACCAAGGGTCGCACATTGGAAGAGATGGATGAGTTATTCGGATCCGGAAGCATAGCCGTCGAGGACGAGGCTCTGAAGCGTCGCATCGAGAGAGAGATTGGCTTACTGGCCTTGTTGGGTGAAGATCCGGACTCGAGCGAGAAGACGTCCGAGAAGCTGGAGCATTTGGATCACCGCGAGCGAGCTGAGTTGCCCAAGACTGCCAGCTCGTAGTGGTTGTATTACTCTAGAAGAAGCATCATATGTTGATGTTTCGACCGTCTCTTGAAATTGTGGCTCCACCTATACAATACTATGGTAGACGTTTCGGCTCAGTGGAATGTATTAGACAATATAGATAGTCACAATCATTCAGCATTATTCAGATGTCAATAAAACCATTTTACCCTGTCAATTTTCCTGTTACACCTGCATCATTCATTTTGACTTAAACAACACCAGTATGTTTGAACATACACCCAATAGTTCTATATACCTTGTTCCCAGTAACACTTATTTTCCACTATCTTACGACGCCGAATACCTTCACTATCCAGTGACTGGACGCTTTGTGTCGGTGGATAGCCTTAGGACAAAGAAAGAGATATTGCTGGTGAATCCATGACGAATCCAAGTAACCAAGTATATGGAATAGGAACGCGTCTAAAGCACGGATAAATGGAGTGTATTTAGCCTGAATTCAATAATCGGGAGACTCGAGATGGCCGAGCATACGTATCCTTGTACTATTGTGCCGAGGTATGTCCGATGAGCTTGAAGCAATTGGAAAGTGATTGCCTGCGGCTCGAGACGACCACAAACAATATAAGTCTAGATGCTTTGGTGTCATATAGCTAGTCAATATTTACACGAGAGAGAAACTGTATTTGAGGAAACGACGAGTGAATATCCAACCCATTTAACGAGTTATTGAGTCTTTGTCTTGCCCGATTCCGTGACATGCGTTTGTTTCGCCACAATCCGTTCCACTTCGTATTCGTCTTGCCCTTCGACCTGGATGGGGGCCGGTTGGTCCGGCGCTGGTCGGTTGAATGGGTCGTCACCTTGCGGGTATTGCTCGAGATGAGCGATAGATACGACGGGGTGGATCTTCCATGTGCTTCGTATGTCAATTTTGTACGCTAGGGGTCCAACACGCTGCAGAACCTTGAATGGTCCGGCGTGTTGGTCGCTGTACTTTGGCGACAGTGCTCTAGAAATATTGTATCCCTGGTGAAGCCGTAGCAGGATCTTGTCGCCTGGGTGGGATACCAGAGGCTGGTGTGATTTGTCGTACTGTCGTTTCATGGCTAGGGCTGCCATCTTGAGTGCTTCTGCTGCGTCGATGCGAGCCTCGAAGCTTTGGATTTTTCCTGCTCCGCGCAATCCCAAGGAAGTTGGTGTGGGTAGCCTCATGCCGTACATCAGTTGATGGGCGGTCCTTAAGGCTATGAAGTCGACCAGGGGTATAAGACATACAGAACATTTGCGAGAGTAGCAACAATTAAATGGTAGATATTCACTTTCAAAAAAGGTGTGGCTGACATGATAGGGATACTCTCCCTATGGTTCTGCAAGACCATGTTGAAATAAATATTGAAGCATGCAGACATTAGTATGTAGCTAAGAACAACTGGTTTCTAACTTCTTTAAGTGTTTTTACGTAGCTATAAGTGATAGAACCTCTATTACTTGCCATTTTACAATGTCATACTATTCTAGAAAGAGGCTACACTATCATAAAATAGCTCTTATTGATACCTATTCATGTGAATAGTCCCTGGGCTTTGAACTTTGTAACTGGTGTATGATCTTATATAGTACTTAGAATTATGCATACATGAGGCCATGTCTTATTAGTCTTGATCACCTTCTAGTTGTAATTGCAACCTCTCTACTACTATTATTATTGATAGAAATGCAACAGATTTCTATAAACCTAAGGAAGCTAAGATGTATTCTGCCTTTCTGTTTGCAGGCATCCGAAAGTATATCTTTCCTTGAACTAAAGGTAGACTACCTCTATACAGGGTTAGCTCCCATGGATTGTCTATATAAGATATAACATCTTTTTATAAACTAGTAGATCCTGGCATGAGGGTTTAAGAACCTGGCAGCCTCTTCCATCTGTGATTAGGGTAATCGCCGAATGTTGGTCACGGCATGAAGAAGCTCGTGTTTAGAAGTGGCTAGATAGGCATCATCTTGGATTGGCCATATTTTTTTTTTGGTTGTCCATGTTGGACCATTTTCATCGCGGAGTTTATCTGAGATAAGCAATATGATTGCCTGGCTTGAAGATCTCCTCTCATAGATGTCTCGTTCATTGGCCACTTTCTACAGCATGTGCCATATCGCCCAGAGTGTCAAACTTCCAATCATAGATAGTATCCTTGGTGTTACCCATAATAGCTCCTGGCCTTACAATCCATACCGACTTGATCCCGACTTTGGAGGCAGGCTGGTGATCGTGGAATTGACTCTGAGCCGTTTGCAGGACCTGACTCTTTTCGACACCCAACTCGGCCTGTACAGTCTTCAACATGTACTCGAAATTGCGCAGGTCAGGCTTGTACGAGCCCACGTCTTGTGCGGTGATGATGCGATCGAACTTGACACCCTGCAGACTCCCCGCGTTCGTCTTGGCGAATGATTCCCGGTCAACGTTTGACAAGACCACCAGCTTATAGTGCTTTGATAGACGCTTGAGAGCATCCACAGTATCGGGAAAGGCGGGCCATGTTCCGACTGATTCACCAAATGCGATACTCTCTTCCTCAGTCGGCGGGGCGAGGGAGAGGCGCTGAGCGAGCTTGGGATGGATTTTTGCTAAGACTTCTGAATAAGGCATATCAGGTGTCAGAGCTTGTTGCTCATGCTCGAGCTCATGGTAGACAGTAAGAAGATGCTCGCGTGAAACAGAGTGATTGTTCTTGTCGAGGATCGGCTGGAAGGCGTTCACGATCCCGGATTCCCAGTCGACTAGGGTCCCATAAACATCGAAGCACAACAGGCGATAGTCGGAGAGTTTTGACATTTTTCTATAGTAGAAGATGAAAGAAGGTAAAGAGGATTGAAGATGAGACGAAGGGAGAAAGAGGAAGAGGATGAGGGGTTGCAAGTCCATCTTATACTGCGGGCTTATCGATAGCGGGGACCAAAAAGGGAAATACACATGCGCCTTCCAACCAACAACAATACGGACATTTCCTGACGCCCACGTAGCTTAATGGGTAAGTATTATAGATATGCACTGGAGTTGCCCACAGTTGGGAAGTCCAGAAACCTATCTCTGGCTTTTCTCTGGTGATATAAAGGCATGTTACTATACAATTGCAGTGCCAACCAGAGAGGGCTAGAGGGCCAAGCAGCATCACATGATGGAGCAGGTTCTTCTCTTGATGTCGCTATTATTCTTTGACAAACATCTCTCTACGCATCATTATGATCTCCAGTCCAGCTGCGTCTAGAAAACCAACTATTCTAACTCTTCCACAAGAGCTCCGGGACATTATCATAGAATACAGCTTCCTAGAACGGGATCCAGTCAGCATTGAACTACCAAATTACCCCACCCCGTCCCCGCCGCGGGAAAAGCGGTTTGAGGGAACCAAGTATGCGTCCCACGGACAGCGTTTACTGCACTATCCACTTTTGCTGGTCAACCACCAGTTTCGATCTGAAGGTTGGGAAGTGTTAAACAAACTCGCTGCATCCAGATATGAGGCGGACATTGTGTTCTTCCAGAGACAGCGCCTGATTCTCTTCATGCCAACCCAAAAGTTTCCCACCCGATTCAAGCATGCACGCGCCAAGTTTTATGTTCTGAAAGACGACGGGACGCGCCCCATTGAGTCCTGGTACTTTAAATACCGCTCAGTAAGCGGAGGCGCCCTACGGGATTGCTGGGACTTGTACAGGGTTCTACAGCGTTTCCTCCAATGCGGGCCTCCTAACGCAACACATGCGCCTGCAGACGCGCATATTCTGATTGAGACGCTCGAGTTGGATGTCCGCACTCGAACCGGTATCCCGGAGAACCTGCTTGGTCCGCCGAATATCACTACCGAAGACCGCAGGTTTGTGATACCCAGGACGCAACGCCCGAGGTCAACCGAGATTGGTAGACTACTTGACCTGATAAAGGAGACGGGAGTCGACTATAAGATGCATCCAGACTATCTGGTTTGTGTACTTCATGAGCTCTTGCAATTGCTTCTCTTCTATCATGATGGCAGGATGATCTACGAGCGCGTGGGAGTCCTCAGGCTGTTGCTGGATGGAGGCAGAGTGCATGAATGGAACCTTGATGAGTGCCTCAAAGGAATGTACTGTAAGGAAGAGGAACACGCCAAATGGAGAAGGTTTGCACTTGCACATAGGTCGCAGATAGGGTTCCGGCATCTAACTACTCGTCACGAAGAAGCCTTGGTCTGACGCGGAAAGGTGTCCAACTTCCGCCATGCGAGCTTCTCCAAACGCTGTTGAATCAGATAATCCTTCAACGCAAGTCAAGAGCAAGACATGGTTCAACTCCGGAATATGTGTACAAAAGTCGGACAGGTCTTGGCGGATTCTTGCGTCCAGTGACTAAAGGAGAAACATGTATTTAGGCGTAAATAGTCGATGCAAACAAGAATAAGGCAGTAGCAACTGCGTAGCTGTTTAACATAGACTCATCTTGGGAGTGCAGCTACGCAGGTACCCGGTTCCGCAAAAGCCGAACACACTTTAACAGCCCTTGTGGCCATCGCACTAGATACCGGAAATCATCGAAAACTTATCCCTTCAACCCAAAGTCTGTCGCCGACTCTTGCTATTGGAATCACGATAGGATCGCTGGCTAGATTGACAGCTCTCTGGCCCGCTTTCTCTTTCCTCTCCAAGACATTGTAGCCGCCCATGGCAGAGTAGTAGACACTGCGGTTATTCCCGACATCCAATTGCATCATGCTAGCATGTTGACGAATGCGCTCAGAGCTGAGGCATCATGCCTGATGATTGTATTATTATTAAAATATCTAAAGACAAGGCCCATAATTCTCGTAAGCGCATGCATTACTGATTTGGCCCCGGAGTATACGGATTCGAATATTCCACCTTCTCATCATACTCGCTCTCATTCAACCGTCTCAAGAACCTCCCATTAATCAACCCCAGCACATTGGTATAGGTCACAAACTGCGTCCCCATCCCAGGCTGCTCAAACCAAGGCGCAATGGGCCCCAGCCCAACAACAAACTCCTTGGTCACCTGGTACACGTGGTAATTGTACGGGTAATCCCCGCCAAACGTGTTGAGGTTACTCGGCGGCAGCGAGCGCTCGATATACGGTGCTCCCAGCGGCGCCAGGAAAGTGCCGTACTCTGACCCGAAGCGGTCGAGCTTCATGCCAACCGGTAGGGTCGCGTTGCCGAGGATTGGGTGCTTCTCTGTGTCGACAACGAAGCCGTTGGCGGGCGGGTAGATGTATGTCCCGTTTGGAGCGACGTCGGTGGCCCATTTGTCGAGGAATTCGGCGGGACAGAGAGCGCCGAACCGCGCGTAGGTGCGTAACTCGTTACGCAGAGGGAATTTCCGGGGTGGGACGACGGGGCCGAGGCGCGGGTCTCCGCAGACGTAGGTGTCGTTCTTGAAGGTGATGCCGGCGCAGGGGTCGGGCCAACATCTGGCGGGGAAGAGAGAGTCCTGAAGGGTTAGTCGAAATAATTGAATGGTGAGATGGATGGCGGGATGTTTACCTCTATGTGTTCAAAGGAGAGGACAGTAGCAGGGAGCAAGGTGCTAAGCACCAGAATGGCGTTCGTAAAGATCATCGTGAGAATGCGCCGTGTAATGCCGAGGAGAATAAATCCAGAGCGAGCATCTTGCTATTTATCTTTCTCTTGGTGTATCCTGCGTGCTGCAGTCATATCACCTTGCATGAAGATCGTCGGTGTTCATTCGGCTGATCATACCACGAACAGCCTTCAGGAATGCGATTGACAATCTGACGTGGAGACCAGAAATGCGACGAGGGAAAATCGTCCTATGAAGACTATGATTAGGGAACAACCCTCCTGCCTTCGGGCCGCATATGCATCTCAGTGGATGCACTCAAGTATTCATGAGTTGTCATTTGTCAATCCTAGCTGGACTATTGAAACTAAGTGAACTATTGACGCCAATCTGAAGCTGAGTCGATCGAGACCCACACTAAGTTCCAACAGGCTGAAATTATTCGTGCAGAAGTAAGGACTCCAAGGTACTAATATTCAGCTTCATGCCGTAACTGAGCCCTAGTGCCTAAGTACCTGAGTATCAGGCAGCCGCAGATGTGGTAACAAGAGGACATGCTGTGATTGGCTCAACAGGACCAGGGGTCTTGCCAAAAAGTGATGCATACGCTAGTTTCTTTTTATGTTCTTCATTATCAGTTACGTTCATTATTAGCTACAATTATGTACATCAAAAAAGCCCCAAATATTTACAGTGACCTTGCTTGAGTGCTAAAGTGCTATACCCTTGGTACCCAGCACGCCTGCACGCCGTCCTGACTCAATGATCATATCAAGAGCGTGTCTCTCATCTGGACTGAATTCTCCCTTATGTTCCGAGGTCAAGCAGCAGATGTTATGCGCCCGCAATTGCCAGGCGCCCGGGTCGCGAATCTCTCGGGGTTCCCTTAAGAAGGCCTCAAATCGACTAGGCTCTCGATCCTTGCCTTTCTCGAACTTATTTGGGAGGAGCCAGCCGTTGAACCACAACGGTCGACCACTGCGATCAAGATGAAGTAGTTGGGGAGCACAGATGGTGTACATCTCTGGCGCAGTTGTCTTTTTCTGGTCCGTGGTATTGGTTTTGTTCAGTTCTTCTTGTGCCGGTAGACCTTTTACCGGGGGAGTCTTCTCCAGAGTGCCCATCACGCCTGCATCCCCATCATGGAACGCATAATCCAGGTCCCCGATCAGCTCCCATCCCAGCCAAAAGGTCTCTTTGTCGCCTGTTTGATTTGCATCGTTAGTTCGCAACAATCCAAAGTCACGTACAGCAGAGAGGCAGGAACGTACCGTAAACCATATCATACACGCCCGTCTTGTGCTTCGACTTGTCGCCGTCGCGGTCAGGTCCATTCATCCGCGTCACCAGAAGCAGCGCAATAAAATGTCGCCATTTGTCCACCACAACCACCCCTGATTCTTGCATATGACCACTCTGACCCCTCCAGAAGCGACTCTCCATGGCTTTGTTGGACACTGGTCTGGGCAGAATCTCTTGCAGCCATCGTTTCTTAGACTCGGGCATCATCAGGCGGTCTTTGAAGAACAAGGCCCCATTCTTTTGATAGGCCTCGTCTTCAAACAAGATCTCCGGGTTCTGCAGGAAAAGCGAATCGGCATCAATAAAAATCGCTTCCCTAAAACTCGAAAATAGAATCGCAAACGGTTTCCCGGCCCATCCAGCCAATGTCCAGCCATTGTCGTCCACCATCTGCCTCAGATCTCGTGTAGTAACACCGGGTAGCCCCTCCAACTGCTCACGCATGTCCTGGCTCAGGTCCTGGTCGCCCAGATACATGACCTCAATTGGCAGGTCGCATCCCAACTGGCGGATGGCGGGAATCGAAGCGAGCAGAAAAGGTGCCTGGTTGTCTCCGGCCGAAAAGACCAGCCCCCGACCGCCACTATGGATCTGTGTATGAAGATGAATATGGTCCGGAAAATGCGGTGCAGTCCACGGAAACAGTAGTGATGATAGTCGGGTAATGAGCGAGCGATACGACTCATAGGAGCGGATAATGTCCGTTGTGTTTCTCACCATACTCTCTGCCACCTCAGGATGTCGTCGCAGGTACTGGATAATGTCGTCGCGGATGTACAGGCCATCATCGGTTGGCACCAGGTGCACGGTTTCCCACGCCTCGAACAAAGCCCAGAAATCGCGTGTTCGGAGACCCAGATCACGGAGTCGTTCGCCGCCGGTCGCTTTGAGAGGACGTAGGAGGCTTTGCATGCGCATTTCGTCCGGCAGAATGGCAATCATCCGATCGAGGGCCATGCTCAAGTCAATTCGAGGCGGTGGTACATAGTCTATCCCTTGCGCAGTTGGCTGTTTGTCAGGTAAGTCATCAGGGACGACTACAGGATCTTCGGGGTTTAGCTCTGACTCAGTGGGCTCAAGTCGCGTCAGTTTGGGGTCTATCGACGCGCCCTTGTCTTTGACAAAGTCCAGTCCATCTGTCAGCGGCGAGGTTTGAACGTGGATCGCGCCGCCACTGGCCTTATCCGGTGATGAAAGGCTCACAGGCCCAGCAACAAAGTCGTAACATATCCAGAGACCAATGAATATCATGAGCAATTGGAATGCGATAGCCCGACGTCTGCGTCTTAGCGGTGGCCGAGGTCGCCATCCTTTTGCATCTAAGATAGCATATTTCTCGATATCATCGCTGGACATGATTTCAACTGTGGAGGTTCGCAAGAACATAGGCAGTCCCCGAAGGGCTCTCTGAGGTCTTCTACCACGGAGAAGTCGGGCGCATACCGATCGACCCATGAAAACCGCTTTGACTAGGGAAAAGACGAGCCTATCGGCAAGGAATGGTGAGATCAGACGGTCTTACTTGGGTCATATGGGCGGCCTATTGGATGGGCCGTCTTTACGAGGGGAACCACGAAATGACCACCACGTATCCTTCCATCGATAAGAGAGCCAATGACATTGCTTGGTGGAGTGCACTGGCAACATGCTGTAAGCTAAGAAACATAGCAAATATTCTCTGCCTTATCCCAAAAGAGCCCGGCTCTTCGGCCCTGAAGAATGGCATCGGACTCCGGGGTAATGGAGTCTACCAACAAGGGAAATTGTGCCATGGCGGTGCAACACTAACCAGGATCACTGCAACCTCATGGATGGATTTCTAGACCCTTGTATAAATAATCCCGAATCTAGGCAGGGGTCCGAGTGTCCACTAGTGTTCTACCCGGTTAGACGCTTGGTATTCAGAATGCTACACCGTATTTTGCATCCAATCATGCAAACAACACAATGCGGGGTTTCAACAATCATGAGCAGACATATCAGCCATGTCTCAGCCTCAGTATAAAATGCCGAGGAATGTTTCTGACTGCTTCAATCACGAACCACAAAATGTTGAGCAATTCTGCCTGAGTGTGGACTGACTTGAACTCGAGAATGTGACAATGAAGCGGCAATGCTGGGCTTTACACCCCTCCTGCATGGGTTCATTAAATGAGTGATGACTCGTGCCGGTTCAAGGTTGAGTCTGCACCAATATACCAGAGAGTAAGCACTAATTGCACGCGAGTGGTGGTGGCTAGTTCCCCAGGTTTCAATACTCAAGCGGGAGATATTACATTCTATAACTGATCAGTAGGAATATGTAACCAAAATTCCGGATTAAACTTAGTAGCAATAGCTCGCATTCGTTACTGGGACGCAATGACACCACCATCAATGAAGAGGTAGAACGATCAGCAGTCCTCCTGGATATCCTTTCCAGAAACCTTGCTCTATTCTGCTGGCTCGCAGTCCACTCCCTGAACGCTATGTCAATTCTTTCGGTCCGCAAAGTGATTGTACGGCAAAAGTGTCTTTGAACAGAAGCAGCCTTGCAGGATCACGAGGATAGGCTTTTCACAGTGCGACTTGCGACAGTACGTCCCTGGTACTCCCTTGACGACCCATAGAGTGCCGTTTGCATGAGGCCAATTGTCCAAAGCTTCATTGGTTACCGAGGGCTCCCCGAGGAGGCCAGACTGCTGAGCAAGACTCACGAACCGGTAGATGTATGACAAATTGCTTCTGTCTCGGAACCAGTCCTTATGACCGGCTCTCGCCAGCATCCAGCGCTTTGAAGGTATCAAAGAGAGTGCAGATTGATGTTGCCCTTCATGTTATACCTTCGATGCCGTATGTGGCGATCTCTTGCGGTAGGTTCTCGGTTGCTCTGGTACAATGCCCTGCTGGGGACATGGACATGAGATCAGTCGCGCGCTCAGGGATCGAAACGGCCTTCAGAGTCTGGTAGAGTCTGGCAGAAAATCCAGTCAATGCCATTCGGAGTGTACCAGTCCCACCGTTTCTGGCGAAAGGCCTGCTCCTGGTCCACTGGTTCGCCAAGCTTGGCTCGTTCCGCCTTGACCTTTCTCTGATCTATCCGTTCCTCAGGCCTCTCGCTTCTGGTCGATCGTCATCGTCCTGCAGTATTGAAAGGCGAAGCATTACACAGACAATGTTGGCCTCGGGCCCCCATGACGGGTGAGAGCTATTGGCGGTGACTGATTATTTGAGTGTCCAGGGAAGTTAATTTGATTAAGGTGACGACGAGGAGTCATATTGTTATTCACATTCGCCACGGCTGTGTTTGTCTCTCTGCCTGTCACGAAGCACCGGTTGGAGTAATTGTCCTAGTAGTGGTAGCCGTCATGGTTGTGTGCTGACGGATTGAGGCATCTGGTGCTCTCGATCAGGAGCGTTTGTCGACTGCGATGACCACATTTCTTTCATCTCGACATCCGCATGGACATAATCCCGCAGTTATATTGACCGTAAGGTGCACAGCTCAGTCGCCAAGTCGCATCGGCTTTCTCCGCTACTGGATAGGCAGTGGAGCTCGAAGTACTCAGCAACAATGTCCGCAAGAAACCAATTGCTAGCAGCATGGCTTGAACTGAGAATAATCCGCTGCCATACGCGTAGGAATGCCCTTCCTAAATACAGAGGTACTGAACCCTAGCATAGTCCTTACAGCGTCATATTCTTGCCAAGGTCGTGATTGCCATCACCCGCTGTCAACCCGATATATATATGACACTCATGCCTGGTACAAAATTAGCTCGGACACTTGATCACAATGGCTATTTCAGTGTACCTGTATTCTTCACTTGAGCAATGACGAGGGAGCAGCGAAATGAGTCAGGAAGCACTGTTCTTGCGTGAGCAGGCTAAGATCTCATGTCGGCAATTGAGCTTGGCAGACTGTCAGCTTGACAGGACTCTGCGACTGTCACGGTGAGATTCATTTAACCGATACAACGACTCATTTCATTTGTGAGACACAAAAGTCCTTCTTCCAATCAGATAAAACCCACATCGCGTGGGGGTTGCCAAGTCCATCAGGATACTCTCGACGGATTTGGTCCCGCACCGAATCGGGAATTCGGCTCGAGGGCCGTGAAGATCGTCATCTTGTTTAACCATACCATACTTTTATGATCACTGGAGCTGTGCTGGTCTGAGGCAATGACAAAATAACCATCAATGACAACCAACTGAAGATGACACCCAAATTCGACGTCGACTATGTTTTAGCCAATATCACCGAGGACGACAAGATCGCTCTTCTCTCCGGTACTTATTGTTGACGCAACTACTACCTACAACATGTACTAATGGCTAATAGGAAGTGACTTTTGGCACACACATGCAATCCCCAAATTCAATGTGCCTCCGATTCGTACCACTGATGGCCCAAATGGTATCCGTGGCACCAAGTTCTTCGCGGGTGTTCCCGCTGCGTGTCTCCCATGTGGCACAGCCCTAGGCGCCACTTGGGATAGTGACCTGCTGCATCAAGCTGGTGTCCTGCTCGGCAAAGAATGTCTCGCAAAGGGAGCGCATTGCTGGCTGGGGCCTACGATCAACATGCAGCGGTCGCCGCTGGGAGGACGCGGGTTTGAATCGTTCGCGGAAGATCCCCATCTCTCGGGAATCATGGCCAAGTCGATTATCCTGGGCTGCGAGAGTACAGGGGTCATCTCCACGGTAAAGCACTACGTCGGGAATGACCAGGAACATGAGCGCCGCGCTGTTGACGTGCTGGTCACTCCCCGAGCACTTCGGGAGATCTACCTGCGTCCCTTTCAGATTGTTGCTCGGGACGCCCGTGCGGGAGCCTTGATGACTTCGTACAACAAAATAAACGGCAAGCATGTCGTTGAGAATCCTGCCATGTTGGATATTGTCCGCAAAGACTGGAACTGGGACCCTTTGATCATGAGCGATTGGTTAGGAACATACACCACCATCGACTCGATGAATGCTGGTCTCGATCTCGAGATGCCGGGTCCGACGCGATATCGCGGAAGGTACATCGAATCAGCCATGCAGGCGCGGTTGATCAAACAGTCGACGATCAACAAGCGTGCTCGCAAGGTGCTAGAGTTTGTCGAACGCGCCAGCCGCGCACCTGCGTCGGCCGAGGAGACTGGCCGAGACTTCCCAGAAGACCGGGAGCTGAACCGTACGCTGTGCGCGAACAGCATCGTGCTGCTGAAGAATGAGAGAAATCTACTGCCGCTTCCCAAGACAGTCAAGAAGATCGCGCTCATCGGTTCTCATGTGAAGACCCCCGCTATTTCAGGCGGCGGTAGTGCTTCTCTTGAACCATACTATACTGTCTCTTTATATGATGCAGTCGTTGAAGCCCTTCCCGATGCTGAGATCATCTATGAAGCGGGAGCATATGCTCACAAGATGCTTCCTGTCATCGATCGGATGCTTAGCAATGCCGTCATCCACTTCTACAATGAGCCGCCCAAAAAGGAGCGCAAGTTATTGGCGACCGAACCGGTGGTTAACACTGCGTTTCAGTTGATGGACTACAATGCTCCCGGTCTCAACAGGGGTCTGTTTTGGGCTACTCTAGTCGGAGAGTTCAGGCCAGATGTCTCTGGACTATGGGACTTTGGACTCACTGTCTTCGGTACGGCCACGCTTTTCATTGACGATGAGATGGTCATTGACAACACCTCGCGGCAAACCCGCGGAACGGCCTTTTTCGGCAAGGGCACGGTGCAGGAGGTTGGCCAGAAGCAGCTCACTGCTGGACAGACGTATAAAATTCGAATTGAGTTCGGCTCTGCCAACACCAGTCCTATGAAAGCTATCGGTGTGGTCCACTTTGGTGGTGGCGCCGCCCACCTCGGCGCGTGTCTACACATGGACCCTGAGCAAATGGTTGCCAATGCGGTTAAAGTCGCTGCAGAGGCGGATTATACAATCGTGTGCACGGGACTCAACAGAGACTGGGAGTCGGAAGGATTTGACCGTCCGGATATGGATCTTCCTCCGGGCATTGACGCGATGATTTGGTCTGTGCTTGACGTGGCGGCTGACAGGACTGTCATCGTTAACCAATCCGGGACTCCTGTTACCATGCCGTGGGCGGATCGAGCCAGAGGGATTGTTCAGGCATGGTATGGGGGCAATGAAACCGGTCATGGCATTGCCGATGTCCTGTTTGGAGATGTCAACCCCAGTGGGAAATTGCCGCTTTCCTGGCCGGTGGATGTGAGGCACAATCCCGCGTATCTGAACAATATGAGCGTTGGCGGTAGAATGCTCTATGGTGAGGATGTGTATATGGGATATCGATTCTATGACAAAGTCGGCCGCAAGGTCTTGTTTCCATTTGGGTAGGTTGATAATCTTACTCACTAAACGCATGCTGACCACTGCAGACATGGTTTATCATACACGACCTTCAGCGTCTTTCCTGAAGCGACTGTCTCTCCGAGTATCTTCTCACCGGACTGTCCAGCCACTGCCAGGGTTCTAGTCAAGAATACAGGCCCAGTGGCAGGAGCGCAGATCCTACAGCTTTACATCGCCGCGCCCAATTCAGCCACTCCACGCCCTGTCAAGGAACTGCACGGATTCACTAAGGTGTTCCTGCATCCAGCAGAGGAGAAATCGGTAGACATCCACATTGACAAATACGCTACCAGCTTTTGGGACGAGATCGAGGATATGTGGAAGAGTGAAGAGGGCGTCTATCATGTGCTGATTGGGACTTCGAGTCAGGAGATTGTGTCTCGAGGAGAGTTTAGGGTGGAGCAGACAAGATACTGGAGTGGTGTATAGACAGCATTGTAGCAATCGTGTTCCATCTTTTAGTCTGAACTCGAATCCCACGAGCTTGGCACCGGATAAAGAGCATGCATTTATCCAAAGTGCAGGCCTGGGCAGTGTGGGGGGTCAATCAATTACTGAATCGAGCCACGTTCATTACCTATTAGGGCCGTTACCGTGTTTAATCCGGGGTAAACGTGGGGCATGTGATGATATTTTGACTCTTTAACCCAACTGCAACCCAAATCCTCCGTCAGCTCGTTGGATTGTCTCAGCAAACCCCCGCATGAGGTCTTTGGCCGCTCTTGGCAGGTATGCTGACAGCATTCAATCACGCTGACTTCAAGATCCCATTGGTGGGGGATATAACCAGAGTTCCCGTCCTGTGAACGTGGGGGTTGCGGGATGCCTTTTCCATCAAGGGGCATTTTGGACGAAGACCCCGGTCAGAGCTATCAACAGGGTCATCGTCGCTGAAAACCAGTCTGCCCTGGCATAGACATCTCCAAGACGGGATTCTACATATAGCCAGAGAAGGCCGTCTCCTGACAGTATCAAGCCATCAGCACCATCGATTATCCGACACCGATCATCATGGTTGTAGTGCCAAAGCATCGTGAAGAAGATGTCGCGGAGCCCGTCCTGGCCAACCTGCTGGCCGAGGATCACACTCCTTGGTACAAGAAGCCCAATCTGAGATACTTGTATTTTATTCTGTTTCCTGCATGCATGGGAATCGAGATCACCTCGGGATTCGACTCGCAGATCATCAATACTGTGCAGATCGTCTACACATGGAACAAATGTATCCCTCATCACACGTTATACTATAATCGATGCTGACATCTACAGATTTCGGTCATCCGACCGGAGCTGTTGTCGACGGCAAACCCAAGTATGAGATCGAAGCGAATCTCAAAGGTTTCCTTGGAGCCGCATATTCCCTCGGAGCCATCCTCTCCCTCCCGTTTGTTCCCTGGGTAAACCAGCGATTCGGACGACGATGGACGATTGTGTTTGGTTCCTGCGTCAGTCTCCTGGGTGCTCTTCTGCAGGGCTTTGCCAATGGAGGTATGCTACCCACCTCGAGTCTGATCCACATGCTAATTCTGTAGTCGGCATGTATATCGTCGCGCGGATGGTCCTTGGATTCGGTATCCCCTTTTGCATCGTTGCCGGGTCTTCACTTCTGGGTGAATTGGGATATCCCAAGGAACGACCCATTTTGACGTCGCTGTTCAATTCTTCGTACTTTATTGGCCAGATTATTGCTGCTTCTGTCGGGTTGGGGACGGTGACCATCAAAACCGACTGGGCGTGGAGAATCCCGTCCCTCCTTCAGATTGCACCGGCGATGGTGCAGATTGCCTTCATCTTGTATGTTGTATATATCTTACTGTCCCTGAACAGAACTGACAAGTGCGCAGCCTTCTTCCGGAAAGCCCTCGGTATTTGATCAGTAAAGATCGCCACGAGGAGGCCTTTGATATCCTCACCAAATACCATGCCGAAGGAGACCGCAACTCGGTCATTGTCCGAGCCGAAATCGCCCAGATCCAACGCACCATCAAGCTCGAGCTCGAAGAGGCCAAGCAGACGTGGTGGGATATGTTCCGCACCGCCGGTATGCGTCGTCGGTTGCTCATTTCGGCCTTTTTGGGATTGTTCACCCAGTGGTCGGGCAATACTTTGATCTCGTACGTACCGCTGCTACTATCGTGATATGTTTGCTAATGATGCCAGATACTATCTGAGTGACCTCCTGGAAATGGTCGACATCACCGACGGAGTAGTCAAGTCGAAGATCAACATCGGCATTGCGTGCTGGGGTCTCGTCTGCGGCACGACCCTGGCGCTGACTGCTCCTCGATTCAAACGACGGACAATGTACCTAACCTGTGCCTGTTCGTTGCTCTGCGTGTATATCGCCTGGACCATCTCCATGGAACGCTTCATGAATACCCACGCCAAGGCCGCGGCCATCCTGACCATTTTCTTCATTTTCTGCTATTCGCCTGCATATAACCTCGGTTACAACGCGTTGACATATAGTAAGTCCTCCTCTTTTTTGCCAAGATATCCACTGACTGGTCAGCCTACCTGGTCGAAATCTTCCCCTACTTTGGTCGCTCCAGAGGTATCTCGTGGTTCCAGTTCTACGGACGAGGCGCGAGCTTCTTTGCAACCTATGTGAACCCAGTTGGCTTGAAGAATATCAGCTGGAGGTGGCTGCTGGTGTATTGCTGCTGGCTGGCTTTCGAGGTGGCGTTTATCTATTTGATCTTTCCCGAGACGTCCGGCAGAACTCTCGAGGAGCTGTCCTTCAGTAAGTTTCACCTCTGAGCTTGCAAGACAAAACTAACAAATACAGTGTTCGAGGGCAAGGAAAAGGCGAATGAAGTGGCTGCGGCTGTCCACAAGCAGCTTGATCAAGGGCTTGACGAGAAGGCGCAGGACGTTCACGTCGAGGTGGCTTCGCGGGCATGATTGAACTGTTACTGTAGTTGAATATACTGCTCCTTGACAGGCAAATCTATAACAAGACACTCTGAATCATCCAACTACCGTTCTAACTGGTGCATTTGACTCTGTAACCTACGACATGACAGCTCAACTCCAGTCAAAAAACGATGGGAGACCACAAGGATATCCTCAGTATGGAGAATGGCATTAGGCCAAAAACCGATCCCCTTGTCTATCGATCTCCGACCGTGCGCTTATGGATGCAGAGACCAAGAGCAGATATATCTCAGTTTCGGCCATGGGCCAGCAAATATGTTGTTGTTTCTCATAATACCTCCTTAGAGTGCCACAATAACCTATTCAGAACAGGCAGCATTAGAAAGATAGTTAGCAGCTGACTGTGTATACAGTGGACTTTATGGCACTCTACACTCTGGAGGCCCCAATTTGCCGCCTCGTGAGAGAACGCAAGGACAGATAAACCCTGGCTATTATCATTTTTATATATTATTAGTTTTTATCAAGATGGTAGGGTCACTCAACAACACTTTGACGCCAAGTACTGTCCTTGTGGCCTAGTGTGAGTACCACGGAGTAGGTCAGTCACCAGATTTAATTAATTACATAAAAGATTAGCAGAGTTTAATACGAAGCATTAGGAACTTGTTTCTGAATTATGAGGTTGTATCAGATAAAGTAATATGGAAAAATACAGAACATTTATAGATACAAATACCTATTTTTCCCTACTCTAGCATGGCAGTCCTCGCGGAGAAAATACTTATTGATGGTGAGATGAGTGGTGCAATGAGATTTCAGAAACGATTGGAACCAAATACAGCGTTGAATACAAGGAAAATAAGTTGATAAGCAAGGAAAAGGAGCGAACCCAAGAGAGCACGAAAAGAGGGCTTGTCTAGAAAGATCAGAATAACGGCTTTTAAGGTTCCTAGAGATTAGCTACTCCTTACCACCCAGCCCCAGTGAGCCTGTCACTTTGCCCAATCCAAGCCCCTCAAGGAGCCTGTCAATCCCAAGTCCACCCAGCAAACTATTCAGGAGTCCCCCAAGACCCAGTCCGTTCAGAAGCTTACCAACAAGGCCCAGCACTCCGCTAAGAAGGAGGCCAACTGCAGCAATAATCTGGAACAGCGGTTCGGAAAGCAGAGCCCACAAAGGGTTGATCTGCCTTCTGGCGTGAGGCATATCGGCTATCATCTTCTTTCCGTTGTCAATAGTCTCGACGACAGTCTCTGTCAGTTCCTTGAGGAGGTCTGCTAGTTCATATTCTTCCGGAGTTGCCTCGCGAGAAGAACTGTGGGCTTTGGCGGCGGCAGCAATCTGGCCATCCGGATCGAGAGACCGAAGAGCACCCTTGCATTCCTGCAGGGAAGCACTCGCCTCTTCTATTAAGGGCCTGACGTCCTTCACGAGTTGCTCCTCGTCAAGCTCTTCCTTAGGGGTGCTATTGGCAGTTTGAATGTGCTGGGGGATGCACATGCATTAGACGTCCGCAGTTCTAATGTTAGGGAAGAGGACATGTACCTGTGAGATTTGTCTGCAATGCGATCCAACATAGTCGAGCGTCTGCCGAAGAATTGTACACATTTTCCTTGCCAGGGCTCGCTCTTCTGCCTCCTGCTGCTGCTTTTCAAGTTCTTCGGGGGACAGCTGTGGCTGTTCATCCGGAGTCCAGCGCTCTGCACGACCTATAACGTTGCCCGATTTGTCCATAATCTCTCCGTCTTCATCGACAGCCCGTCCGAGAAGTCGATCCTCGTCGCCTTCCACTAACTTCCCCATGACCTGTCCAGTACTATCGGTAACCACACCACCTTTGGCCACAACAAGGCCACTGAGTCCGAAAAAGGGCCCTTCCTGCAGTTCGTCTTCTTCACGTGGAACGAGCTCAGCCATACCAATCACCTCACCAGTGTCGTTCCAGACCATCCCTTTCGCATCTACCTTCTTACCCATCATCCTTTTAAGCTTCCCTGCGACAATGTGCCCGAAAACTGCCCCTGTATCATCAACAACATTTCCTAGCTTGTTCACCATCTTTCCATCGAGAATGGACAAATCTTGCTCCTCCTCCTCCTCTTCCTCCTCCTCCTCCTCTCCTTCGCCTTCGCTCCCCCATCCCATCTCCCAGGGCTGTAAGGGCTCAGCTCGACCGAGAATGTTGCCTCTTTTATCCAGAATATCGCCGTCATCATCCACGGGACGTCCAACAAGCTTCTCGACATCACCGTCAACGATTCTTCCGAATCGGTTTCCGTCTACATCTTGAATGTAACCGTCGTCGGCGACGAAGAGTTCCCCGAAACCGGCAAAAACACCCACCTCTTCTTCTTCTTGCTCCACTGAAACTGGTTTTGCTCTGCCAACCAGATGCCCTCGGTTATCCCAGAATTGACCTTCATTGTCCAGCTTCAGACCCTCTCGGCTAAGTTTCTTGGCATCGCCCTCAATAAGCTGCCCAACAGTGACCCCGGCTTCGTTCACAATGTTGCCAAGCTTATCGCAAGTCAGGCTCTCCAGTGAGGCAATGTCAGGTAACTGTTGGACAGTCGATGCTACAGCTCCACTCATTGCTTCGTCGTTTCCCTCCTGCGGCGTTTGAAAACCAGTATCAGCGCCTTGCCCGGACAGGATTTCAACCTTTCCAACGACAGTATTGTCATCATCCAAGACTTGGCCCTTCTCATTAACTAGCTTTCCTGCAAGAGTACTTGGGTCTTGTTGGCCCACGACTTTGCCAAGCGTTTGGCCATCTTTATCAACGATTTTGCCGTCTTTATTTATTCTCCTGCCCTTGAGTATTGGGCCACTTTCCACCATGCCCTTAGCCCCTTCGCTTCTTTCGGTTGTCACTGCTCGATCGCCCGGCTCCTGCCTGGCTTCCTGAGGGACGAGTTCAACACGCCCAATGAGGTCACCGTCTTCATCCAGTATTTCCCCGTCGCCATCGACAATCTGACCGACAAGGTCCTGCGGGTCGCCTTCGATGACTTGACCAATCAGTCGTCCCGTTTTATCGACTATCTTTCCGTCTTCACCAACTTCGAGCCCCTTCAAACTTGACAGATCGAGAGAAGTCTCTTCTAGATGGGTTTTGACAACTTTGCTCGCGGGTATAGCTGCGGGAGTCTTCTGACCTTCGTCGCGAACGAAGCGGCCCCCCATATAAGCTGCCCCTTTACCCAGTTCCGTGAGCTTCGATGCGCCCCCCTTCGCGCAGTCCATGATTGAAGATGCAAACGTACCGGAACCCGACGCTTTAGCGTCAAGTCGACCCTGATCGCCCGGGTGCCTCTGTTCTCGAAATCGTGAGTTACTCATTTTATCTGAAGAAGGAACCGTCAATGTCGGATCGCCTGTTTTCTTCTTCTCTCTGATTATTTCACTGGCTGGAAGTTGCTTTTTCCCCCCTTATCTTTTGGCTTTGTCAGTATCTGCTTGGAGGTGGAGGCTAATATAGTCGGTGCTTAGATAACAATGGCCAGTGACCGAAACAGGCTGGTAAAGATATAAATCGATCGAGTGCTTGCTATGTGATGTAATCGAGATCTCGAAGACAATCCTTATAACGTACTGCGTGAGCTCAAGAACGCTGAGTTGATTGCCTTGACGTCTTCTGCCATCATTACTGCTCCATCAATGTGCACTAAGCGTATAGGAAAGCAAGCCATCATTGGGGCTGGCAGGGACCACGGTACGGACTTTTCAGCAGGAACCGTGGGGCTTCAATCACGAGGACGACTTTAGGTCCTGGCCAGACGCCTTGTGTACCAAGTGGTACGGAGAACCACGTTGTAGGGCTGCTGTCACTTCCTTTGGTCCGCCATGCTTCTTGTCGCGCCAAAGTCTTCCACACGGCGGAACTGGTTCGTTTGTCTTGGTTCCATCGGTTGGTGGCGGCTAGATGCTTCAAGAGCGCGGAGACATATCCTGGACTCGTTTCGATAAGACGTCATCCTTGGCTTATTTTAGGTCCTTTAAGCGAAATGTATCGACCCAAAATAAATAACTGGGACTGCAGATCCAAAACGTAATCTCCCCTCTACGGCATTTAGCTTTGATAATACTTATAACAGGAGAGCTGATCGAATTCATGTAAATCAAATTAATGCACGTACTACTCTGCGTCCATAAATCTCAGACCAATAATATTCAAGAACAGCTATATGCTTAATAATGAAGCTTTAGTGGCGCAGTAGCCCAAAGGAAGCGAATCAGACTGTCAGTCATATGCACAATCAGGTGTTCGTTCAACCTAGGACATCTTGAGCCGGTAAAAGATGGGGTGTTCGTCATTCCATTATAGAGTGTGAAAATACATTTGGAATGTGCAGCTATATGAAGATATCTGCACGTTCTGTAATGATGGGCATCGCCAAAATATACTAATTACCACGGTGTGCTCGTGTATGAAGAAATCTATATATTCTGAAATTATTCCAGACCAGGCGAACAGGTTAAAGATCCATGAACCCTGAGTGTTCAATCGAGACCGATGAATCTTAATACAGTGGAAGATATGATGAGGCTTGGCCCATGTGTCACTTACTACTTAAAGTTATCAACAGCTTCCAGGATAGCTCCGTGCCATAATCACGAAATGAAAACACTTACAGCAATGATAACGTAATGTCACCATAGATTCTGGCCTTCAACTCGACTTCGACGTCGAGGTTCAAGTCCAGACGCAGTTTAAGCCCCGAGTCTTCATCTTTTTTCTGAAGTTGCTGGCTCTCGTTCTCCTCAATCAAACTAAGCTCTTCAGTGGACTGGTCTTGCGTGCGAGTTACAGGCCCTGCCAAGGGACTCTGCTCGGAAGCGCGTCGGTCAAGTGGCTGCAGCGCACTGAATTGGGTCTCGTCTCTGCGAGACTTCGCAGGATGAAACTTGTTTAGCCGACGATTTACTTGCAGCTGTTGTGTCTCCTTCTCCATTTGCTTATGACTTGGGGATCTGTGTGTAACTTGGGAACGGCTCTCATATTCATATCCCGGAGAAGGTGCAGGGTCCATATTAGAGTCGTCTTCATAAAGAGTAAGGTCCTCTTTTATTGATCGAGAAGGGCGAGCCATTCTGGCAATAACTGGTGTAAGAAAGCAAAATGATGCCAATAGAGAAGAGCCTTTTTTTCCAGCCCACTTAGCAATTAGATAACAATGTCTTATACAGAGTGCAGATGTAGTTTCATATGAAGGATGTTGTAAACCCTGGGGGTACTCTGTTATTTGCAGCGCCACCGACGACATTTCGCTAATCGTAAACAGTTCTCTGGGTCAGGCAATGAAGGCTACCATGGACTGGATTGTCGACTTCGCATTAAAGGAACGTGATCACGAACACAGTTCACATCATCTTCTTGGCCATGACGTGCTTTATATCAACTTAACCTTGGTATGGTTATCTGCAAAGTGGCCGGATAACCGAGCGTATTTGGCGCCATGCCGCCAGTAAATATCCAAGTATGATACCTTAATGGACTTTCGACCTAATGGCGCCGTAACAATAGGAAGCAAAGTAATCCCTTGATTCTACGTAAGACCTACGCTCGGTTGTGTGTTGGTTGTGCCTCGACTATTCCCTTTGTATAGCACCATGGCAGCTTCCGGACGAACCAGGTCCAGGTCTAGGCTACAGAAGACTGTAAGCATGGAGCAATAAAAAATTTATTTCAGTATCAATTTTCTTTTGTTTCTCCTAGTTTTCTCAAGATACTCGCTACATATTTCCCAACAGCAAGCCAGGTCGCCACGCTGACATCACAACCGCACATACATACTGGGTCAAATAGATGATAAAGTACAAAATCGACCATTCTGTAGCGGACTTTGTAACCTATATGAATTAGGTCTAGCTAAAATACTTACGTTCTCGTACCCTTTATCAAGCAGACACCATAGTTAACATCCAAATGGCGGAAACTATGCAGAAACCTCCAAGCACACATGCCCGCCCGAACAACCCTAGTATCAACTCTCCGCCGAAGCGAAGACCACCGAAGCTCCGAAGGAACTTTCCCCTTGCTACCGAAGCGTTTGGGAAAGACAATAAATCCAACAAGGACCCCGATCTCAGACAGGTCTCTGGTGATACTGACGGGGACTTGACAAGCATTGGCCACGAGTCGGCTGTGGACGACAAGTACATCAGTGAGCCAGAGTCTTTCATAGCCGAAACAGAACCCCAAGGCGGTCTTCAGAGAGCAGCTCAGCCGTCAGCTACACAAACAGGCGTGATTGATCGCCCAAGTACTGCCCCTATCGAAAATTGGCATAGGCGGGTACGCGGTAGGCGTGGAAACCAACAACTGGCTCCGATCGAATCGGATATTGCCGGCAGGACAGTGGATAGCGCAGTAGGTGCCGTTCAGGAGGTGAGCTCGAAAGCTATCAGTTCCGCTGGTAACACAGCTAGCAAGGCCTTGGGGGATGTGGTTGGAGTATCTCAGGGTGAGCCGAAAGGCAAGGATGAGCAGGTGAGGTTACGGCTAGATTTGAATCTGGACATTGAGGTGCAGCTCAAGGCAAAAATACATGGGGACCTCACTCTACAGTTGCTGTAAGTGCCAATGACTTTTATGCTGTACTTGAGAACCTATTACTTACGTTAATAAATGGTAGAAGCTAGGAAGCTCACCCGCGTTCTATTTCTACTTACCTCATATGGTTTGTGGTTATATTGGACCTGTTATGTGCTTTCTATTAGAGTATGCTTCACTTCTGTCCGTTATGTAATATTTCCTCATTCTTTGGCCATGGAAGGCAGAACCGAGTAGTCAAAAGACAATAGGTGTAAACGTCAAATTTCCTTGAAAGATTATAGTGCACCGGCATTTAGTGAACTTTTAAGTACATTATATCACACATTGGCTCAGCTATAGCAGTTTTCTCTTGTCCAGCGGTGTGATCAATAAGCTTCATCTTCATTTTCGCACCATGAGTGAGGTGCTGTCCATTTGTTCTGATAGTCAGCATTGCGTCTCTGTACGCACTTACGAGCGATCACTTGACGATGAGCGAGCGGCATAAAATGCCCACCCCGACAGCCCTGATAAGGTACGGAATGTACCTGCACGAAATGAACCAATAGCGGGATATGAGCAGGGTAAATGGACGGATCGTTAAACGCCTGATGACTCTGTCGAACGTGGGCTGCCTGATGTGATGATCTCTGGAGGTTGATCGACTGTTTGACGTGTTATGTTCAGTACCCTTAGCCCCATCGTGGTCCAATTGAGAGGCCGGGCTGGAAAGTGCGCGTAGAGAATTTGAAGGGGAGCCTGAAGATCACAGCCCAGAACATTTCTAGGCGCGAGAGGTAGATGGTTATTACCATTTCGGAAGACTAGACTCCAGGGCCCGTATTCAGATGTCATTCGCATAATCAGTGATATCACTGAGACGAAGGATTCTGCTAGTACGTCGTCACTTCCTTTGCTCACTCCTTGCTAAGGTACAGTCTCCTCTCCGACCACTCCGTTCAATCTCGCTGGCCCCAATTCGACTGTTGACGATGATGACCGCCTGGCTCTGACCATCCAGCCCGTTTCAGTTCCATGCAGAACACATATGGCTATGGAAGCGAGGTGATGTTCATCCTCCCGGAGGCTATGTCAAAGACATTTGAACAATAAAGTTTGGGTGGATTGCAGAAAGTTCATAAGTCATAAGGTATCCTCTATCTATTGAGGATCGTACGTAATTCATGTTACCGTGGCCATATCCAGACCGAAACACCATCAAATCATGAGTCATCACGAGTCGTCAAACGCCGTTCTCCATGCTCTAACATTCCATAGAAGACCTCATAATGACAAAGGGACTTGTGTCCTCCCTTCATCCGCGTCAAGAGCCGCCTCCAGTTCGCTTGTCAATGTATAAACGGATAAATCGGACATGCTCTCGTGCGTCGGCGGCGGGAAGATAGGTTCACTTATCGGCCCAGCGGCTTTTTCCTTGATTAACGGGTTTGGTGGCAGCTGAGTAGACGACATGCAGTCGCGGAAGTTCCCGGGAAAGAGTCCTTTGTCAAGGTCGCTTTGCCACAACCGGCGGGTGGCATCAAACGCTTTATCGACCAGCCCTCGCCGCGCGTTCTCGTATTCTACAAATATATGGTGAAGAGAACGATCACGCCCTCGAGCAAAGATTTGCGCGAATATGACCGCATCTTCGATGGCGTACGCGGCGGATTCCTCGCGCGGTGGCATCTGCAGTTTGTGATTTAACGGTGCTATTCTCTCCACAAGAAGACCTTCATACTTACTGCGTGTGCAGCATCCCCGAGCAGGAGAGCGCGGTCAACGTGCCATTTCCCCCGCTGGCGAACCTGATAGATGGGGTACAACTGCCAATCGCGAGTCTCGTCAATCCACTCCCGAATCCACGGGAAGGCCGACATGCCGAATTTGCTGCGCACCTGGTAGCGAAGGGCCATCTGCGCTGACGTGAGTGCTGCGATATTGGTATCTGTGTAGGCCAGCGCTCGGTACCGCTCGATAATGTGTTCATTCACTCGCATGATCGCGGCCACAAACATGGTCTGATGACTGGGGTCGCAGTAGCTGGCCAGCAGCGAGCCTTGCTTTGTAAGATGAATGGCGGATTCGTCAAAATGAGAAGGTAGAGATACCCGCTCGGACGGAGCCAGACTCTGAATAAAGGCGATGCCGGTATATTCGGATTCGTTACCGGGATCCACCAGCTGCGTGCGGACCGCCGAGTGGACGCCATCGCATCCTAGCAGTAGATCCCCCGTGGTCGTGGTCCCATCGTCGAATTGCAGGGTCACTACTTTCCCTGCTGTGCTGCTGCTGGATAATTTCTTGTCAAACTCCACCGAGATCTGCGCGTATCGGCGCGCCACGGCCAGCATGGCGCGAAAGAGAGCACTCCGCAACACGCGGCGGCTCTTATAGCCCCCGTAACCGCGTCCGGTCTCATCGGCAAATCGCAAGGGACCCAACGATAGCCCGGAGCGGAGCGAGTAGATGTTGATTTCGTCTATTTCAATTCCTGTGTCTTCTCCCATCTTTGATAGTTCGGGCAGGACGCCGAGCTGGTCCAAGTGGTGCTGAGCGACCGGGGTGAGACTGATGGCCCCTCCATCCCCCATCAAATGTTCATTTCGACTGTCATAGATGGCGATGTCCAGATCCGGTTCAACTTGTATGAGCTCTTTTGCTAGAGCGATGCTGGCCGTGAGACCGGCGATTCCCCCACCCACAATCAGGATGCGGCGTGGCATGATGCGATGTGCTTGGGAAGAACATGCTGAACATTTCAGCCAGAGACTGTAAATATAATCCCCTTTTGTCGGATCCGAACAGAAACCAAGTGGCCGGCCGAAAGTGGGAAAACTCAGCGATCACCATCAAAGGACCATTTTGAGCGTCGACACTGGTCCGGCAGTTGTGCGGTTGCGCTGTGTCCCCGTATTAAAAGCAGTGATGTGATTGGCTGACCAAATGGCCTGGGCTAGCCCGTGGCGATAAGAGGGGAACGGCCAAAATAAATGTAACTTGATTGGGTGGAAGTCAGAGGCGTGGCATGCGGATCAAGAGACCATCCATGGATCGTCCACGTCTTGTATGCAGGTCGGATCCGAGACGGCGGAAATTTCTTCATCATAAAAGGGGTCGAACTGTTTCCCTCCCATTGCAGCTTAGGAATGAGAAATACTTTACGTAGTAATTCTAAACAAAAGTGGAAGTAATTTCAGGATGGACACAACACAGACCCCGATCCGCGAAAAAGCCAAGAATAGGTGGCCCAGCGGCACGTGACTTCAAGCGGATCGCCGAGATGCGCAGTTTGTTATGATTGGTTACCACTGGTTCTACAGTAAGGTACAGATAAGCTTAAGGGACAATCGGTGGAGAATCAATCGGCGTCGCCTGTGGACGCGATATGCCCTCCATGCTACCAGAAACCGGCGGGGTTCGTATAAGACATATGCACTGACAGGGTTTTGCCGCTCTAAACTTCTGCTCTGGGGATGTTCGGACTCCACAGGTAACAGCAATGCTACAAGTTGTTGCAGCTTGGGAATATATTTCCTATGATACTGCGGCAATTCTATGTTCCAGACTCCAGACTCTATTCCATGACCAAAAGCAAAACAGTTGCACACGAGTACAGGGACATGTATTTCATTGCTAGACTATACAACTCTATAAACTGATTTTCTAACTCGCTCTGACAGAGTATGATCGGCAGTACATGAAATCTATGGCTATCACTTCCAGTGTAATGTCCAGGGAGATGGGATGCTGTTGTCGTCTTGCTATAGCCACCTTAGTGGATTTCCCATTCCTTCATTCTTCTCGACTATAATGATCATTTATGGACTATGATCTCAACGACCTTTGTGCATGTATATATATGCGTACATCTCTATAAAATGATCAGCGAACCCGACCTTAGTATGTCAGACTATATCAACATTAATCCCCCAATCACGCGACAAAAGCATCAGTACCCTGGTCTCTGCTTACTCATAGTGACTAATGCTGTCGTCTCAGCCGAATACAGTTAGCCGGCTGACTTTGTGACAAAAGCAGTGTTAGCGACATGAGCAATGCTAGCTACCGGCTTATCGGATATAATTAGTCCACCTGTCAAGTGGAGACTGTTTCCATCTGAACCCCGATCTTTTTAGTGCATATGCGGTCCCTGTCAGACACTTTCAGAATCTCTACAGGCACAGACGTGGGCCGAGGTTTAGTTGACATCTCCGCGATTGCCAAGATATATCAAAATGTCACCTACTTTAGTGCTCCGAAGCTACTGACTCAGTGTTCCTTCGAAAGCGAAGCCAGCTAGTCTGTGTAAGAATCGGCGACTCAGTACAACGCTTTGACTGCAGAGAGGAAGAAGATGAATTCCGTATCCGGTTCTGGTCCGACTCTAGCACAGACTTGGCACTTCATGGACAGGGATTATAGAGGCTAACACACGGCATAGCTGACATAGCTATCACTTCAATTTGTGCCGTCGGCCAATTAATTTCGTCCAGGTCAACGAAATTGCTCAATCTAGGGTTATTGCCGAAATAACCGTGGCTTTGAAGCCATGGTGTGTCAAAGTGATTGGATGAGGTTGATACTACCTTACTATCATGCCGAAGAATACAAGCCCACCGGGCCAGCTGCAGATTTATAAAGCATATGCAACCCCTGACATGCGAAAGTATCGTCTACTTCAGAAGATATCCTTCCTCCAAACTCCCACAATGTTATCGCTTGCATCTCCTATCCTCGGCCTGGCCGCAGCCGCGTCTCTGGTCACGGCTAGCCTGTTACCAAATATCCTTTTTAAGGATGTTGTGGTTGTCGGTGGCGGTGCTTCTGGTGCCTACGCTGCGGTGCGACTTCGCGATGATTTTGGCAAAAGTGTTGCTCTCATCGAGAAGCAGAGCATCCTTGTAAGTTTTTCCCTGCCTCGGGTAAATCCACCGTTATTGACACCAACAGGGTGGTATGGTCGACTCTTATGTGGACCCCAAGACCGGCGCCCCTCTTGACTATGGCGTCAAGATTTTCATCGACGCTGGTAATGCGACGGGCTTCTTTGACCGGTTTGGCATCGCCAGGGGCAACTCGTCCAACCCCACAGTCACAACCGAGTACATTGACTTCCGAACCGGAGACGTGGTCAACATGACGCTGCCACCTTTTCCCGACCAGTTTGCGGCCATGGCCAAATTCCTCGAGGTGGTCGAGCCGTGGGAGCACCTGATGCAGCCGGGCTACTACGACTTTCCCCAGCCAGATGCCATTCCTGAAGATCTTCTGATTACGTTTGGTGATTTTGTCACCAAGCATGGTCTCGAAGACGCCGCCCCTCTGATCTACGAGAGTACCGGCCTTGGCCTCGGGAACATGACGCGGGAAACCACTCTGTTTGTTCTACAGTCGTTCGGTCCCTCCATGGCTCGAGCGATGCTCGGCAAGCAAGGAATGTTTGTCCCTGCGTCCGGTCGCAACCAGGACCTGTACGATGCCGTAGCCGAGCATCTCGGCGATGACGTCCTGTATTCAAGCACAGTTGTTGACAGCTGGCGTACCCCGTATGGCGTCTTCCTCACAGTGAAGAACAGCAAGACAGGCCAGATCACCCTCATCACAGCCCGCAGGCTCCTCCTCGCTATCGAGCCGACCAAGGACAACATGGCGCCTTTCGACCTGGATGACAACGAGCGTACGGTCTTCTCCAAGTTTACTTACACTAACGAATACACCGGTCTGGTGAACAATTCTGCATTCGCAACCAACTACTCGTACTTCAACCTCCCTGCCTCTGCCGCGCCTGACAACTATCTGGCTCTGCCGAATCCCTCGTTCACGGCTCGCATTGACTACCTGGGTGGCGATAATGTGTTCAGGGTGACGATCGTCGGTGACGAGACACTCGACTCTGCCGGCGCCAGACGACTGGTGCAAAAGGACTTTGATACTCTCCGCAAAGCCGGTCGCCTGTTGGATGCGAAGGAAGGGGAGCAGGTGAGCTGGGTCGACTTCTCTGCACATGGGCCCATGCATGCCCGCGTGTCGGTTGCAGACTTGAAAGACGGCTTTTACCAGAAGCTATACGCGCTGCAGGGAGGACGGTCGACCTGGTGGACCGGCGGCGCTTTTTCGGTCAATTTCCAGACCACGTTGTGGCAGTACGATGAACTTCTTTTTCCGGAGATTCTCAAAGGGCTGAACTAGTCAGTGTTTCCGGATACTTTGTGTTTGGGAACTTGAACTAGACAGATGTAAATACAAAATGCATTGTTCACTTCAGATACTCATTGATGATACAGGATGGATTCCTCATAGAAGATAGGCTCGCCCTATCTAGTTATCCGCTCAGGGAGAGTTTTCTAGCTCCGACATCACGGTCAGTAAGTGGCTTAGATGCTGTTATATTCATTTGACTGGATGGACAGGAAAACTCGGTGAAAATAACAGACGGGCCATGAGGACAGTTATGATTGGGCCATTCAGCTCTACGCATAATGTAATATTTCTCTTTCCCCCCAAAATCGGAGGGTTGGAGGAAATCTTTTCTGCTAATATTAAAGCGAGCTTTACTATGATGCCTCTAGAATTGAATGTTAAGTTTAAATTAATAAGCTAGATACTGCTCGCAGATACCCCATGAGATGGGCTGGAGAGATGTTACCTCACCGCCCTGTTACCAGGAGGCGAGCTTCAGCTGACAAGAATAATCACGGATATATGAATATAAAAAGAATAGTACATAGAGAGTAGTTGGCGAGACAGTCTACAACTGTCACTTCTTGATACCTTGGACAATTATCAAGAATTCAATTGTCCTCCGTACTTTGCATGTTCAGCCTGAGGCTCAACGCAGGATCCACCTCGTCCAGTGAGATCAACTTCATCTTCGCCGACATCAACGCATTACTCTTACCACAGGAACCATTAGCACAGCATGCAGGGCTATCGGGTGTACACCCATTTTCGTTGCAGCTGCACTGCCCTTTGCCCTTCCGCGCGTAGAGCATCCACTGAATGCAACCAGACCCTTCATTTTCAACAAAAGCACCACCGTAGCCCTCGGTAGAACTTCTACATTTGGACAAACAATTCTCAATTGAAGATTTACACTAGTTGTAAAGGTCTGGTTAGTGCTGTGAATAACAATGGGGGAAAACGGGTACGTACGTGGGTTTTCATCTCGACTTCCTTCTCTGGCTTGCAGCCAGACTGATCCGGGGCCCATTGAACAGATGCAATCACGTTGATTCCATAGGGATCACTGTATACATACGTGTATGGAGGTCCGCCAGGCATTAGTGAATTGCCGTTATTGCAAAGTGCTCCCATCGCTGCCCGTGCCCCAGCGATTTCGAATGGTACATAGGAGCTATCGCTGTGTTCATTGAAGCAGTAAATTGGATCACTGGATTTGGTCGGGGTTGGAATAGATAAAGATGTGGTAGTCTTTGTTGGAGCAGCAGATGTGCTAGTCGGTTTGGTCGGAGTATTGGTCGTGATTGGGAATGGACATGAATCTCGGCCGGCAAGGAGGGGCCTCAGGGCGCCATCTGTAGTAGCCATATTCCAATTCAAATTGATAGGCTTGTTGCACACGTTCCCTGTGCCGTCAAGATGGTATCTCTCACGTATAGCTTGTAATGCCTTGCGGTATTCACTCAAACGGTCTGCGCCATCTTCTGTTTCCATTGCCTTCGCAGTGGCGGTGTTAAGTCCTGTCTCAATGGATGTGATCAGAAGTGCAGCTTGTTCGCTGCCTGCCGCCATCTGCTGGGGAATCCTGATATTTGTCATCCAAAATCGATATGTTGCCGCTAGATCAGCATCAACACCTCTCCTAGGAGAAATAGTTAATATCGTGTCCCAAGCTAAAGCACGTCATCCAAAGATTTGGAGATCACATACAAGGCGGAGTATATCCGATGATTTGTTGAATCAAGTGGACCGAAGATGGCGCTTGAAGTCCATAGATCACAACCAAGAGCGATCTTTTCTAAAACCCCCATTCTTTCCTTGATTATTGCTTCTGAAGCCTTCCACGGTTTCTGGGGCACTATAGTTTTCTTGCGGGCATTTGCACTTTGCCTGACAATGGTCTCTTGGTACTCGCCCCCTATCTGCAATTGTATCGTGTCAGCAGAATCGTGGGGCACCCGGGAAACTCTAACCTACCAGGGCCTTGATCGAATTTAACTCTTGAGTTATACCAACAAAGTCCCAATGCTCGTCTCCCGGCAGGCTATCATAAACAGGCTGAAGGATGTTGCAACCGTCGAACATGAGTTTGTTGAAATCGTCGCAGGAGTAGTGTTGTTCAGTAAACAGATACTTCCAGAATCCGTCCATCCAGTTCAATTCATCTGTGAGCCATTAGCAGCAATTCTAGTGCTTCTCAAGTACTTATCTGAGATGTCGGAAGGATATTTACAGCAATGTTCGATAGTCGGTGACTGATTGACATTCCCTAGGAAAGGCTGTATCTGCTCATCGGATATCATGGTTGTGACGGGCGCGCAGTCAACAGTCGTCTTGCTGTACCACCTGGACATTGAGAGGGAGGCAGGAAGTTCTCCAGCGATGGCTGACTGGACATAGTTCTGTGGACCCTTGTAGGCTGGGATGGTAACAGATGCCCCCGCTTTGAATTGGCAACCTCCAAGGGCAGTAGAAGTCCTCGCGGGGGCCCTCTTCACCAGACCAGCATGAGGAGGGGCTATGGCCCGCGCTGTAATAGTAGCGTAGACAGGTTGGAAGCCTTCTCGAATTCTGAGGTTCCCTTCCGCGTCTAAATCGGAAACCGTGTCAAAGGCCCAGGCACATGGTTTGCATTTATTGCCGGTTCCAATATCCGTCGCGAAGGGACAATCAGCGCTGCTCGTCGAGGTGATTGTCGAAGTCGTCGTCCCCGTCACACTGCAGCCCACAGTTGGCATGCAAGTGGTCGATGTGCACGAGGTTGTTGTCGCGGCAGCTGCGTTGGTCGTCACAGTACAATATTCAGCGCAGATGGTGGCCGTCTCCTTGACGCTGCACGACGGATCCTCGTCGCCGCCACCACCTCCCCCACCGCCACTGCAACCGCCAGGCTCACTGCACATACAACTCAGACCCCGACAGGTATTGCATGTTGGACCTGTACAGCCGCAAGAAAGCCCAGTGCAGCTACACCCGAGACCGGTACAGCCGCTGCATCTCGACCCACTGCAGCTACAGCCCAATCCGAAGCAGGAACAACCGAGACCTGTGCAGCTGGTGCAATGCTTTCCCTTGCAACCGCTCTTGCCATTAGACATGACACAGTCCGATCCTACACAGCTGCTGCAGTGTTCTCCCTTGCAGTTCCCATGATGGCAATCCCGACCCGTGCAGGCGTAGCAGTTGGAACCAGTACATTGGCCGTTATGACAGTCAGGCCCCGTGCATCCAATGCAATTGTCGCCGGTGCAGTCGCCATCACGACAGTCCGAGCCCGAGCAGCTGCTGCAGCTGTCTCCCTTGCAAGTACCGTTGTTGCAGTCCTTGCCGACACAGCCGTCATAACTCGAACATTTGCTGCCGGAGCAAACCCCGTTGGCACATCCGCTGCCACCACATGTCCCTTCCCAGCAATCCGGACCGCTGCAGATACCATCTTTTCCACAATCGGATCCAGAACAGCCCAGGCCAAGACAATGGTCGCCAGTACACTTTCCATCTTTTCCACAGTCACTCCCCACGCAGCCTGCCGTGATGCAGTCGCTCGCCACACAGACACCATCTCTGCAGCCGGCTCCAAGACATCCGTGGACTGTACATTGCCCAAAGGCAGTACAGACACCATTCAAGCAGCCGGATCCACTGCAGCCAAAGGAAGCGCAAAGAACACCCGTACATTGGCCGTTCTTACAATCCGGACCTTTGCATTGACCATTGGTAACTATCGGCCATGGCTCTTCCGTAGTGCCACCGCTGCTGCCACCGCTGTTCCCACCTCCACTACCACCACCACCACCACCACCACCACCGCCGCCGCCGCCGCCGCCGCCGCTGCCTCCTCCGACGCCACCACCATTCGGACACCATTGAGGAGCAGACGGGCAGGTCGGTGCTGTGCTACCGTCTTTGTCCGGAGATGGTGCGAGGACACATTTCCCTTTGGCAGACTCCGCATTTCCATTGAAAGCGCTAACACACCACTCATAGTTCCATGTACCGGGAAACAGATAGTATTGATCGCTGCAAGAAGCCTCCACCGTGTAATTCAATGCCTCAAGCTTGCTACCTGCGGCATTTACGTTGCGAGACCAAAGCCGGTAGCCAGCCGCAGCAGAGAGGCTATCCCACGTGAGATGGGCTGTGGTTGGATCTGCTGCGATGATTTTCAGGTCCGTTGGGGGTGGTGGAGTGCCAGCACCAGGAATAACACTTCGAACCACAGCTGGAAAGCCCTCTCCAGCGGCATTCCAGGTCTCAACAGCCACGAAGTGACGGTGCCCTGTAACTAGGCCACTTATGTGAGCCGAGGTGCCTTTGAACGCGGCTCCGGTAACAAAATCACATTCGGCGTCCTTGTCCCAGTAAATAACATTATATTCGGTGATAGAGTCACTGTAGGCACCTGTGGGGGGATCCCAGGATATGTCGAAACCAGTCGAAGTAGCGGTAACAATCACGTTCTTAGGGGCTTCCGCTGTCTGGGGATGGGCCGTTGCGGTTAAGGTAGTGGTCCAGTCGCCCTTGATAGTGTCCCCGGCACTGGCGCGCACCTGGACCTCATATTCCCACCCATCTATAGGCCAGGTAGCATCCCATCGATTGGAGGATACGCTGCCCGCGGAGAAATTTGGGATACCGCCCTTGATCTTGGATCGAACGTCGTAGTTATACGCACCGTAGACTAGGTATCTTTCAATCAGCAAAAGGAGGCTATGGACTTGGTTGCAGGGTGGCTTACCTGGATCCCATGTTGCAGTTACGCCGCTAGGACTCGTGAATACCTTGAAATTGCTGGGCACCGGTAAGGGCCTGGCAGGAACATCACTGGGTATACTCAGTGCGGATGATCCGATCCCGAAATCCTTTACCAGGGTTTGCGAGAAGGCGCGAGCAATCTGGTATTCACCCATCGCATTTGGATGGAGCCCATCCGAACCCACTGGACATGAACTAGGTTGACAGTTGTAGTTCTTTTCCAGCTCCACAAGATGGATTGGGGAAGCTGTAGTACTCCATTCAGGAATAGCATCGCGTAATAGAGAGTTGTATATATTGGTGCTAACAGGAAGATCCTCACGGCCACCAATGAAACTCCGCTGTGGTACATTAGCAATGGCAAACTTCATCGTTGGATTTACAGCCCGGGCATTGCTGATCAATGTATGAATGCTGTCCAAAGTTCCCATCGAATCACTGTAGAACCACCCCATATCATTGAAGCCCAGTAGTAGCAGCATCAAATCAGCTGGATGAGCGGCCATGACCTCCTTAATTAGGCCTTTATCCACAGCAGCAGCACGGCCCCAAACAGCGAAATGATTTTTGGGAAAACCCGATGACACTTCTTTGGCGTAGCCCCCACTGACTTTGATCGCGCCTGTTGGTTGGGGTTCCCCATATAATGCTGGGGGGGACGGCGGTGCTGGCTTATCAGGCTGTACCGTGCCAGTATAAGGACCAACAAAGTCTACTCCTACTCCTTGAGACTGGAACCACTCCCATATGCGATACCGCCACGTGAAGTCTCCCTCTCGGCCTTGAGATATGGAATCGCCGACGACTATGACCTTGAGATTGGCTGCGCGCTCGTGGAGGTGTTCCGTGCCCACCGTGGTTGAGTTCTCGCTTGACCTTAGGTTATCCCTCATGGCCGCCAACATTTGGACACTGTTGTTCTGTACGCCACCTGTCTGAAGCGGCGGCATGAGGCCCGCAACCTGATTCAGGATATCATAATATGGGAGGTCCGTCGGAAGAGGGATGGCCGGGACGGTAGCTAATTGAGATAGCTGATAGGATACTTTAGACTCTATCGCGACGGCTGATGAGTATTCTATGGTAGCTGTTGACACTGCAGCCAAAGCCGTTGCGTTGCCACTCAGGGTAGATGTTGGCATTGGGCTGTTCTCTCTCCGTGGGGGAAGCCATGAATAAGCGAAAGTGGTGTCAGAAAAAGTGAAGATTGCGCACAAAAAGAAAGTCAGGTAAAGATTGAAACTACCTCTAATGGTACTACTTCCCCGGTAGGAAGGCGCCATGAGGATTAAAGAAAAGAAACCAAGATAAAACGATCGGACGAGAGTTGCCTGCGAGACGTGAAACAACAACCTCTTAGCTGCGACTTAGCAATTGAGATGCGTTATTCTGAACGCTGGCATATCTTGTTGTCTTCCATCTTTGAAGCGAGGCAATGGGGAGTATTTATGTTACTCCTGAACCTCCAGCCCTTACTCCTTGAGGATAGTCTAGTCGAAGCAGGTGGTATACTGGGTGCCGAGGCATACCACTTCTAAATTCGAAGGGATAAACTGGAATTGCGGTTAGCTAGCTCTCAAAAGTATACAAGCCAAGGGTATGAAGACCAGATCCCATTAGATAGTGAAGTTGATATTAATGTCTCAGAGAGATTGTAAGAACTATGGCTCTTAGTGATAAGCACTAAGCGCTATCTAGCTGAACACGGTCTCATGATAGAGCTTTCTAGTCTCAAGGCGTATGGGGGTAAATCCTTGGAAACTCATTACTGTTGCTGGTCTTATGGTTTCGTTTAAATTTCTTTACCTGTTGTTCCTATCCATCGTATCTACTGTCACTGAGCTGTAGGTTGTACTACTTTCAGTGGGGGTTTACACTGGCCACATGGTTTATAGTTTTAATACCTGCGCAGGTGTTACCTATACCTAATTTAGATACTATATTGTCGTTATCCATATGGCTGCTTATAGGGTACTATACCATGCGCGCCAAGATTATAGAGAGGTTCGGTTGGGGCGAAGGATTTTCATTTAAACGGGCCATCCGATTTATCCAATCGGAATGGAGCAATGCTTGATCGAGTCACCAATTAGGGGGTTCGAGTGCACTGTTCAAAATTCTACTATGGACTAGTCTCAGGGGCTGGGCGGCGAAGTTCGGACCTTCGCGGAGATTGTTGGTGGTCATCTTGCCCTGGTTGTTTCTATTCTCCAACATTTTGCTATTTCATGAAGAGTTTTCAATTATAGTTGATTTATAAATTTGAGAACCCCCTCCCTATATGGAGCAATGTGACGTTACATGCTTCAAGATAAATCTTTTCGAAATATACTCTGTATATATTAGTATATGGTAATCCACATAGCCGAAGTAGAACTCATACCATCTTACTGACGGTGGCTAGCAACGGATAGAAAATACTTGCTCTAGATCCAATTCCCTGACCAAGCATCTTCGCTCTTAATGGGGCAGGGTTGTGTTCAGGTCATACACAGTAGCTACTGAACCTCGGCCAAATTACATTGTTTCACTAGTATCTTCATATATCCACGTCATTTTCTCTTATGTACATAAGTATCGAGCCACTCCTCAATATCTTCATCCTCGGCCTCCTCTAGTAGTCTCCAGATGCGCCGACGATTCCGCAGGCGGAGGGGAGCATGCTCTAAAGGTTGCCCTGGTTCGAACACCTCCACTTGTGCAAGGGTGCGAACAAGGCTCTCCCAATCCCAGACTTCTTCTGCTTCAAATGTCGGAACGTCCACCGCAAGGGAGGATGGCACAGGGCAGCTCTGTAGGGCCGAGATGTCCAAATCCCAAAGCCAGGGTAAAATCTGCTGATTAAAAAGCAAGTCACGCCACAGCCTTGACGGTAAGGAATAAGTGCATGTCTGCTCAGGGTTGATAAAAGGCTGTAAATTTTTATAAATCATGTCTTGGAGCTCAGTGGGTAGTGCCTCCAGTTTAGGAGATATACCAGATTGTCCTTGCAAGGACGGCGGAAGGCGTCGCAGATATGAAAGGATCTCCTGAGTGAGTCCTGGTATGGGATATGGTGCCATTTCGTATTCCTAATGGCAGGCTGTTAGTGATGGGATGGAAGCACCACAGGCTATACTTATGCAGAACCCACATAGACCTTCTGGTCTCCAAACGCCCACGCAACATTGTGAAAGAGGTCGGTGTCCCGAAAGTAATAGAAATGCGGCTCGACTACACGTCGGGGGTTAAACGAGCCATTGCGTCCAAGGGGATAATCAGAATGCACCCTGGTTAATCGCTGTTCAAACACTTCATAGAACTGGCTGAGAGTGGTGGGGCGCCTTGGGCCAACCGACCTTCCAGCTTTTAGAAGAGCCTGGCGATGGTCTACCAAACGTCGTATCATTCGAAGGCATTCCGAATGTACCGTGACATACGGGTACTCTGTATATAGGTGGTGGACTAATTTCGACGAGTGCTCCCAATAACTCACAGGTTCTAATCTTGACAACCGCTCCCCATAATGGACACCGTCGATCTCGATCTCTAAGGAATCAGAAGTCTCTTTAGCAGATTATAGTTTTCGCACAAGAATGAGAATTGAAAGAGTAACCCACCATCTATCCCAAGTACTTCTAGTGGTAGATCATGATTTGGCAGGCTCGCAATATCGTAATCTTTCTCGTAGTGATAACCCTCTGCTCGGATGGCCAGCGGTACAAACCACTTGTACCTCTCAAGATTCTTGTTTCGCACTTCTGCTTCCACCACCTTGATCTTTATAAGCGGACTATGGATTTAGGGGCACTGAAGAAGAGCTTACAAAGCTTGGGGCACCACAGACAACACAGCAGATATCTTCCGCGTCATAGCCCTTATCAAATCGCTCGAATTTGAAGAGATCGCTCTCAGATGGACGCTCGCTGGGGTGGAAATCCATGGTAGGTGAGATGGAACTATTGCTCGGGTTTGCTCGGATTTCGATCCAGGAACACGGGCTCAAAAGGCAAGATAACGGATAGTAGATGACTCAGACAAGGTTACATCTTTTAGCCTCTTGGAGTATACTAAACAAAATATCTATATTAGTTTCGCTGAGCCTGTTGCCAAGCTAGATTAAATTAGTGTTCTTTTACAGGCCTCGATCCCGAAACCTGCGACCACATCTTGGCGTCAGCAGACACAATTATGCACAACGGCGCAAACGTGCACTTCTTGAAAAACCTACCCGGTCATGCACTCCGCCAAACGTGGCCTCCACAAAATGGCAAGCACACCAGGCCCACACTCACCACTTGGCGCTGCATTTCGTCTTGACAGCCAGCGCGATCCAATTCGCACCACCATCAAAAACTAGCACAGCCTTCCCCCCCAACTACCAACGACGGCAGTGGAGGCTACGCAGCCAGTAAACGGGTGAGCGTGATGCCATGCATCGTTTCCCCGATCCTCTACATTATCATCCTGTACTGCTAGGGCCAAATGAACATACATGTTTTCTTACAAACGAATTTGTTTGACTCTGCAGGGAAAAAAAATAGTCAGATAATAAGTGCCCTTAGTCAATCCACCGCTATCTCGCACTATGGAGTAAAGGACTCTACGGCTTCAGGGTTTTCGGGGGAAAAAGAAGACGTATATATCTACACAGGTTTGTACTTCTTGTACAGGAAAGTAAACAGCATATAAAATGATATGAATATCACATGATGGAGAACAGACCGACTACCAACCTGTGTAAAGAAGATGTCTTCAAAAGTGCTGGCGATAAAGGTCGTCATAGACATGATCACAAACACCTCCATAAACCGTCTAGTCTTATTGACCTTGGGATGGTGAGGGTCAGAACTGTTCCTATCTCCCATCTTCATGTTGCTCTACTCTTGCACTATGTAAGGTAGTGGTGTGTTAACTGATTGTGTCTTTGCTCAACTCCAGATAGGTGTAGTCTACCTGAAGCCAACATGTATTTCAACTGTAGTCTGGGTTTGTGGTGGATAAGTGTGAAGAATAGCTCACATAAAAGTTTGGGACTTCACAGGAGGAGATGGAGCATAATATTCACAAAGCATGTGTCGACAGTTGACAGAAATAGGACAGCAATTGCCCCAGCAAGATTCTGTGATGTAATCAGACATCACGCTGCTCAAGATATGGTGTTTCTATATCTACCTCTTTAAGCTATCAGATCCTTGCTTAGGCAATCATCTAATATTATACGGGCGGTAAGATTATGACGCCGAATATTAACATCCTTTTTTATTATGTGTTTTGTGATATTGTGAATGTAGTAATGCTAACACTGGCTAATATCATCTGTAGGATAATATTCTCGGTTGTTGATCTTTTCAGTATACTTACACTCAAGCACGACCAAGGACACCAGATGACTTAAACTATACAGGGCTCAAGTTGTCTTAATATTTAAGCCCGTACAATAGGAAACTGTTTATGCCCACGGTCAAACAGTGACTTCTCAACAACATCCACAAAACTGTCCCCCTTTTTATTGATCTCCGCAGTCCACCAAGCCTTGAAAGATTCCCCAGGCTGCAGCACCAAAGACAGCAGGCTACTCTCCGTCTCCTTCTTGCAGCCAGCAACCTGGAGATCATATTCGCTATAATTCTTCGAATAATCATACCCCAGCTGGCTATTAGAAAGTTCGGCACCGACAGTACTGCCCGGTGTCACATAGACATGCTTAGAGCTGTCTTTTGCAGAGTCATCATCATTGACCAATTCGAAGCTGTCGCTGTTGAAAAGACAGTCGTCTTCACCGCCGCTAGTGAGGGTGATGTGCACATTCGAGACTGTGAGCTCTTGGTCACTCTTGTTCTGGCCTTGGACGAATATGCTAGTAATTTTGCCGACAGTGACTGAGTCCGTGGAGATGGTATACTCTAGCTTCGGGGGTGGCGAGTCCTCAAGCTGATCCAGCAGTTTCTTGCCCACATCGTCGATGAAGTCTGCCACCGGGTCTGGCTGCGAGCTCCCGAAAAGACTAAGGAAGAAATTGACTATCATCATGACGATACCTAGAATGACGAGGACTGCCCCCAGGACAGGAATGGCGGTGGCAAATGCACCTGTGATTGCAAAGACTCCCATCGCCTCACCTAATTCCACAATATCCATGGTCACTTGGAGGACTTGGATGAGGGTAGAGACGATATTTAGGATCTTATCTCGGTCTGACAGTTTGTCCCAATCCGCGACCAGACTAAATGAGACTGTCAGTGCTTTGTTTGCCTTGAAAATGACTTTCCTGGAGACGGACCTGTATGTAGCTGCAGCAACGAGCAATATTCCCATGCAGACATTGAATATCTTTATGGCGTTTCCTCCGATCTTCCATTTGGAAGCAATCTCCTCACCCTCGGCCGGTAAGCCAGCCGGAGGTCTATCGGGAAGCTCGCCCCAGGTCTCAGACTCTCCCGGAGAGGTGGCCGCTCCCTCCGGGGTAAGATGTTCTCCAATCACCTCATGAAAGCTTGCATCCGGGTTGATAGCTTCACAAAGATTTTCCAAGCCCTCTCCCTCCTCAGCAATAGATTTGTAGAATCCTTGATCTAGCTCAGCGGTGTCTATGACGTCTTGAGGACTGTATGAGCCCTTCCGACCTCGGAACTCTTTCCATGCCCCTTTTGCAAATGCAGCAGCGTTCACCGAAACTCTGACGACCTCAAGGATAGCCTTGGCCCTCTCGTCGTCTGGCATCTCGTTCCAGTCGCTGATGATTCCGTATAGACTTGCGAATAGCTCTAGCGCGTAAATGCTCACCTAAGATCCGCACCGTCAGTTTCACAACGCCCATCCACAGCTGGAGGTAGATCGTACCATTGCCAGCGAAGCAACTCCTTTAATCTTCAACAATCCAGGAATTCTGTCTCCAATAGCATCTGCAACTTTGGCGAACACAGCTTCCGATATTTGGAAAAGCTTGCTCCCTCCAAAGGCTGCAGCAAGGCCTTTTTCTATTGCTGTGATCCATTCACCGGCGGAAGTGATAAACTCGCTAATTTGCTGGATGATTTTCATGGCTCGGCTCGCCTCATCTTCGGATTTGTCGAGGTCATTGGCGTCCTCAAAGTCTTCTATGTCCTGCTTCAAGTCCTCGCGTACCTCCTGGTCGATGGAGGCGTTGTCAGTGAGAACATAGAGAATCAGGTTATATAGCACATCGTGTAGCTGTTGACGAGCTTTGTCGATGTCGTTGCTAATGCACGGATACTGAAGTTGATTTGCGCCAATGAATCCGACAGCATCCTTGAACCAATCATCTGCATAATTGTGAGACTGATCGAGGGCATCAAGAACGCATGCTTGCCTGTTCATCACATTCACGCCCTGGCTTATGTCTCTCGTCGCTCTCCTAATAGGGCAATTCATGTACCAGTACATTCTGCGATCGGATTTGAGTTCAGTGTAGAGAGTCTCGGCCCAGGACTCCGGGTTATCTTTCATGAAACCGTCAAGCTCATCGCCAAGGTACTGCTTGACAGCTTCGCCAGATGATATGCGGGTGAGCTGGGCATATTCCTTGGACTTAGCGAGACAGGTTTTGCCCTGCAGTGTCCCTCATATCAGTACCGTCCTTTTATTTCTACCCCAGGGAGACTCACATTCCCATTCCACCAATACCAGAGCCTTGCTTTTTGCTTGTCGCTGAAATACGTCCCGTACTTCTTGTCGCGCTTGATCATTTGGCATAGAAACGCTGGGGCGTACTTCTCACGAAGGAATTGTTTCACATCCGCTGGGAGGTCACCGGCTAAACTAGAAGGCAAGTCTGTGGGCTTCGCTTGATCAGTGAGGTCCTCGCGCTGCTTATCGTCCATGTGATAGTACATCGCCGATGTTATCAAGGCCTGTGAGATATTGTGGACCTATAGCGCGCTCATCAACATTTGTGCAATGCCCTCAAAAGGTTGCATAACCTACCACGACCTCGTCATAGCCAGTGGGCTCAAGTAAGGTGTTGATGTCGGTCCTTTGCTCCAGGTGTAACGTCTCGGTGATTTTTGCTGCCTGGAACTTATTGGATCTCGCGACTGGCATGGCAGGGTCCGAGATATCAGCACAAGCACGCGACACCTTGGACCGCAGAAGATCAAAGCTCTCGTCAACACGAACAACACCGGAAATATAATGCCTAGGGTCGATCTTAGCTATTGCGTTGTACAGAGATGCATGGCCGTACCTGTCTCCTTTCAAGTCGCGGACTAGAGGATTATACTCATACAGAGCACCAGTGACAGTCTTCTCCTCCACGTCAAAATCAATATAGAATGACTGACAGAGAATAGGCAGCGTGAGATCAGTCCCCAGTGTTGACTGAAACCCCACGTTGAAGACTGTTGTGATGTCCTCACCAACGTCGGAGATGAAGGGGATTAGGCTCGCTAGTTTGAATTGAAATTTCACCCTCATCTGCCCACTTTCCAGAATTGTGTGGTAGCAATCATACAACTGCCCGAGGTCGCGATTGAATTTGTCCTTGATTGCGGTCCGTAGGTCATCGAGGGCTCGGATCTTGCTGAATGGCATCTGTGCTCCGCTGGGGGACTTGTAGATGCCTGTCCTCACCTCCATGCCAGGAATAGGACTATCCGGCTGGTTGCGCTCCGTGTCCGCTGGCCATACACTCTTGTCATAAGTCATATTGACGTGGTGTGTGACTACAAACTGACCGCTACCAGCAGATCTTGCAGTGGGATGGCTTTCGTCGTCAATCTCGACCTCTGCATTCTTTTTCATGGCTTGAAAATGGTAGATCTGTTGGCCGGAGACTTCAGTCGGCTCTGATGATGAGGAAAGCAAAATCACACCACGGCCCGAAAGACCATGCGGGTGAACCTCGAGTACACCATGCTCGAAGCTATTCGAATGAAGTTGTCGAGTCCACTGGAAGGTCCGCCTACCGCTATTGATGGTGCATTTCAGCTGGGGCTCACCGTCTGCAAGCACGTAACCATCAACAACACTCAGTTCAGGCAACTGATAGCCTGACTGTATCTCTTCTCCGCCAGCCAGGGTTAGTGTGAATGTCCTCTCAAGTCTGTCCAACGGCGCTCCGTTCGACTTTGCGCGGGGAGTATCCCGCATGATTTTGATCAAGTGGCTCGGTGAGCTGATCTTTGGCAAAACTGCCGAGCTTGAGATAGGTCTCTGTTTCCCAACCTGATGATCCCCGAACAGCTCGAGAGTTAGTCGGCTGTGAATAGTCTGGAGCTCGTGTTTACCGAACATAGGGTTCAAATCCTTAAGAGATGCAAGACATGCCAAGCGCTGCTCCGCAGAAAGAGAGCGGAGCGCTTCTGTCGTCGACCGGATACTTTGCTACAAGCCATGAAATGAGCAAACTTAAACATTCTCTGCAGACTGACGGCGCTTAGCTTACAACAGGATTGTTCACAGCCATGAGGTAACCGTTCGCGTAGAATGACTCCGGAGTTCCCGGCAGAGAGACCCCATATAATTTACCTTCAGACAGGGGCTCCACCTGCATGGATTTGATTTCGACTGTCTCATCGCTAGATCCCTTTTTCCGATAGAGAACATGGCCTACTTTAAGCGGCTCAATCTTCGCAAATGGATTACACGCTCTGGCGATCTCCGGGTCAACTGCCCGTAGTCCGGTGGTGGTTCGGAAGACTTGGGATGTGGTAGCAAATGGCCTTCCGCCATCTAGAGATTAGTTTAAACAGCATTAGTCTTGTGCAACTGTCTAATCGACGGGAATATGCCCTGAGGCATATAGGCTGGGGAGCGTACTAAATCCAACCACACGCACTTGCACACCTTCGGCGTTAGATCCGCGGAGCTGATAGTGATCCATCACAGTAAGGGGTTGCTCATTCAGGGAAGAGAATTCTTCAACCGAGGTGGACGGGCCTTGCGACAACCCGATGTCGGTCCCCGGTAGCAACATGGAGTTTACTGGATTTTCCTCATATTAGTTTGCGGCCCTTTCCATTTATTGGGGGGGTTTTTTTCTTGCATTTGTAGTGATTGTACCATCCACGCACTGCGTCGCGGTCCTTGTTAAAAGCAACATGTACTGCATCTGTCCACTTTGAATATTGAGTAGAGAATAGACTGCTGTGCAGTCTCTCTGAGTAGGATTGCCACTCGTCGATTATACCAACAATGTCCATTCTTTCCAGAGCGTCTTTGATTGCCGCTGTGTAAGCCTCGTTATCGGACGTGTTTACAACCAACTCATAGAAGCCCTTGACCGCAAGGGAGGCTAGCTGGGGCTGTTCTAAGCCAGTCAACAGTGCCGTCGCAGATTGCCCGCAAAACAGCATAGTTTTCTTCAAACTCTCATCGTCAGGCTCCACTTCCCAGGAATATTGCGACCATTTGGCCAGGATCTGATAGGCTGGTCTCTCTTTATCAAAGATCTGGGTTAGGCGAGGCTGGAAAGTTCTGTAATGTAGGTAGTCCGCGATCAGCAGGATGGAGATACTGAAAAGATGGTCACCCGTAGCAGCATCAGTATCCATGACGTTGCTCGCAAAGTCCTTGGTTTGGACCTCATTCAAAAAGAATTCTCTAAAGCCTGGAGCATCTGGTAGGGTGTAAAGGGATTTTTTCCCCATTACTTTAATACGGTTTTCAATATGCTCGCCCAGTAGCAACGGCATGAGCGGGCGAACGATGCCATCATTCCAGAACATATACATCTCATAAGCCTGGATCATGAGTGGCCGTATGTCAGCTCCCCCGGTAAGCTAGATAGGGTGGTCGAAGGGGTGGTGAACGAACCAAGCAAGTGAATGCCATCTCGTACCACTCTATTGTCCACTTGTTTTGGTCGACTGATCTGACCCCATGGGAGAGGAAGTAACAGCCCATGCGTTCCATCCGTGCGGTGCAGTCCTCGCCGCCGGCCAGGGAGGCATTTGTGCCTTTGTCGTCGGATGGATAGGGATCGACATCGGCGATATATTTCATCATCGAACTGAACTGGGAGACATGTCTTGCCTTGTAATGGACTCGGCGGGCAAGAGCCTCATAAGATATTTCAGGGAGGCTTTTCAAGCTCGCGAGCAGGTCGTCAAACAGCTCACGGTTGGCATCTGCCATGATGGGCAATGGAAAGAATATGACTTTATAGTTGCGGATTGACTTTGGTGCATTGACTGGATGAAAGATCAGACATGAAAAGGACAGAATCGGCTCACTTATATGCCACTTGAATCGAAGCCAGATCTCGGGTGGCGAGGTCTTGTGGTAAGTGAAATCACTCCTACGTTGGTGCTCGAGCCCCCCTTCCCCTGGCTTGACTGCAGGAAGAATTTGCATTTCGCCCAGCATAGCTACGAATCCAGGTAGATCCTGAACACTGTTGGTCTGGTCGGAATGCAGCTCAGCGGGGCATGATGCATGCATGTCTGTGATAGCGAAGTAGACTTGCTTAATGACTGACGTCAGGAATCTTGAATCCTGAATCCTGAATCTCTAGTCGGTCTTGAATGTATAGAAGCAGGAACGGGATCGAGCCGGCAAGATGGCTCTTTCCAGATGCAGTAATCGACAAATGGCCTGATAGTGGCTGGCTGAATACGTGTGTTTCTAGTTGGCCATGCTCGCCGGACCATCTTTTACTACTCAGTGTTCAAAAATATAATGCGATGGAACAAGCATATCATGTAGACTAGCCCTGGTTTATTCTACATGGGAGTCATTTGCTCATCTGTATCTAGATCAAACAAAAGTACATTCAGCTCACGCCACTTTCCCCACTTGCCCCTCTTACCTGCATATACTTATTATTAATTTGAGAACCTACCCTGCCAAGGAGTTGTGCAATATTTGGTGAGGCATTAAAGGCAAACATGCAAGAAAAGGACAGGGAAAGAATCCATTGCAACCACTATAGGCGGCCTAGCTTCCCCACTGTGTGTTCACATGCTACTGTTTTGCTGTAGGATGCGTTTGATCTAAAGCGAGGCATTGAGTGGAAGTACCGTCACCGCAGTAAATTCTATCGGGCTGGATCGGATGGGGTGCGAATCCTTCAGATGTAAGCGAGATTATCATAGCTGTAAACTCTGTATATATAGAAGGCACAGCGGAGTAGAACAAAGCCATATAACTATTCGAGGGCTTGATGGAACATTTGCTCCATATCCAGATAGCACTAAACCTTGAACTACAAACAAATATACCGAGGGGTTAAGGAAAGAAATGTTAATATTCAGGTTATAATGTATACTAGTTGTTATCAAAGGTAATGCAACCAACAACAAACTTTGCTTCAAGGGCTGCAGGTCAGGTGTGATCTGAAGGTAACGCGATAATAATAACAGTAGAGATAGAAGCAAGGGGTATTGAGTATGTATACTTAATAGTAAGAGAGTAACTAATGAACCAGACTAGTGAATTTGTACTGTAGTCCTTGGTGGTGTTTTTATCCGCGGTCCCTCGTGGACTGGTGGTGAGCCTTAGGCCCTTGGCATCAGGGATTGTAAGATCATGTGATCTAACGGTCCGCTGGTGCCAGTAATTGTAGTACGTCACACAGAAGTGCCTTTCTTCGTCTGCCTTGTCTAACTTAGGTAGTAAAGTAGTAATAGAATAGATGCTGAGAGAGGTCGCCACTGACAAATACATCCTGTTGTATGTTTTCTTGTAGTTATTCTTGTCCCAGTTGAGGACAGAACTGTGCGACTCAGGAGTCATGTACCCAGGCGACACAGGGAGCTCGATGTTCGCATATGGTATACCTCATTGGCAACAATAGCTGGGTAGTTGTGTTGTGCGATATCCGGCCTCGGCACTGACAAGGATCGCTTATCGCCTTTCTATAATCTGGGACGGCTTTTAAAAGTAGTGATGTTCGATCTAAGCTTCTTTTGACATACTCTTTGCTTCCGCTTTGATTTCCCTAATATTAAGTGAATGATGTACTAAATTTAGGCCCATCTTCAGTGATTCTGTCAGCATTCACTCATTACCTATGACTGACCCAACTAGACTGACCACACTCACCACACCAAACTCAGATAACAAACTTCTCTTTCTCTTCATTTCATCAAAACAATAACACAATAACCGAAATCACTCCAAAGAAGCCTTCAAGAAAGTTTCTCGTATGATAACACTTGCCCTAACCTTAGTTATATGGAGACAAGAGCTAATTTCTCAGCGTCTGCATCAGTCTCTTCAAGAACTCTTGGTCTCATCATGGAAACACCAGTAGATCCTAATCCGCAACCCAGTCACTACAACGTCGAGTCTAATCAATAGGTGCCTAGGCTAAAGACATCCCGAAAGGCTGGACGAACAACCCCCGGCTCTTCGAAGGGTTTTTCGACTATGACTCTGCGGAAGCCCACCTGGCCCGACGCCATGGGATAAATGATCCTAAGCCTCTGTTGATGACGAGCCCTGATACTGGGGACATGGGATACATAATCACGTCGGGTGGCCGCTTTTACTGGGGTGATCTGATGGTTGATCACATCGCTGAGATCACCAAGCCCAGGACCTGGCCGGAGATTTTGCGCGCTCTTGCCACGAAGGGGGAGAGAGGATTGAGGATGAAGGTGCTCCGGCCCGTGGTTGTAGATGAGGAGCCCTGGGAGGAGGAGGAAATGATAGTTGAAGGGCAAGGCCCGTCTGTTGTTTCCAGTTCAGACGTTCCTTCCACTTCGGAGAAGTGAGAGTAATTCAAATCGTTCGCAGCATTTGGTGTCCAACGTAGCCTTGTGGCGTTGTGCGGAGACGTATCCTGTCCGCAAACTTTTGATGTTTGTGCCATTCCCAGCTGTTGCTATTCCCAGTAATATTTACTAATAAACGATAGGGGTAAAACCGAAGAAGAGGCAGCGAAGGTGCATGGGTTGGCCCTGTGGAGCCGCTACGTACACATTGCTCCTGCCTACGACGATCGACTGTCTGGGAGGATCTGGGAGAGCCTCTGGGACCCCTGTGACAATTGCCAAGTCCTCATCAGCATCAACAAGGGCAATATTCTCAACTTTGGCCGATTGACCGGAAGTGTGGGAGCCCCGCCTTGATTGTTGGATGGACGTCGAAGTCGGTTTGCGGACGACCTTGGACATGTCGTTAAAAGGTCTCTCCTGTGCCTGTTGACCTGGCCAGGTGTCTTGAGGGGGACGGGAAGAAAATACCGGAACCCGGTAGGGGCTCACTCCGTCCGTGGAGTTTGGGAGCCGCCCTTTGTGGCCTGACACACCCATAGGACCTACCACCGTCTAGCGGAAAGCAAACCGCGTTACCAAACTCTAGCCTTGACACAGCTATTGACATGGGGGATATCTTGCCATTCGATGACCGTTTGACCCGGCTGAAGTCTCGAGGCCCGACGTTAGGACGGCTCCTTCACCGGGTTAGGTCTGCCGTTATGACGGATTCCTCCATCCCCTTCGGGGACCCCGGCTTGTTCACACCCATGTGCGTCTACACGCTACGGTGTCGGGGATCAGTAACTTTTCGCTTTGTCTTCCTCGTCGCTGAAGCTTTCCAGCGACAAATCGTCTACTGCGAAAGGCGAAGCCAACGTGAACGACCCAATATGAACCCAGTACCAACTAAGCAATGCCTCCGCTCTTACCAAGGCTTGCAGTTTGACCTTTCTTAATCCTTATCCCATTTGTGAGACCTGGCTTTTCAATGCCAACCACTTTTGTCATATCTCCTCCACTGTATCCGAAGTCCTTCACAACTCCATGTATCACAGGACTATGAAAGCCTTACCGAGAACTCAATAGCCTACTCGCGACGCTCACCTACCTGCGGAGCACCTCCACTCATTCGAGACTCATTTCAGCTCGATCAAATTTTATGTTTTGTCACTTTCATCATGTCGGCGATTCCGTCATTCGATGTGTTGCAAGTTTATTCTATCTCTACAAAGCGCCCTTGTACATTCGGCGCTCACCGGCTTTGCCATCCACGAGCAATTCGAGGAGACTGCATCCAACCAGAACTGTTGGGCAAGTCATCCTAACATGTCTCTTTTCATTCGTGAGACCAGCGGTTGCGCAATGCCAACCATCCGTGTCATATTTACTCCACCATGACTGAGGTTCCAAGGCTCGACGTGTTCAAAGCTACTCCATCCCTTGTCGAGAAGTCACTCACCTCCATGCGGCGCTCATCTACATGCCGCCGGACTTGGTTCCGTGGGAATCTGATCAACCAAATCATTCGGGCAACCCATCGTGCCACGCCTCACTTGAGTCTATCGCACCGATTTTCAATCAAGGACAATATGTCGGAGCTTTCCGCGGAAGACCACGGCCTCTTATGTTGCATGTGATATCACGCGAGGCATGATATTTGTAAGGAAAGCTTAGCAAACGTCATGTTTTGCACATTGCTACACGGCCTGGCAAAATGCTGCTCGTTCAATTTGATCTGGTGCGAGGTCTCATACTGCGACTATTACACATGTCGCGGTGTTTCCATCTTTCAGCATCCAATGATGCATCAAGCATTTCACGTGCTCAGCCATTACGTGTCAATCTTCTCCTTTTGTTACAACAAGGTGGACGCTCAATCGTTCTTCAACGACCAAGCCAGTCATAGCATGGCTTCCGTATATTCGCCGGGGCCGTCCCGAGCGCAGAAACCAGTCAAACCTGAACGACGTCTCTTCAATCACCGCCAGATGCGTTGTATCCAGGAACTGCATTGTATCTCAAGACGAAACAATGCGAACGCGAGTAGGCTTGTTGCTCACTTGATTTCTCGTCACTGAAAAGACCATGGGGGTAAATGTGGATTGTATGATCTCGCTCCCAATTGCCATCGACCTCCAGCTCTGTTAGTACCAAGCTCTGATGAGCTTCGACTACATTGTCCAACGCCAAAAACAAACGCTCTGCGTTGGGCTGAAACAGCGAAAGAGAATGATCACAAGCATTGCCGTTTTGCATGATGTATTGCTAGCAAGGGCCTGGGTTGAGGAGCTTGGTATGTTTTTACCTACCCAGTATATGTGTTCCAGTCCTCTTCGGGGTCTGTCTAATGATTTTTGTTCTCTTGGTCCGCCTCTAGGTGCTTGATATTGAGATTACTCTTCAACGCATGGTCTCTTCAGCAGCGGGAGTGCGAGCCTGTTCATCCAATCTCCCTGGTGCGGGCACATTTCCGAAAATGACGCATCCGATCATGGCCGCCGGAAAGATTCAGCGCAAGCGTTGGCATCCAAAGTAGACAAGTAAACAGGCTCAATTCAGATCGATTCTCGATGAAGAAACAACGTGCGGAGCGGTTTCAATTTCCCTTCGGATCGACCCCTCGTGCTGGCGGTTTGTTTTAAACGACGTTAAGACTCAAGACCACCAATTGACCACGCTCGCCACCTAAAACAGAGTGCCTGCGATCGCCAGGAAGTCAATCCCACACGGATGGACGAACGACTTCGCCACGCTCACGTCGCTGAGTGCAAATTCCGGCCATCGTGTTTCGATTGGACCTGTCACCGACTCGGTAGCACATGAAGTGCGAGAGATAAGGTTGTCAGACAGAAGGCGACAGTATGATGACTTTGCGATATCCGTTTCTCGACGCCAGCTCGTATTTCTCGTCGATGACCAAAGGCAATGGAAGTCTAACTGGAAATGAATCCTCTCCTCGTCGACAATTACAAGAAATACAAGATGTCATACCTTCCACGTTCCCATTCATCGTGCGACATGAAGCCTCTTGAAAAATGAGCAGCCCACTCCTTCCACTGCATTACCTCTTGGGAAGGCTCTGGAGATGACAAGATCTACCACGGCTCTCAATCTGTTTTCCGCTCACAGTGGATGATGCAAGAATTTCTGCACAGGACATTTGCTATATCAGTGTGCGTCCTCAACAAGGTGTCACAGCAAAGGTTCAGAGGAGAACGGCAACCACTTGATTCGCAACTACGGCACTGTCGGCCTCGATGCTCGTCCATGTACGGCCAGGAGACGACAGTCCTGTTGATCGATGCGCATGCGGTTCTGACACCCCATCTACCTCACCGACCAAACATGATACATACATATGTACATGGTGCTCCGAGCCTTGTTGGCCAGAACGAAGAGTTAGCCAATTCTCGCCTGCTACCATCAGGATACGAGACTCACCTTTCGTGGCTCCGACGGTGTCCGGACCGCTACAATTGGACCTTGTGTTTCTGATCGGCACACGCAACCTTGACCAACTGGAGGAGTGTGTATCACGTCGCAAAGGATTGTGATCATAGGATGCCAGGAACTGGAGAATATGCCAGGCAAGAGTCTGGTCAGCTTGCTGAAAGGGAAACTGCAAGCAAGCATACGTGCACACCGATGCAGACGTCTTGAGCGCCTGATGAGTTGAAGGCCATTATGTGCCCAACACTGGACGGGAGGGACATACAGGGAGATGGCACAAAGATCCATGTCATTATAGCTATAAGTCGAGTTCTGTGGGGCTACTAAGGACTTTAGCCGGCGCTCACCTGTAACATGCATAGTCTACTCTCAATAATAATGGTCCTGGACTCCTAGTCACTCATGGACTTTGGTTTCTGATATACGTCTCTTGTCTTTCCCCAGTACTGTTTTTAAATCATCATAGTGGATTTCGCACCGGATCCATCTGTGAGAATTTGATACAGTCACTAAGGATTCATTTTATGATTGCATCTTTGCGGAAGCAGTGGCTATAGGTAGTACATGTGGCAAAAGGTACAAAAGCTTCAAAAGTCCACATTGTAGCTATAGTCCGCCGTAGCTATAGTTCGCCGTAGCCCGTGACTCCGCTGTACTTGTACATGTCATCTGCTCACCGCCTCCTCCAGGGCTGTGAAGCCTGTTGAGTGAGCCGTCGGAGCCTCTTCGGACACATCTCTCTGCCCCGGTCTTAACCATGGGACCAAGACCCATACTTCCGAAATCTTGTGTTGACAAAATGATCCCTAGACCAATTCCCGATGAGATATTTCCAATCACAACATTTATTTTGGACCTACCGACTAGTCTCGTTCCGCAGTCCTTCCCATCGTCATCTGAAAATGGCCCTGTTAGCGGACGCTTAGTCATTGTAGGCGATGTGCATGGGATGAGAAAATCGCTCGAGGCGCTCCTAGATAAAATTGGCTTCGACAAACTCAAAGGAGATCATCTCATACTAACTGGCGACCTAGTCAATAAAGGGCCCGATAGCCCTGGTGTTGTTGACTTGGCCATCAAGCTGGGGGCCAGCGCAGTGAGAGGCAACCACGACAATGCTGTTCTTACTGCGGCCGCGGAGATCAAAGCCACAAACGATAGTCTACTACAATCTGGACGCTTGACTGGCAGTCGGGCCCTACCAGAAACCCCCGAAGCCGATGTGCCCAAGGATACCGTCGAAGACCGCGAGATCTCTTACAAAGACGCATCTGCTACCACCGGGGCAGGTAGGAAACATAGCGCAGCAACGTATACTACAGCATTGGCACTTTCGACCCGCCAGCTCGATTGGCTTGCCGCTTTGCCGTTGATCTTGCGCGTCAAGCTACCTCCTAACTTGACATCCTCCTTCGGTGATACTTTGATTGTTGTACATGCGGGCCTCGTCCCTGGTATTTCACTTGAAGCGCAGGATCCACACGCTATTATGCACATGCGGAGTCTCGTTCGAACACCCGATGGCGAGAGTGACTTCGAACCAGCTGAAACCTTCGGGGAAGAAGGCTGGGCGATGGAATGGGACCGATGGCAAGATAAGCTAGCATCCAAGACTACTGTGATATTCGGACACGATGCGAAGCGTCGTTTGCAACTGGGAAGGTATACCATCGGACTGGATTCAGCGTGTTTATACGGCAATCGGTTAAGCGCGCTTGTGATTACGGGTTGCGATGGAGAAACCAAGCACGAGATTGTTCAAGTCGAATGTGCTGATGAGCCTGTGGCACCAACGGGATAGTTGACGAGTACGGCAAGCCATTGAGACAGAACCAAAAATACGTCTCTGGGTATGTCAGTATGTTAGTAATCCATGGTTTTATCCTAACAGTAAGCATCTAAGAAGTTTTAGGTTTCAGTTCTCTTCCTCTAGGCGTATTGAATGATTTAAATCACCATATAGTAGTAGAGTGGTTAAACCCAACCCAAAAATCTGAACCCAGCCCGGGTTAAACCCCTACGGTCTAGGGCCCATAGGTTAGTTGGGTTCTAGAAACTAGAACCCATCTGAGTCTGGGTTCTAAAAATGGGTTTTAATTACAATACATAGTAATTAGATTATACTAGCCTGGGTCGGATTTCTATGTTAGGATACTATGAAATCATATTATAAATATATGTACATATATATAATCTAATGTTCTTTGGATCTAGGCCCGTGCACCCGGGTCCTATTAATGTGCAGAGTATGAATGAGTATTAAATGTTAATACCTAAGCAATATCTCCTGACTAATTTGACATAGTATAAGAGCTTCAGCCTTTATGGCCTGTGTTTATTAGCTTAGCTAGTCTCCTAAGTCGCCTACTGTCAGTAGGCAGTCTATTTGTTGTTATTAGTACTACTCTATGACAAGCTAATTTATCTACCTAATACTGAAGAGGCTTTGGAAGCGCTGTCTTTTGCTGCTTATGATCATGGCTGGGTACGTATGGAGAGCAGCTTAGGTAGCTATCATATTTCTTCACAACTGACCCTGGTCCACTGCTTCTTGGGACATCTCTCGATGCCTTGCGCTCTGACTTCGTGCGGTTCTATCATGGAGAAACCATCGCATGCTGAATCCCCTTCTGTCAGGTCAAAATCCGGTGATATACTTCGCCTGTCACTACCAAGTTTTGCTTTGTCTTCAAATTGAAGAAACCCTTCGGTAGCGCCTATTGCGGAAAAGGCAAAGAGATGATTCAGTGCTCAACGTTAGAACTAAGGGAACCCGATGTGCTGCCTATCCATTGCTGGAACGATTCCGGATACGGGGGCAATGCAGGGGCTCTCCGCCGTCCACTGGAACAGCACCAGCGTGTCTTTTCCTTCGACAATAGCCTTGCCGAACAGTATAGGCATCTCTGTGACTAGCTGGACATCTAGCTGCAATGATGGGCCCCACCATGGTGTAGAAGCCACTGCAGTGGGTGATGGTCCCTGGCCAAGGAGGCAATCAATCAGACCCTAGCGCACGAAAGGAGGGCGAAAGGGAGAGAATCCTACCTACTTCTCAGCAGCCATACTAAGATAGGAGATATGGATCATGGACCATTCCTATAGCTTCTCCGCAACTGAGCACGACACCCGTCACAACTTTCGTTTTGCGCCGAATCCCATGGATGGAGACAGCCACTACAGCGGTTTTCAGTGGGCACAGTATGAACCTAACTGCTGGGTCGGTCAGTTTCGCAGCTATTCACACGGAGTTTTTCGATTCTTCTTTGAGTGGCGAGAGGCTGTAAACAGGCAAAGAACTAGCCTCTGGAGGTTGAGCTCGCCGTCGATGCGCTCGTGCTCGACATGTGGCACATGTCCGATACCTGGAGGACCGCCATGGTCTCAAGCAAGGACTACTAAAGCAAGACGCGACTGGGTTAGACAGATCGTCTGGAATATTTGACTGTCCTGCGGACACTCGAAGGCATCGCAGGGAATGTGTTGCGGGATCAGCGACGCTTCGTATTCGTATCGGGTGGACAGGCTGGGTTGGTATCCCGTGGGTGAAGGTAGGATTCCTGCTGTGGGAGTTGTAGAGTCTGCCACATATGGCTCATGAAATATAATCCCTGCAGGGCATCCAACCCAGAGGCTAGGAGACAACATTCTGTGCGAGTGATCCTGTTTCTGGCAGTGATGTGGATGTGAGTCAGTCGATTCAGCCTTGTCCAAAGGATAGGACGGTCTGCAAGGCTGAAAGCGCCATGTCTCGTATTCTTTGGGCTAAAAGGGGCTCAGACCACGTATATACAATCAGTTATCACTGATTTGGGCAGGAATTCAGATGTCGCGTGGCATCGGTCACACTCGAAGTGCCAGGGGATATAACAGATGCCGTAAGGCTCCTCACAAGGCGCATCTCCGACGGGAATATGGCTTAAAATGCCCACAGCTACCTCATTGGAAATAGTCGGTCCTTATTCATTGCAATAAGTCTACACATTTTGAAAAAAGAACACCAGCCAACATGGCAACGGCAAGTATGACCATGGCAGAAACTGGAACTCACACCTGGACGCCAATACTCGAGGAACCTAGAAGAGACAATGGATCCTTAGCTGCGGACGCTGTCCAATCAGTGGGTATCACCATCAATGAGCATGACCGCGAGAATGAGTATCTCGACAGTATCCCGGCTACCGAAGCCATCCAGTCCACCAACCCACGTTCTATCCGGCAATTTCTCCGCCTCCATCCCATTGCCACGGTCGCGGATGGGTCTGCCTATGTTCCACATCAGAGCAGTCGTAGCGAGCTGGTCAACATCCTCGTTTTGGAACAAGGAGACATCATCACCCGGCGACGACTCAGGTCGGTAGATGCACTACGTCACTATCTCAGATATTCCCGCCCAGCAAGAAGGTTGTACTTGGTCTCATCTGAGAGCCTGTCTGACACCGTGGTTGGACTTCTGGGCTCAAGCCTAGATTTGAATCCTGATCTCTTTGCACTCTTCCTTTCCCGGCAAGATCTACCTCTCAGTCTTTCGATCCCATCAAGCATTGCAGCTCGACAAATTGTGCAGTTCAACTACTACCGCATAGACAACAATGGCGCACTTCACAGAGAGCACATCTCTTTCAGCATGTCACAGGGAGGAGAAGAATCGTGGACCGGTAGGAGAAAATCGGCGTTGAATTTTGAAGCATACTGAAGATATCTAGGATTGCTTTTGCTAAGTGAGTACGAACTCAACCGTCAAACTGCAGCCATTCTACGCTCAAACCTGCGGGAGACGGTGAGGGACCAAATTAACACTCTTTTCGACGCAATCCCTTCTTCGATGGAGTATTCCACGTATATTCAGCAAGACGCGTCAACAACATTGGCAGCCGTCATCTATTCGGTTTTTCCGCTTATTGTATCTGAGTCAGCTGGATTGCTTTCTGAGTTTGCTTCGTCCGCTCAACTCGCAGAGAGAACGATTGAAGAACTTTCACTAGGCAACCTGAGCGACGAAACGCGCCTGGGAAAGCTGGAATGGTTACAAAATGCACTAGACAATGGATACCTTCGCTCGAGCGCCCGTTACGAGCAACTCCATGAAGTCTTCTGCTCAATGCAACGTGCGATGCACGACTGCGACGTCCTTCACTCCAGGCTTCCGGAGCGTGGGAGCGTGGACACTGAACTAATCAGGGACGATTTGACGTTTCTAACCGAAGAGGCCCAGCGACTTCAGCGCGAAAATGACACCCTCCTTTCTAAGCGCGACTCCTTGCTGGGTCTCACTAGCCCCAATAGCTCAACTCGGAACGACCTAACTGAGAAACAGAGCTATAGTCCAGGCGCTTCTGGAGGGGCGGGGGGCCCGCCGGATCCTCCAAATCCGTACAGCTGGAATCGACGCTACGGTGAGCATATTATAACAAAAATTGATCAGATTGCGTATATGACAAACATCCTGCTGTCGCTGTCCTTCATCGCATCCGTATACGGAATGAATCTCAATATCTTTAATGGCGGGCAGGTTGAACTGTCCCAGTATCTGGCTACTGCACTACCATTTTGTCTGTTGGTATTTATAGTCACCTTTGTTATCCCTGGTATAGTGGCGCGGATGCTTCCAGGAAAGCAAAAACGGAAAGCAACGGAGAGGGGTTTTAAAGTCGATTTCGCTTGAGGACGGAGTTCTCAATCCCAATCTGCGTCAACATCATCGAAATATGGGCTTCGTCTCCAATGGATCCGCGTGCAATGGCGTTCAGCTGATTGAACAAGTAAACGGATCCGGTTCGCAAATTCCCTCGCTCTTTTGCAGTTCTTTGAAGTTGTTTTTCTTCCAAATAGTTCGCAATACCTGGCCAGCTCCATCCGTTGATAACGTTAGAGGTCATTCCATAACTCTTGCAACCTTTCGTGTGCGGCCGTTTGGACACTAACCTTTAACGACCAATATTCGAAGATGGTTTGATACGCACCAGCTTCACACTTTGGCCATTCTTTCTATCATACATATGCTTGCTCCTCAATTTCGACACGTGTTTCGATGGCTTTCTGCTGAATTGCATCGTTGCAGACATCCCAACGAGTGGTTATCATCACCCACCAACGGTTTTTTCCTGTTTACCTCTCCTTTTTATTTTAGTGAGATACCTGAGTAAGAATTCTCAGAACTGACAGGGACTAGCAATAATTTCTTATGACAGCTTCAAGGAAACATGGAACTTACGTGCATACAATTGCACATATAAGAGGACAAATGGATGCTAGGCTGCTAAAGTAGTGTGCTTGCTTGGTAGAATAGTGGCAGGGGAAGCAAGTTAGCCACAGAGCAGCGGTGCCCAAATATAAGTGCACCTCTCGTAAAAATGGATAGTGTTGGTCTTAACACAGTTCTCCACTGCATCCTCCGCGATATTATCACTGTCTGCCTATGACAGCCTACTCAGGAGTCAGGATACATGATATATTGAGAGTCATGCTTAAGTCCTGTATGGGAATAGGTGTAAGATTGATCACACAGTGCGGAAGGGTGATCGGTAGCAATGTAGTCGTCACATTCAGTACTTCAATTCAGGGCTTCATAGAAACAAAATCTGAAGCTTGAGATTTTGCCCAAGTGCCTCTCCTAGAGACACTCCGGGATATGCTTGAGAGGCCATTTGGCAGAGCATATGAGGCTATAATTTCATGCGCCGTGATAGAGGTTATTTAGAACCAACGGTTGACACAGACTTTGATTGCAACAGATCACCATGCCAACACCCATCCCTTCTCCCATGCTCCCTTCCTGGTCATCTTCTCCAGACCGTGAATCGAAAGGACTTGAGAAGTGGCATTATACTCAGCAGATTTGACCTTCTCGCCATTGAACCTAATCTGCGATGGCGCCTTCTTAACGCCCAGAACGGTCACCCTGTCCATATAATTCCGTTCTTTCCAACAGCCAGTGACGGATGCAACCAGCTTCGTACCGGATGAGGCAACTAAATTGACAGTAAGAGTCTCCTCCGGACTAATACTCTCCCCATCATCCAGGTAAAGCTGGCCCGCCGCATCCCCCTTGTCATCCAGCGCAACCAGCAAAGACCATGGCGTATTCCTCGCCTCGCGTGTTGTCAGCGCCGGCTCCTGCATTGGAATGACATGCCCGCCCCGAACAAAAACCGGGATATGCCCCAGCGGCGCCGGGATGGTCGTGTTCTTCCCCGGCTGGGCATAATCTACCTCACGCTGCGTGTACCAATCATACCACTTCTCGCCGTGCGCCAGACCAGGGAAGACTCCCTGAACTGCAGTCGCCTGCGGTACTAAAACGGGAATAACCATTAAGGCCGGGCCGAGCAGGAACTGCGTCTCCACGGCCGCCAGAGACGGATCATCTGGGAACTCCCATGCCAGCGCGCGCATGACCGTCGACCCCGTGGCGTGAGCCTGATACATCAACGTGTACATATACGGGAGAATAGAATAACGGATCTTCATTGCGTCTTGCGACGCCTTGATGACCGAGGCCCAGCGGTATGGTTCTTGCGGGATAGCAGCGAGCCGGTTGTGGTTGCGGTAGAACGGGAAAAAAGCGGAGAGCTGCATCCACCGGTTGCAGAGCTCCTCGTCGGTGTTTCCGTCGAAGCCGCATGTATCGACGCCGAACATGGGAATTCCGTACAACGAGAAGGAGAGGGCGTGGGGGATGGATGAGTACATATATGCCCATTTGGCGTAATTGTCTCCGCCCCAGTGGCCAGCCCATTGACCGGAGCCTGCGAAAGTTGAGCGACCGATAATGAAGGGGCGTTTGTTTGGACTGATGGCTAGGAGCCCCTGGTAAGTCGCGTTGATGACTTGGTGCCCGTACAGGTTGTGGACGTCGTATTCGAGAGTCCCATCGACGTGGCTGGCGTTGGGGGAGATGGCATGGGCTGCCAGGTCGTGGCCAGATTGGACATTATTTATCGCGTAAGGCGGGTAGTTGATATTGCGGACACCAGGAGTAGGAGTTGTACGTAGACAGGTGATCGCGGTGGATGTGACAGGGCCCTGAGTAGCAGAATTGGCCGCGTCCTGGCTTGAAGCCGCTGCAGATGCCGAGGCGGCTTCTGTAGCGTTTGTGACGTTGAACCCTTCCGGATAGTCGAAAAGAAGATATCCGGGATCACCGGGAAGCTTGAAAGGGGGATGGGCAGGATTGTGAGTAATGAGATCAGACCCGCAGCTGCCCACGCAGAACGACGAAGCCTCGTTCATATCCATCCAGATGCCGTCAAAGGCTACTTTCTCATGGTATTTGACCAGTTCGTTAGCCCAAAAGTCCACCGCTTTGGGATGTTGGAAATCCGTGAAAACGGTGTATCCAGGCCACACAGAGCCGATATACAGACTGCCGTCCGGATTCTTGAGCCAGACGTCATTCGCTGTACCCCTGGCGTAGGTATCATAACTACCCGTGGTTAGCGAGACTCGAACTTGAACAATAGCGAGATACTCACGCGTCGGAAGCATTCTCAGGGTTTGGCACGTAGATACCGGTGTCGAGAATAGGCACATAGTGGCGGCCGCTCTTGTGCAGTTTGTTCAAGAATTTCCTACCCTCTTTGTACCCGAAAGTGTTCTGGTCGTTTTCAAAGTTGCGATACTGGTTCATATAGTCGATATCAGTCCTTGGTATTTCGTTAGTACATTGTGGAAACAGCAGCAGGAGAACACATACCAGATAGTCTCCAACGGGATCTTGAACTTCTCGAAATTGTCCACAACGTCCTCGAGCTCGGCCCAATTACGATATCCCCAGCGAGACTGGTGATAGCCGAGAGTGAAGTACTGTTGCATGGCAGGCAATCCAATGGTGCTGACCTGATAATTCTGGGTTACAGCAGCCTGAGACGGACCAGCATAGAAGTACAGATCAATACTGCCACCGATGGCGCGCCAAGTCAGACTGTCTGGCTGTAGCTTCACTTCCTGACCATGTGCGTTCCGTAGGTACACTCCGTGTGAGAATGAAGTGTACTTTTTGGAGCGATCGGTAGTCCTGCTTGAGACTGGGGTATATGTCCGGTTACCCGAGCCGATTTCATAGTATCGAGTCTCAAGGTAGAAGGGATGGGCGCCATACAAGTTCCTTCTCGCCAATCAGTAAACACCCGTTTAAGTGCGCTGGTAACTCACGTATCAAAAGGGTCACCAATATCCACCGCGTAGGTTGTCAAGGTCTGGTTGCTGTGCAGTCTAAAGCTGGTAATGTGCTCGCCCAGGCCGTAGAGGTTGTAGTCATCCGGTAGGGAGGACTTGAACTCCAGGAATTGATTCTCAAACACCAAGACGCTGCCCTCGGTGTTAAAGAGCACGTCGCCGGTTGCTTTCCGAGTCACTTTGAAATTGAAAGTGGGATCATTAGACCAGGCAATCTCTAGGTCACTGCTTCCCAGTGACATGCCGCCCGCAGCCTTGGGCTTGGCAACCAGGCTTTCTGGAAGAATATACCAAGAGGAGTTGGAGGCATCAATATTAGCCGGGGTGATTTGAACATTGACGCGGTCGGCCGCCTGGTACTCAACCGCGAAAGTCAAACGATCCAGGTCTGTTCCGTAAACGTTGCATGCCTTTCCAGCCAGCTCGAGAGTGGCCGTTAGACCGGACCTGGTATGGCGGACATCCGACGCCTTGTAGCCCGGGCAGACATCTTGCGCATCAACAGCTTCGGGATCCTCAATATTGGCAAGCACGTTCTGGCCGTTGGAGGCCGATGAGGGAATGGTGTACTGAGAACTCGCAGAGGTCTTGGTCGCAGTAGGAAGGGTCAAGCAATGAGCAACAGTAACCAGCCAGAGGCTGCACATATGCTTGGAGAGACCGACCATCCTGAGCAGTTGGAACTAGATCTTCTGAGATGGTTGTGGTTTTGGTTTTGACTGGGGCAACCGGCAGCCTTATACCTCCGCAATGTGCGACGTCGGGACCAAGTGGATGGATCGGCCAGGGTAACCTGGAGTTAATGGTAGAGCTCTCCTTCTCCGCAACACAGAACATGCCTAGCTACTAAATGTACACAGTGTCCGCCAAATCTCCGCCCAATGCCCGCCCTGACACTGGATTTGGGAATTGGAACTCGTGTACGGGGATGGCTGATAGAGGTAAGCCCGGACTTCAACAGCTTACAAATTCCCCTCCAAGTCTATCAAGTAATCACTAATAAGATTCGCGGTATCATCGGGGGGCCGGTTATTAATTCTCAAGGTCCTAAGGCGTTCTCGCCCAATGATTCGCTCATCCACCGAGATCTTTCCCCGAACATACTCCATGGTGTAATGGCAGTTTATTCTTGAGTCAGGGAGTATGCTAAAGCCATGTGGCGCTTCGTATTCGGCTCCACCTGACCCAATCACCACCGTAGGAGAATGGTGACAGGTTCTTGAACTGGGTGAGTAATGAGATCTTCTCCAATGATCTCATTCAGCGCTCATGTCGGACCGAGTTGGTACACAACCTCATGTCTTTTCTTGGTCGTTCATGTACAACAAATTATCAGAGCGGATTCCCTGAGTAACGGCATTCAAATGCGCATTGCAGCGACATGCCGCTCGATCCGGCCTAACTCGCGATGAAGGAGAGGTCATTTGATATGCCCATCGTCTGTAGCGAGCTGTTCATTGCATTCGTCGACTAGTGGCGACCTGGTTGACGGTCACAGACAAGTCATCATGGAGATAAAGTGAAGGAAACTCTCTAGCTTCAGTACTTAGAAAAACTGAAAGATTGCACCTTAGCCTTTGAACAAAAGCTAAGAATTATTGTTTACATAACAAGAGGGAGACTTATGTCAGTTAAGATTCTATCCAAGAGCCATTCTTGGCCGTATTAGCCAAACGCTCACCCTAACAAGGTTGGCCTTTGATTTACATAACCTAGTCTCAAGCTTCTGCAATGATTTGATGCACAAGATGATGCCGCTCTGATGTAGATAATTTAACATACTAACTATTATGTCCTCCCTATATGGTGGCATGATCTGTCGGCGGTTGTGGATAATCATCGTTGGGGAAGTACATCTCAATATGAGGAATCGACTAGTACAAACTAACTCGAGAACTGTTAATTAGAGCCTTTTCGATGAGCAGCCTTATTGATGAACACAAGCCTTCTTTTATCAGTGCTTCAAGGCAGAGCCTACATCAGTACTGGTTTTTTTAAGATAATGCAGTAGTCCAGCCCTACTAGGCTAAGAGTGAATGGCTATTTCCAAGAAGGTCTCACCCATTACAGCCAAAAGAGCGTTGCCTTCCTCTGTCTTGTTTAACAGTCTCCTGTTACTAGTGGTCCAGTTTCAGATCAAGACTCTACAACAGTTTCTGACCATAGTTTTGCCAGAGCACTGTCATTTTGCCTCCAACCCTGATTAATCTCCGTCCATTCCATTTCCTGTCACCCTGACGATGCCGATGCTCTCGTATGAATTCTAATATTTCACACACGGCCCCTTGGAACCGCCAAGATTTGAGACGACGATGCAGGATGAAACCCCCCCGTTTCCTCATTGTTCTCCACGAGAAATCAAACCACGCTATTGGCCAATGCGGGACACCTATCTGTTCTTTTGGAGTGCTCGGTCCGAGATCGATTCGTCAAGACGTTGAAGTTAGTGCAATTGTATTGATTATTTTATGTCGTATGTTTTCCGAGGTGGGGTCTTCTCTCCAGAGCCGGGGATTTGGCAAGGGGTCCATCAAATGCGTTGTCTAATGCCAAGGGGCACCCCTTTCACGCGTGGACTGCTGCAAGGACGGCATAGGCATATTATTGCAGAAGATGATCAGCACATGTATGACCGGATGAATATCCCAAACAGACCCCATTCGAGGTAGATTATTGCACCCTCATGCCAGGGAATGCTATACCACACGGAAGGATACACGTCAATGTCTGACTTCGTCACGGAGCACTTACCGTGAGAAGGTATTTGTGATAGGTTGAAAAGTCCGTCAAACAAAAATCCAGTGCCGCTGTTGTCTTTCCGAGACTGACGTCGAATCTCGGCAGGATGGACCTTGTCCTTCAATCCAGATATAAAACCCGAACTAGGCAGATAAAAGGGCTCAGATATCGCAAAAATAATCTTCTATCAGCGAGCAAGCATTAGAAACTGATCAGTTTTGGCTCTGGGCAGTTTTACCACCATGAATCTTCTTACTATTGCATTGACAATCCCCTTGCTGGGGAAAGGTGTACTGGCATTGAATGCAGCCGAATGGCGCAATCAATCGATTTACTTTCTCATGACGGACCGATTTGCCCGGACAGATGGCTCCACCACTGCCGCTTGCGATGTCGGACAACGTGTATGTTGACGTCCTTTGATTTTGGTCTGGTACTAACGATGACAGGGGTATTGCGGCGGAACTTGGCAAGGCATCATTGATCACGTAGGTCAACAGCCTTGCAATTTATCTATGAAAAGCTCTGACCAAAAAATAGCTCGACTATATCCAAGGCATGGGGTTTACCGCTATCTGGATCACGCCAATTGTCGAGCAAATCCCGCAGACAACACCCGAGGGAACAGGGTTCCACGGGTACTGGCCTCAGAATATGTAGGTCCTGTGAGCTGCAGGTGACCGAGGTCAATGTTGATCCCATACTCCGTAGATATAATGTCAATCCGCATTTTGGCACCGCCGATGATATTCGGGCATTGTCCAAGGCTCTTCATGACCGGGGAATGTACTTGATGATGGACGTTGTGGCCAACCACATGGTACGTGTCATCGTCTTAATCAAACAGCTGTTCAGCTTCTCACACAGCATGATATGTAGGGGTTCAACGGCCCTGGTACCTCAACAGACTTTAGTACCTTTACACCTTTCAATTCAGCGTCCTACTTCCACTCCTACTGCCCCATCAACAACTATGATGATCAATGGCAGGTGGAAAATTGCTATCTCGGAGATAGCGTGGTCTCTCTGACTGATCTGAATACACAAAGCTCGGCAGTGAGGGAAATATGGTATGACTGGGTGAAGGATCTCGTTGCAAATTACTCCGGTAAGTCTTGTCTTTCCGTTGTTGTCATGCCGATATCTGAGAAGAACAGTCGACGGACTTCGCATCGACACCGCCAAGCATGTCGAGAAGGACTTTTGGAGTGGCTACACGCAGGCTGCTGGAGTCTATTCTGTTGGTGAAATTCTCCATGGAGATCCTGCATATACCTGTCGTTACCAGGGTTACTTGGACGCTGTCATGAACTACCCAATGTAAGTTTGCCCGCCGTCTCGCGCAAACCTCATCTGACGCCATAGATACTACCAACTCGTTAACGCTTTCAAATCCTCGAGTGGTAGCATCAGTAGCCTTTCAAATATGATCAGCTCGGTCGCTTCTAACTGCAAGGATCCCACTCTCCTTGGGAATTTTGTCGAGAACCATGACAATCCCCGATTTCCAAGGTAGGCTACGCCCCAGGGCCCTATGATGCTTATGCTAACGATTACAGTTATACCAGCGACATATCCCAAGCCAAGAGCGTGATTGCCTATATATTCCTCACTGACGGCATTCCTATCATTTACTCGGGCCAAGAGCAACATTATTCCGGTGGCGCGGATCCATACAACCGTGAAGCTCTGTGGCTTTCTGGATATTCCACCAACTCGGAACTCTACAAGTTCATCGCCACGACAAACAAGATCCGCAGACTTGCCATCTCAAAGGATTTGAACTATCTCCCGGCCAGGGTAAGTCAGGCAGCCTGTCATTGTAACCACCATACTAAATCTGTAAGAACAATCCCTTCTACACAGATAGCCACACTATCGCGATGAAAAAGGGCTCCGGAGGCTCCAACGTCATCACGGTCCTGACGAATTCCGGCTCCAACGCCGGCTCGTACACTCTCAACTTGAACAGCCATGGGTATTCGTCCGGCTCAAGATTGACTGAGTTGTACACGTGCTCTTCCGTCCAAGTCGACTCAAACGGCAACCTACCTGTCCCAATGGCATCTGGTCTCCCTCGTGTGCTCGTTCCAGCCGCTTGGGTATCTGGAAGCGGACTATGCGGCGGTTCGGCCACCTCTAGCCTGGCCACCCCGACAGTGTCTTCTACCTCTACTGGCACCTGCGCTCCCTCCACGACGCTTCCAGTCGTTTTCAATGAGCGGGTGGCCACCTCGTATGGGGAGAATATCTTCATTTCCGGTTCAATCGACCAGCTTGGGAACTGGGACACTTCTAGAGCGGTTGCACTGTCTGCTAGCGGATACACCTCTTCGAACCCGGTGTGGAGTGTGAAGCTGGATTTGCCTGCCGGTACCCATTTCCAGTACAAATTCATCAGGAAGGGGCAGGATGGGAGTGTTATATGGGAAAGTGACCCTAATCGATCGTATACTTTGCCTAGCGGGTGTGCTGAGACCGCAATAAGCATCGTTGATTCGTGGAGATAATTCCCTAGCGATCAGGACCTGTGAACCTTTGATGTTTCGGTGGCCACCTTCACAGTAACAGCGCTCACAAAGAAAGGGTTCGCATCCGTCTCGCTCCCTAATCAGTGTGAAAATACGATGCTATAGAGAAGGATTGACCACACCCATTTGGCCGGTTGTTGGTCATATTGGGGCAATTCTCAAATCATGCTTGAAGAGTTGAAGTAATGGACCCCAACTCTGAAAGTTACATGACCGTGAAAAGCAGCTTTAATTCAGTTGTGTGGACTTACAAAAGTGTGTGTGTACTTCCCCCCTCACGGCGATGGTTGCGATCGGAGGAAAAGAAAGAAAAATCTACTACATCGGCAAGGATCTCACTTGACCAACTGTGTTCGTAACTCGACTTGCACATTATATAACAAAAATCAACTAGAAGAAAGGTCCAATATCATTCAAAGGTTGATATTATTACTTGTGCTTTCACTCCTTTACCTCTTGCATCGTCCCCTATGCGAACAAGGCCGCAAGAGGGGAGAGTGACTCCACCGGCAGGCATGGCACGCTTTCGCGGTCTCATATTGGTTCAGTCGACAATATTCCTTGTTCTCACAGCTCGTTAGATCAAACCCAATGCTAATAGTTGCTCCTTTCATACGGTATAAGAACGACGGGGGCGACAGACACGGGTAGCACGTGAAATGTTATGTTCTATATAACCGACTTAGGGCCTCAGTCTAGTGGTCATGTCGAGACATGCGATAACTTACGGCAAGAACATGTCTTATACCCCGCGATTCGCTTTTTCTGCTGTTATGTATACTAATAATCCGGTATCTTTGGCACTTCCGCTGCCGTAACATTAGGTACCGGAGCCATCTGTGGGGTACATTAATCTGTCCTAGTACATTTGGCTTTCTCTTCAATCGATCCGCAAATTTGGACCCGCCGGAGCTAATCCCTGGCCCCATTTGTCCGATCACATCACGGAGCCGCTATATTATCGGAGATTTACTTTGATTTTCCCCCCAGTTTTGGTTACGATCTACTTGCATTGACGTGGCGGCATTGCACTGAGACTCCTGAAGTACGTAAAGATCTAACGACCCCACGGGTAGACTGCGGACTACAGAAAAGAATAAGGCTTTTCAACCAACCAGGCTTGCTGAATCCCGGGGCTAACGGAGAGAGCAATGTCGCCGGTTAGACAATGGCGAACAGTAGTTAGACCTGAGCTTCTGCAGTCTCAAGCCATTACTTACCAGTATTACTCCTGCGAGGAACCTATACTCATCGCTCCGGTCTATCCTACCCTATCAACGGTCTCCCCTAGTTTGCTATGCTCGGGCGAATGGATCACCACATAAATTCGTCTCTTGCATCCACAGCTTGCGGCCGTTTGCAGTCGATTCCCGGTGTCTCTTAAAAGCAGCACGCTTTTATCCGGTGGGAATGGACAGCACATCCGCTCCTCACGTTGTATAAGGTTATATTCGATTCAATGAGATTAGAGTTTGGCGCTGGATGAACCAAATTAATACGCCAACAACAAAGTAACGTACCGCAGATTTAGGCTATATCCTTTGGGTGCTTTGAACCTTTTTGCTTTTCATGTATCTGCACCTATAAATTTGTCGTGAAACTGGAGGATGGCTTGAAATTAAAATGAATGCGCTGGGATTGCAACAATCGACTGCACGATATTCATTCGCGGCCTTGGAGTCCGCTGATCAAAAACACAATATGGCACTAGTCACGCTCCTCGCAGCGGGCATCTATCTCGCTAGCATAGCGAATTCCTTGGCTGTGACACATTCCAGCAATAATAGTGAGCCAGGTTCTCCAACCATTGACCTTGGATACTCGAAGTACCGTGGTGTCAGACTTCCAGGGGGTGTGGATCAGTTCCTGGGGATGCGATATGCACGGGCACCTGTCGGTGAACTCAGGTTTAGAGCGCCACGGGAGCCAGAGTACGAGTACGAAGAACAAGACGCCTCCCAGGTAGGATATGTCCCAAAGAATGCTGTCGGTAGCAATACCGAAGCTTGGACTAACCCGACTTGCTTCATTATAGTTTGGCGCTCTCTGCCCGGGTACCGGACAGCAACCTGGCAACGGTCTAGATGAGGACTGCCTTTTTGTGAATGTGTTCAGACCCTCAGAAGCTACTCCAGAGTCTAAGCTGCCGGTATTGATATATATTCAAGGTGGCGGGTACGCAGCAATGGGGAATCCAAACTATAACGGCACAGAGATCATTCGGTCTTCCGGTGGTAACATGATAGTAGTATTGTTCAACTACCGCGTCGGCGTCCTTGGGTTCCTCGCCAGTAACTGTTTAGGGCACGAGGCCGACTTAAACGTCGGCCTTCTCGACCAACGCCAGCTATTTCTCTGGGTTCAGACGCATATCGGCAAGGTGCGTTGACGGATCTCTGCTAAAACTACAGACATTGACCACGATCTTTACTTTAGTTCGGTGGCGATCCGAGTCATGTTGTCATACAAGGCTCGTCAGCTGGAGGTGGCTCCGTATCCCATCACCTCACGGCCTACAGAGGCCGCGACAAAGAGCGCTTTTTCGTCGGAGCAATCCTGGAGAGTCCGTTTTGGCCAACACTTCGAACTGTCTCGGAGATGGAGTTTCAGTATCAGCGGTTGATGGGATCGACTGGCTGCTCCTCTGTGGGTTGTCTACGAAAGATGAGCCTTTCTGCTCTTCAGGCGGCGAGCGGCGGCTCTGCCTTTCCTGACACCAGACCTGGCGACCCCCTACCGCTTTTCTACTGGCTACCCGTCATTGATGGCAACTTGATCCCCGACCAACTCCATACCCTCTTCGCGACCGGCCAGTTCGCCCATGTGCCCATGCTGGTGGGCCACGTTGCCAACGAGGGCTCATGGTTTGCCAACAATGCGTCTAGCGCCGCAGAGGTCTCTTCTTTCCTTCGCTCCAACTACCCCCACCTCAAAGAGACTCAGCTAGAAGAGATCAGTCACAAATACGCGAATATGGCTCCGCTCCCTGGCCACGCAGCCTTCTTCCCTAGTGCTTCGGCTGCGTATGGTGATGCCACATTTGCCTGCCCTGCCAACGAGATGGCCAGCGCTGTAGCCCGCTTTGCTAGCGCTGCTGAGGTGTGGAGTTACCGGTACAACGTGCTCGATCCGGAGATTGTGGCTGGTGGCTACGGGGTTCCCCACACCTTCGAGATAAGCGCAGTCTTTGGTCCAGGACAGGCGGGCTGGGCTGCAAGCTCTTACTACACTACTAATGCTCCCATTGTGCCCGTTGTCATGGGGTACTGGACGAGTTTTGTGCGAAACTTGAATCCGAACACTTATAAACACTCCGACTTGCCAGAATGGGAGACTTGGGGAAATTTGTCGGGCTCGCAACTCCGGCTGCAGACCAATGACACAGCAATGGAAGTGGTTCCCGATTGGCAGATCAGGAATTGCACAATGTGGAGGTATCTTGCACACACGATGGAGCTATGAGCAAATTGTGGTGTAATGAGGAGCCGGCAAAGCAGAGGCCCTAATTATGGAATACATATAGTATAGTATACACAGTGGTAATATTAGGGATCTCTAAGAAGGTCAGTTCAGCCAGTGGGACTTTCGGATCTTGTTGTTCTAGCTTATCGAACATGCACGAAAATTAAACACTGGCAGTGGTTGCAATCTGGAGCGAAGATTTTAAGTATTGCTGAATCAAAGGGAACGAAACTAAGAAAGAAGACAAGGAAAGAAACTATCTAGAGGGAAGAAATAGGCAGCATGCCCCCGCAAGGCAAACCCTTCCAAACCTTCCAAAAATAGAGATCATTTGTCCGACGACGCTTTTGCTTCGTGTGGCATCCCAAGCCGTACCTTAGCCGTAACAGGCAGATCATACTGATAGCTGTGTCTTGAGCTTATGGTGTTTTCCCGACGTCCTGGTACTTATACCTTGGAAACACAAGATCCAGAACTCTTCCACATAACGATAGATAAAATGACCCAGAGCATTCTGGATTACTGATGAATAGCCGTAACTTTATCCAATTCATTGCAAAACGCCCGAGGAGTTTGCCACCGAAGTTCCATAATCTGGCAGAAGGTACAAAGGGAGATATTGAACAAAAATAGGGAGAGCTTGGGGACACATACAGCATATCCTGCTTCCGAGCGTCCCCGTATCGCACAGTTGAGATCTATATATCGATGGCCAGCTGGTGAGTGACCCCATTTGATTGCATATAGACTCGAACAACACGTTCTGATTAGTAGCAATATCTGCAGCAGAGACAGCTGGTTTATAGAGATAGGATGTGTGTGGAATCAGCGTGTATGACGAGTAATGAATGTAGTATCTCGTTGTGAGTATCTTCGGTAAGACTGTGGTTGCATAATCGGTATACTTGGACCGCACTCTGGGCACTCTGTGCGTACATAATGAGAGTGTGTTAGCTATAATCATAGGATTAGAAATGAGTAATGTTCTCTTTTCTCTCCGTAACCTTGGAGTAATGGCTTGATCATTTTTAAGTGCACTCTGATGTGATTACAGATGCTGCAAGGTTGCGCCAATGTTAATGTGAAGAACGTTATTTAGAGCTCAATCTAAAAGACGAATCAGATTTAGGTTCTGAATATACAACTAAGTAGATGGGTTGTGCAAGCACCTGAAATATCAGGAGACCCCAGGCTAATAGGGCGATGGCCCAGGACTTTAAACCACACATGAGAGAAAGTGCTAAATGAGTGAATGGTAATAAAAGAGTGAGTTTGTTAGAGACCTGCTCTCCATCCAGCAGCAAGCACTGTAGTTATACCTTTTGACCAACCCTCCCTAGCTAGGTATCGAGTGCTATTCAGCGTCACTTTGACTGATATCTTGAGAGCCAGAGATGATAATTAGCCCTGCATACAATCCATGCAACTTAATTAGTTATTTTGAAACCATCTCTAATTGGAAGTCCTGGTCTCTAAGCGAACTCTTGGAAAGAAGCTATATCCAAGCCTCGGTTACATCGCTTATACAACTAGACCAGGGTCACCCATCCGACACGAACGCCAAGGATGCCAAGGGAGTAGTGTTCTTTATTCCCTATTAATATGATCTTAATACTACCTAGTTTTCGTGTATATCTGGCGGAAACCCTGAGTCAAAAAGGGGATGTCTGGCAAGACAGACCAAAACACCAACGAAATGCCGCAACGACCACGATATCCTTCCAAGTCAGCCATTGTGCACATGGTATTGCGCATAGCAGGCATTCTCGTCAATATTGTCTTGCTCGTCTTTCTCGGTAGTTTGACTGAGATTTACCATGAAACTTACCCAGTAGCTTATGTGGCCGTCTGTATTCAGCCTTCCTACCCCTACCACACGCACGAAACTAACCACCTTTGCTAGGCTGTCTGGGCTCTCTGCGCTGATGCGCTAGAAGTCGGGGTTCTACTTGACAAGAGTCGCTCTATTCCACGCTTGTCTGGCGGAGGACAGCTGACTCTGGATTTGATTGGGCTTTTCCTGCTTCCAGGTGCGGTTCTTAATTATTTCATATCCAATCCACCCCGGGATTATGAGCCCTCTCGTGGGGTGGATGAGGCAAGTACGTGGGTAGGTAATGTACTCTGGGTGGGTGCTGCCTGCCTGTAGGTAGACTCCTCGGTCTTTTCTCCCAAATTACATTGCATGCTGACCGTCCGAAGTGGTATAAGGCTCATCCTATCAGTGGCCGTTTGTGTGGATTTTTGCCTGGCCCGTCGTCGGAGACAGGGTTAGCAACACAGGCACTAGTGCAATGTAACGACAGACTTCCACTGCTCTCTGTCGGATGAGATTTGTCAGAAGTGGTAGGTGTAGAGAAGATAATATATACCATGTGCAGGAAGTGAGCTTCTGTGAGATCACTTGGCACCAAGTCCACTATGAAGTTTTGCTTGGCTGTGATGAGAACTCAATCTATCCGTTCCGCGTCGCTGCTTGTGGTGGAGGCATTAATGTGATGGTGCTGCCAGAGAAGCAGACATTATTAATATTTTCTCACCCTCCCTGGGGGCATGGAATACATTTGTAAAAGTACGGTGGAATTAAACCCAAATAGGCGAAGGTCATGGGAAAGCATCTAGTATCATATTGTGGTGACAATTCCACTTGCTGGCAGAAAGCTCGATAGCTTGTTGAAACTGACGGAAGGTGTTGACACTACCATTGATTTATGGCGTCTGTCTGTGCAAGAGCATCGTCAGGTTTCATCTCTTAGGCAAATACGTCCGTAGCCTACTCCCTCACGAGCTCCCAAAGTTATTCGTTGCCTCGGTTTCCCCCTTCCAGGAATTTGAAAAACGTGAGTGAATTTCCATCGGGGTCCTTGATTGTAAATTGTCGGAAGCCCCAAGGCTTGTCTTCGATGTCCTCGGAACACTCCACTCTGATTTGACTTTTGAAATAGAGGTAATAATCGTCGAGCTCGCGAGTTCCCAGACCGATCATGGCGTGTGATGACTTGAATGTTTCAGGTGTCACCTTCGAGATAAAGAAATTCGCATCCGCCTTCTTGCCAACAAACAGAGAGCAGAAATATAGTTCAGATCCATTGTCCTCAGGTTTGACGCTCGCAAGTTCAAATCCCAGCGTCTTGGTGTAGAAGTCGACTGTGAGAGGAATCGAGCGGGACTCGAACATGGGAATTACTTTCCATGCTGAAAGGAAGATATCTGCTATACACTGAGATGGTTGGTGGTTTCAAAAAGGTTCTTTATCTTCGGCAGCCGATCTTGCCAGATCCTCTGCTCGCCAACTCGACATTGACTGTGGCTTATTGTTGCCTAGCAGTACAGTCATTTGCGACGACGTCTGCAAGCATTATCTAACGCCAATTGGGTTAGTGTCCTTGATAAAGACACCAACCCCTATGGAGTACACTGGTTGTGGATTGGATATGGATTGATCCACACCAAGGTATCTTTGGTCTAACCCATGCGGATTAAGGGTTGATCCACCAGCTATTAACCCACGCTTATACCCATATGGATTGGATTGCGGATAATTAATATGTCCATACTGTCTAGTCAGGCGACATCTAGTATTTAGATCACCATTTCCTTTCTAGTATTCTACCCACACCACTAGGATATCTATATACTGTATACTGTATATGATAATGTAATAAGTCATTATATGCATAGTAAATATTACATATTGTATAGGCTGAAGAACCTTATATAGGGGGCTAAGGGGTGACCCTAAAATTAGCGTAAAAGCAACGCAGTGATATATATACCTTACGACCATCTTGATCACCCTCATCTGAAATCTAGAATCTACCATAACCCTGATGTTTCCTGGTAAACCGAATGTTTTTTTATTTTATATATAGATACATATTACTATTCTTCATCTATATATATAAAAATATTGCCCTATCTAGCCAGACAAGACTAGATAAGATAATAAGCATATTAGTGATTTAGTTCTAGGCGGCCCTAAGTTACCTGCACCTAATGGTTACCTACATCTATGTAGATTAGGTCAGGTTGACCCAGTTATCTAAGGTTGAATTAGGGCCCATCCTTACCCAATCCAAAGTGCAGATTAGGCGGGTTGATGTGGATTTGCGGGTCGGGTCTACCAGTTTAGGACTCCCTTAACGTAGTTCCCTTGTCGTTTGACCGCGAAGCAATTAGCAACAACGCAGCAACGCAGATATCAATATAAATCCGCTGCCGGTTAGCTTACTCTATTTTTAACTCTTGTCTTGCTGCTTTCCGCGCGTAGAAGGGCATAGAAGGATGTTATGTGTCAAACATCGGACGCAGATGAATGCACACATCGGCTGACATGTTGTCGATATCAAAGATAGCGATGTGGTAGCGATAGGAAGAAGCCTGGTAGAAGCCATGAAAACGAGCATGACTTGCATTGAGCCTACTTACAGAGAAACAGCGCTAGTATTCATGTCATTATGGCTGTAAGCTAAATTCATCCTGCGGGGTGACTATGACTTTAGCCGGACCCCGCCTGTTATAATACTGTCCATTGGCACTGATGACATTGGTTTCTGTTGGAATTCCCTTGTTTTTTAAGCATTAGTTTCAATTATCATGTCGTCAATCAACCCTATCGTACCAGGTTTCGCACCAGATCCGTCTGTCGTCAAAGTAGACGGATGGTTTTTCCTCGTCAACTCCAGCTTCCATCTATTTCCTGGTCTGCCCATCTATGCCTCGCAGGACCTCATTTCGTGGCGACATATAGGTTTGTGTCCTCACAGGCATGAAATTACGAGTGCAAAACTAATGCAGGACCAGGAAATGCTATTAATCGCCAATCTCAACTGAGTCTGTCCAAATCGGAGACGGACCTACACCCGTTGCCCACGGGTGAAGTTCTGGTGGCCACCGGAGGCTTATATGCGCCCACAATCCGATACCAGGACGGCATCTTCTATGTCGTATGCACAAATGTGGTTCGCACAGCCACCGGCGACTCCAGGCAGAACTTCGTCATCTCAACCAAGGATATCTGGGCCAACAACTGGAGCGATCCAGTGTATTTCGAATTCAATGGTATTGACCCGAGCCTCTTCTTTGATGGCGACGGCAAGACATACATTCAAGGATCCGCTGCATCCGATCCTCTCACCACGATCAATATGTTCGAGATCGATCTACGCTCCGGCAGAAAGCTCTCAGAGGAGAGAACGATATGGCGCGGTACCGGTGGTATCTACCCAGAGGGCCCACACCTGTATAAGCAGAAAGGCTATTACTATCTGATCATTGCGGAGGGCGGCACCCATGAAGGGCATATGGTGACCATGGCGCGATCAACGGACATCTGGGGTCCGTACGAAGGGTGTCCCAACAATCCGATACTCACAGCGCGAGACACCGACGAGTACATCCAGTATACTGGGCACTGCGATGTGTTTCAGGACGACAGGGACCAATGGTGGTGTACGTGTCTCGGCGTGCGGAAAGACAAGAATGGCCGCTATATCATGGGCCGAGAGACCTTCCTGACGCAAGGGAGCTGGGACGGAGATTGGCTCTCCCTGGAGAAGGTCGAACTGATACCGCGTGGCCTTCTAGCCAGCGACGAAGGGAAACAGCTCATTGCCAATCCCGGCCTTGACTACGTCTACATACGCGATGCCAATCTGAGCAATTACACCCTACCCAGCAGTACCGGTGACTATCTGACCCTGACTGCGTCAACCGCCGATCTGTCACATCCTGAGCTCAGTCCTACGTTTGTCGGTAAGAGACAGCGCCAATTACATGGATTGAGTAGTGTCAAGCTGGAAGCTGTGCAGCCAGCTTGGGGTGCGGCAAAGCTGCGGGCTGGAATGGCCTGCTACAAGGACGAGCATCGCTTCCTCCGAATATACTATGACGCTACAGACCTTGCTATTGTTACTGAGGTAATCAACAAGCCAAAGGGGATTTGTCGACAGGAGCGGCAGACACTCGAGAGTCTCCCCAAGTCAGTAGTGTTTCGAATGCAATATACTGAACAGGAGTATCGGCTATTCTACACTGTTGGAGATGCCGTTCAGTCGAATTGGACGTGTGCATCGACGATTGACACTCTGGATCTGACTGGCCCCGATTTTACAGGCCCGGTCATTGGTGTTTTTGCGGTGGCAGAGACAGCAGATACGGCAGTTCAGTTTGGAAACCTCACGATTTGCTAGATGATATGGCGTTCGTACCTCGAGACCTCAATTAGCCTATGAACTGAATACATCAATTTACCTCAGGCAAAGCCAAAGTCACGTCCACCTGTCTCCGTTACTTTGCGCTCAGAAGCATGGCGCTGGCTTGCCAACAATCGCAGGGATCGAACTGAAACAATGCGAATTCAGCCTATTCTCGGGGCATCGCTGGTTGGCTGGACTGTCTTGTTATTTGTTTGCCAGTAACCCTTTATGGAAGTCTGTTATATTGGCGTGTCTTGGAAATCCTTGGGCTCTGGGCATCGGCTCAAGGAGTCTTTGTTACTTGCCGAGTATTGCCCATTCAAGCTGGACGGAGTATTCTCCCGGTGGAGATCCCAGCACGCCACTCCGTATTACGAATGGAATCCTGTCCGTTTCCTTTGATAAATAATGGATCTGGATTGCTGTTTATTTCCCCGTGGACATGATCTCCAAAATGCGGGGTTGATCCCGGCTGAATGTACCTGTATAACCGGTCAATTCACGATATTCTTAGCCATGTTGTTATGATGCTCTGATACTATACAAGAGGCCATTCCCGGGCTTCTTGAGTCAGGCCATCCTTCTTCCATACTGTATGACTGTGTCTGTCATCTGAACTTCAACTGATTTGCCATCTCAATCCTTCAACATGGGCTTCCGACTTCGACCTCCCAAGCAGAGCCAAAGGGTCCTCCCTGTAAAGCCTCCAAAAGGTCACTTCTTCTTCGCGGGCAGGGAGTTCGCTCGTCTCCCCTGGTGGAAGCGACGGAACATGCGCACGCTCTATATTTTCATCGTCATTCTCATTCTCACCAATACGGCCAATGGCTTTGACGGCTCGATGATGAACGGACTACAGAGCCTGTCCTATTGGCGGAATTACTTTAATCATCCTCGCGGCTCTATTCTCGGTCTCTTCAATGCGTCGATGAGTCTCGGCTCTTTGATCGGTCTCTTCATCGTCCCATACCTGATCGACTGGGCAGGCCGAAAGATTGGGTTGGTTATTGGCTGCCTGGTCATGTTACTCGCTGTCGGGCTGCAGTCCGGTGCCAGGAATTTCGGCATGTTCGTCGCGGCCCGGATCATCCTCGGTTTTGGGGACTGTATCGTCCTAGGAAGTGCGCCTCTTTTGATTGCTGAGATTGCTCATCCTCAAGATCGGGCCATCCTCGTCACGCTGAGTGGAGCGTCGTACCATTCGGGAGCATTCATTGCCAGCTGGGTGACCCTTGGAACTCTACAGATCTCGGTAAGTTCACCACAACGTTTCTGCACAGGATGCTGAGATGCTAATGATATACTTTCGTAGAGTGACTGGTCATGGCGCTTGCCGAGCTTACTACAAGCCATCTGCACCGTAGTCATTATTGCCGGCATCTGGTGGATGCCCGAGAGCCCTCGTTGGCTGATGAGCAAAGGACGACACGAAGAGGCTCTGGAGATCCTGGTAAAGTACCATGCCGAAGGTGACCACAATGATGAGTTTGTGAAGCTTGAATACTCGGAAATCAAAGCAGCTATCGCCCTGGACAAAGAAATCGGTCACACTGGCTGGGCAGACTTTTTGCGGTCCAAGGGAAATCGCAAGCGGATTGCTTTGATTACGGCGCTTGGTCTCTTTAGTCAATGGAGTGGGAATGGTCTTATCTCCTACTACCTCAAATATGTCATGGATAGCGTCGGAATCAAAGACGCCCAGACTCAGCTTGGTATCAATGCAGGCATGAAGACCGAGGGCTTGGTCGTCAATTTTGTCTTTGCCTTTTTCATCGACATTCTCGGACGACGACCAGTGTATCTGGTCTCAACGATTGGTACATTCGTCGTCTTCAACGCCTGGACCATTGTGTCAGCGCGGTATGAGATTGCGCCAAACAAAGCGCTCGGCTATGCGTTTGTGTTCCTCACCTTCCTGTATGGAGTGTTCTATGATATCAAGTGAGTACCCTGCTGCCATGTTCCGAATCCCCATTGACGACTGGATAGGTCCGGCCTTATGGCGAACTATACAACGGAGATCCTCCCCTACGGACTCCGAGCCAAAGGCTTCACCTGGCTCAACTTTTGCGTCACTGCTGCTCTCTTCTTCAATCAGTACATCAATGCCATCGCCCTTGATGCCTTGGCTTGGAAGTACTACATTGTGTACTGTGTGTTCCTGGGATTCGAAGTGTTCGTGATTTACTGCTTCCTCATTGAAACCCGATACACCCCTATGGAGGAAATTGCCAAGTATTTCGACGGCGAGGACGCTGTTGATGTCGGTCAAGTTGCTGCTGCAGACTTGAAGGAGCAGGGCATAATAGCATCGAACGACAAGGGTACGGCCACCGTTCACATTGAAGGGAAAGAGTAGGTTGTTGAACGTGGTTTTGTTGGGCATGGAAGGAACTGGACGTGATCATGCTGTCAACAATAACCGAGATACCCTGCACGAGGACTCTTGATTCATTCTTCGACATGACCCTTTTTATTTCAAGATCTCGCTCGAGGCTTGCTCTTTTCCAACACCATCTGTCATGTAGTCCCGAGCTAGAGACTTGACGTACCGTCAAATCAAAACATATTTCTAGGGCTTTAGCTGTCTATGATCCCTCAGACCCACTTAAGGTCTTGAAAGCTGAGAAAGGCCAGGAGGTGATGTAGAATATTGCAATGGTAGAAAGTCGGAATACTAGGAGCACACATCCTTCTAGATACACACAAGGCATTCCAATCCAGTGGTAAGACACTCCCTTTGTGACTGTAACCATGGTGACTATGCTAGTGACCGAGTTCTAGTTGAGACCTAACTGGAAAAGCAGCTCTCTCGCCTCTTCAATATGTAGTTTTGACTTCACTGAGTCAGCAGGGTTGATATTGACACAGTCTCCTTTCATGGCCTCCGCCTTATTGAAGACGCCGTACTTGTTCCACGCACTCAGGAGTGTCTCGAATTTGTCCGCTCCCCTTTGTCGGTAATATAACTTTAGGTCATCAAGGTACGTGCTCAAAGGACTAGCAGGATCTGTACATTCGAAGACTAAATGAGAGACACGCTCAATGGATCGCTTGATATCCATTTCACCGAGTGCTCCACGTTGAAGGTCATGGCTGGCCGCCTGGATCCGGTCAATCACATCACCGTGCCGATAGGTGTCGTCCGGAATCCGAAGGACTTGGGAAGGACTATTAATTACTGCATCCTGGAGTTTGAAGTATGGTTTTCCCAATGATGCAACAACTGATGCTGTGTGCTGGCCTTCGAATATAGTAGGCAGATCGGCCTGTTTGAGGACCTCGACGAAGGATTCCGGGGAGACGAACCCGATGTCAACATATAGTATCTTGACACGGAAATCACGATCCGAGGATTCAAACCATGAGATCGCTATTGGTAGGTCTTCGGGTGCGTGAATGCAACGGATACAGGTGGAAACGTTTCCAGAGCTCGAAAGCGACGCCTGTGCAAATGTTGGACAAGGCTTCTGGCCACAGATGTAAGCTTGCAGCCTGGCGAACGCGTCATTGCAGAATTCGTCAAATGTGACCACCAGAATACGGCGGTGATGCGTTGTATCTACTGAAAATGCGCGCAAAAGGGCCAGGAAATATACATAAAGAAGATTGGCCGGGTCGATTCGGCAGACTCCATCACGCCTCACGCCATATACGCAGGACAGTAACATAGCCGAGTTTTCGCCTTTGGATGTCAGGAGCTGTTGCACGACAGCATCATTCTTGCCTTGACGATCGGGTTTCAGCGGATGCTGCAGGATGCCAGGGAGCCGGTAGGCCCTATGGAACAGCCTCCAGCCGAGATAGTCCTCGCTCAGCAAGTCCACTGACGACTGGTTACTTTGATTGCAAAAGTCAATGCCATCCCTGCACCATGGCCACTGAAATGGCTGCGCCTTCAGGGCTGTTCGAACATTTAGCATGTCCGCAAGGCTGGAGTGATAGACCCTCCCGATCTCCGCACCCCCGGTCAAACCAAAGTCCACTAGTTTGCTGGTGCGAGCTGCGAACTCTTCAGTCGAGCGCCACTGGATCCGAGTGACGTGCAATTGCTGTGGTAGGCGTTCTGGGGCCGCAGGATTGGTGTGGCGCTGTAGGAGTTGTACTAGCTTAGGTACGGTCCACCCGTTTTTCTGGTTGCCCCGGTCGTACACCACTGTGATCAGACCGGGATACGCGTAGTCCCAGGACAAGCGTAGTAGCAAATCGACAGATGATGCTTGATGTCCAAAGTTGGGAGTGCCCGCTATGAACAGCCGAATCTCCTCATATGAGTGAATCCGCGACAGTGCTTGGTTAAGGTCCTTTAGCATTGGATTTTCTGGCGTCACGTCTAGAGGTGAGGTAACATCCCTTGGCCCCTCGTCAGGGACATGAGGCTTCATTTTCTGTCTATCTTCACTGAGAGGGCGGAGTTCAAACTGTTGGAGATCCCCTTATGCAATGGAATGATGTTTCCGTCTTTGACGTCAGTCTGACCTGTCTCGGATTGAGACCACGAACCGCCTGAGAAAGACCGTTTTCCTCGCTTCGAGCAACGATTCGATGCTTTTAAATCCGCGAAAGGAATCAACCCATTCACAACATGGCAATCCCGCAGGACTTTATTTACCAAAGGTACGAGGATGACGCCAGCTATACTATTCTCACGAGTGACTTGGCCTTGACGGCGGACTTGATTGATCCCAAGAGGAACTGTGTCATCTACGCCGATATCCTTACTTTAGACTCCAGCAAAGGGAATCTGGTCTTTCCCGGGCGCAATGTTACTTTCTGCTGTCGGTCATTGAATCCGAATGGCACAACTATCAGCACTCAGCCCCAAGACCCTCAGAACCCGGCGCCGTCGCCAAAGCCTCGAACCAGCGATGATCCGGCTGTGAACAAGGGTAACCCGAATGGGCTCAATGGAGACCCAATAGCAGAAGAGGATTTTGGCCACCCGGGAGGAAATATCACGATCTTAGCCGGTAGCATTGAGCAGCCGCTTACCCTGAACAGCACGGGAGGAAAGGGCCGCGATGGACAGCAGGGCGGGGATGCCGGACAAGGAGCCGATGGCGGCAATGGCCGGGACGATGAACCACAAAGCTCTGGACATTTCCAGTCCCCGAGTGGCACGAATCCCGGGAGTCCAGGGGGCGGTGGTAGAGCAGGGGGGAATGGGGGCAACGGCGGGAGACCCGGATACGGAGGAGACGCGGGCACTATCTCCGTCTTTACTGTCACCGAACCCCGGGATGTTGCTGCGACAGCAGTTGGAGGCAAAGCGGGTAAGCCAGGAAAACCAGGCTCTGGGGCGAGAGGAGGGAGAGGGGGACATGGGGGAAGGCACGGTCACTGGAGGATAGATCACCACGGACACGGGGCCTCCACCATGGAGTTCGTGTATAACGGCAACTATCCCGATGGCCCTGATGGAGCGCACGGCCAGGATGGCCAGGTTGTCCCCGGCCAGGATGGAAATAAGGCTACCGTGACGATCCAGCCAATGGACAATATTCAGGCGACGATTGGGGCCGATAGTCTGTTGTTCGCTCACCTCCAGCTGATGATGCAGGTAGTCAAAGTCCACTATCTCGACCGTGACTTTCAGCGGGCTAAGAATGTCCTGGCTTGGATATTTGGGCTCACGGCTGGCCGGGATAAAGCTGACCATGCTGCCAAGTGGGAGGGCTTGCACCGTCAAGCGGGGACATATCTGTCACGACTGGCCCGAGGACTCGACTTCTTCGGCAACGCAGCCAACTTTGTCCCTCTCGCGTCCTTTAGTCTGTACTGTTCCACCGTCACACCGATGTTAACGCTCGGAGGAACGGTACAAACTGTGTTCGACACTTACACGCAGTATTTGAAAGATCAGACAGCTTACTGCCTTCTGTATATTGCTGGGCGCGTATATTATTACAGGTCTCTATTATTCCGCCTTGCTCTATATATTTAATAAGAGCTTTTGAATGGTGGAACCGAAGTTTATACTCCCTTTCCCAACCGGGTCCTGCCAGGACTGATCCTATATTGATAAGGCAGTCCAGGACATTATATTTTTCTCAAGACATATCTCACTGAAGTTTGTTCTGAGGAGTTTTAGTGTTAATCTGATTGTCTCGCTCCCGTAAGTATGCTCTTGGTTACTGAGGAATTTCCTCTTTTCCTAATTTTTTCCGATAGGAGATTACTGTTCCCCATATAGTTATAAGGGACAGGGATTTGATAAAGTAGATTTATAAACTATAACTAAAGTAACTGGTACAGTAGTAGGATGCAAGGAACAGAGTAGTTAGTAATGAGGTGATATTGATGACAGTCATGGTATTCACAGGATCGTCTGGCGCATTCCATGACATAGTTATTTGGGATCAAAAGAGCAAAAGCCATAGTAGACGTCGTCGTTGTTCAAGACCTCCTGGATACGCTCCTGACAGGAAGGCATATTGTCATATACAAGCTGGCCAACTCGCTAGACAAATTCCAGAATTAGCCCTGTTGCTTGAAAGCCTGCAATGTAGACTTACCCGCCATACATCGTTATGAAAGCTGTTTTCGGGGTAAAACTGGTCGTCTAGCCACCCGGGAGTGTAACAACTGCGGTCCAACGCGTGGCCTTCAATATATGTTTTCCATGGTTCCAAGACATCATTATCACTATATTTGTGGTAATGATCAAAAAAGGGTTTCTCCTGGGATACCAACTAATAGTGAAGTTTACGGTGGTTAGTCTACTTGGTCTCATCCTTACCAGTGGATAGATTATGATGGTTCTCACCTCTTCCAACTTTGTGACAATCTGGTCCGCATCCTCATTGCTTACCGGCTCCTTGACCAGCTCCTCAAGATCGTCCCCAATGTGAGCAACGGTCTTGATAGCCCACTCTAAGTTTTCATAAACCTCCTAGCATCATTTTGTGAGTTGCTATGGTCAGGATCAGCACCTTGGGCTGTAGTGCTTACATCATAATGTTTTTTATTTGATTCCATATCAGTGATTTTCTGGATGGAGGGAACGGCAAGATCCTTCCAGGCCTCGATAGAGTTCTGAATGACTTTGAGGATTTGCGAGTCAACCATTTTGTAGAATTGGATTTATTGGGCTGGGGTCAGGAAAAAGTATGCGAAAGGTTGGTGGTGGACACTTGACTGCCTATTAATAACCAGGTCGGGGCTTTCAGCCAGCCTCAGCTATGAGATCATGTCAGTTCAGCTGTTGTGTTCACATTACTCTATGAAGTAAGGATCATCAATTGATGGAGGGGTTTGCTGCCAAATTTTCAGCTCCGTTGTACTAAACCCTCCTGAGGACTTGATCGATCTACAGACTGGTCGCTAAGAAGCCATTCAGATAACTTTTATTGGGCAACTCTATAATACCGATACAATAACAATGTAAGACAGATAGACACTAAACCCGGGGCGTCAGCATAAAGGCATACACATCCCAGAGGTTCCAGGACTGCTACTGTGGCTGCGTATCTGCAACTTAGCTTCGAGTGCATGCTGCCTATCGAAGGCTTGGTGTTCTCATACTGTAAATGGTTTGGTGATCCGCAGATTGTGCAATGCGTCTGACTATATCCAGCCCAATTCCAAGACGATATCGACTTTTGGATAATGGCGTCTTGAGGGGATTTCTTTTATTCGATACCATGCTTCCAGTAGGATGAATCTACATGTACTATTGAGGTAGTCTTTTTGATTCTCCATTGCTCCAGCACACAAGACATCCATATAAACACACTAGGTTGGATTGACTACATTATCAGCTTATTGACTGCGGTCTAGGCACCACAATGCTTATGCAACATCTTTGCAAGACCAGGAAAGACCAGGGGTATGGTTAATCGCCCTATACCGAGCATCGTATTATTTGTAACACGGACTTTTTTCCAAGGAACTAGAGGCCCGTCTTTATTTGCACGCTCAGTTCCTCGCTAGCAACGCCACAGACATTTCATCTCTTCCTTATACCCGCTGCTCACTTCGCCGTGGTGGAGCCGAAAGCATACGTAACACACGTTTCAGAATAGATCACACAACAACGGTAATACATCTGTAGGTACAGCGAGATCGTTCGACGACCAGAGTTTTCCAAGATCCGTGTTAAGTCGTTCAAGCACGACAAAGTGCACTTGTGTTCGTACTCCGCGAGCTGAGTCAATTGCGTCTCCACATCACCGTCTGACTTGATGCTTTGAGGAGACGAGAATTCGGGAAAGTTGACTGAATTGAGGTTTGATGCAAGGCGGTCTCGCTCAATGCTTCCCAAGTCATTCCAAAGCCTACCTTCTATGGACATCTGCCTCCATAGCTTCTCGGCAAAGTACTTTTCTCTGGCTGTAGTGAAGACTTCTCCACCATTCCCAATCTTACAGATAAGGTATTTGGAGACAAGCGCACTCTTGACGTCATGAACAGCGGATGTATGTAACCAGTCATAGAATGTCTGACCGGTACCAAGTGTAACACGCTCTGTGTCAGAATGTGGACGGCTGCCGTTGAGTGACTTGTGCGCTTTAGCTTGTTGCATAGCAGCCAAAGTCGCCCTCTTCAGTTCTTCTTGTAGCTCGCGTCTATCATATGGACTTGTGTTTGGCTTGAGGTTATCATCCAAAACAAAACGGAACCAGACTCCTATGTTCTGTTGTATGCTCTTGAGGAGAGTAAGAGTTCCCTCATCCACATCAGAGATATTTGTTCCAGATGAAGGTCCGTGGAGAGAATTATCTTTGCAAAGGGCAGTTTCGTGGCAAAGTTCATCAATATAGCCGGTTATAATGCGGGTGGTAAAATCCGGTAGATTCGCCAAGGACTTTTCCATTATTTCGTCTTCTTGGAATATGCCAACGGAAAGTTCAACCATGCTGTAGATTATCCATGTACTCAGGAGATACTCGGGGCTTGAATTGTTAGCCAGTATCCAAAAGCAGGCCGCATATTTGATGTATTTATCTCCGAGAGCTTTTCCGGTCGAGAATACATCCAGCTTCTTTAGCTTGTAGCTAAAAAGAATCGCCTCTATGACTGAAGCTTGGATAACCCACATCGGTGTTTCCATCTGAGATGGCAATCGAGAAAAGTATTCGGCCATCTTAACAACCATTGTTGTTGACATGTCAACGAGCTTATGTGGTATTTCGGCAGATTTGTCGACGGTGTCCTCAGCTTTCACAGCAGCCATGATATAGGAGTCTGATACAGTCGGTATGGCATACAAGGTTTTGTCCAACCAAAGCTGGTCATCTGTCTCTGACCGCTGGCCTTTGGTAAGAATAAACTGGACACCTCTGCTAATGGCATTTGCAACCTCGGCCGATATCATGTCAGTGAAACTGAAAGATGCCACACTTTTCAGAATCAGGAGAGCATAGGCGGTCTCTTCAGCAGAGTCCGAGATTCCCCAGGATCCATCTTGATTCTGGGTGCGCAGTGTTCGGATTAAGGCCTGACAAAGCGTGATCGGAAGTTGGAACTTCATAAGATCGTCGGGTAATGCGGCCAGATGTCCTTCACTCCAGCGCTGGATATAAGACATCAATGCTTCACACATCAGCATCGTCGGATAATAAGGCGAGATATTCTAGTAATGTTAGAGCAAAACCCGTATTTTCTACGATTATAGTTTGACATACCCATTTGTCCTTTACCATTCGGTCACAGTGAAACCATGCCTCGCACAGGTAGCGAATGCATTTTTCAATTTGTGGCTGGTAGCGATCATCGGTTGAAAGCAGCACCAGAGCGGTGAGAACATTAGCATTGGTACTTATGCTAGTATGCGTCTCGTATAGATATGTTGTAAAATGGTTTTCTCGTTCAAATTGATCGACCAATGCTTGTGGCGAGTAGTGTATTCCCTGAAGCGCAAAGGCTGCTAAAGCCTTGGCCGTGTCATCCGCATCAGGACATGCCTTCGGGACTATTCACAGTATGTTAGTGAAAGAAAGCAACGTCCAGAGTAAAGGCACTCTACCGAATCCCACTACTCCATGCAGCTTAATCTCGCTTTCGATCTGCTTGCCAACTTCTTTGAGTCTGCTGTTTGGTTCGATGCCATGGCGTATTAAGTTTGTTGTCACCTTTCCTGGATTAGAATTTTCATCATACTAAGCACATGAACAAAACATACCCATGCCCATTCAAACACTGTGGTTGGATATCCTGCAGCCACAAGCCCTGATCCATGACCAGCTCCGTTGGAGATTGCACGCCGAATGTATTCCTCGGCCTCATCATCCCACACAGGATTATACATCAGATATGCTGCTGTCGCCGATGGCGATGCTAACATGCTGCCAAGAACTTTATAATGGGCCAGCCCTTTGAAGTCGACCTTCCCAATCAAAGCTTCTAATGAGTGCAGAAGAGAAGATTGTGGGCCGCTGAAAATGGTATTCAAGTCGATCTTTGAAAGTTTCTTCGACTGAACCTTGGTCAGGTATGTCCGATCAAAGTCGAATGCGTGCCCCTCCGCTTCCAGGAGATCAAATATCGCTGGTAATCGAAGCTCCAGACTAACAGGCAAGATACTTGTTGCTAGCAAGTGGTTGAGGCTTTTCAAAGCTGTATCCAAATATGCCTTCGCTTTACGGATTCTCAAGTTGAGACCTTGACGGTCCGTCTCACAGGAGTCGCCCGCATGTCGTTGTAATGCAAGAAGAGCTGTTAAGGTGCTGGCAATGGAATCCAATTCCGACGTAGCTCCACCCCAACTACCACATTCGTTTTGCTGCTGTAGAAGGGCCTGAAAGGCAGCTGGAAATGCCCATAGAGCCTTACCTTGGATGGATTTTCTGACCATTGCAATCCATGCGGTATCGTATATATTGCCAGACATGGTACCCAGGCCATAGGTTGGATGGTAAGACCTATCAAAACTCTCCAACAAACTTCGCTCCTTCATATCGACAAGAACCGCCACTGCATTATCATTCATGGTGCTTGAAGGATACCTGAGAATGGAAGGAAAGGAAACTGTAGATGAATGGCTGATGGGTTGGAATGAGTTCAGACATGCCTGGCTTTGGCAACATCTTAAATAATAATTCCCAGCATGCGTCTACTTAGACCAGAGTACAGAACGTATGAGCCTTTCACTGGCTTATCTTTTAGCTTTCGATCGACATAATACGTCGCCATGAGATTGAGGGAAGAGAGGACTGTGGGGCCTCCTGGAGACGGGTTGCTGGTAAGTTCTTTATCGTGTAGTAGTGTAGTAGTTTGCTTATTTTTCAGCGATGCCTCACAACCTCCAGCAGCCACCGGTACGTACCATGTAAGGGTTAATAATATGGCGTACGGAGTAAAACCTCGATCTCGGCAGCTCCGATATAAATCCCCATCCCAAAATTACTTAGAATGAGAACTAGTGGATCTAACTAGTAGGAGAATAGTCCAATAGTCACTTCAATAGTACTGTGGAAGGCTGCGAGACGATCGTGGTGATCGTCGTCGATCATTTCCTGCTACAAAATTTGCCGGCACGGTCGATCCATACTTAATCTATACTAGATCTAAAATACCTACACTGTCTGTGTCGGGAATATCTACTAATCAAGGTGGAAGACCAGTTAATTGAGTAGGGATATGTAGGCTAAGAAGATCAAAGGCAGGGATATATAACCCAACGATGTCGTTTAAAATCGGAGGCCGTGAAAGGAGAGAGAGAAGGGAAAAAGAAAAGAACGTGCTCAAACCAGATCGCCTGCTTTGCCTTGGAGATAAGCCCAGGATTATAGTGGGTGGGGAATACCCTATTTTTCTTTAACTATTTTATTATTATTGTTATTTCTACTCCGTGGTAAAAATTTCTTGTTTTCTTTTCTCTGTTTCTACTGTTACAGGTAAGGTGGCCGAGTTGTCCATGCACCAGGGGCTATACTGCCAGTACAATCACCCACAATCACCCTGCCATTTGATCTGTGATCATCTGAATTACCTGAACTGTTCAAATTACCCAAATTAAATTCAGAATTCTGTGACTTGATGTAAAACGCCAAGATTTCAGTGAAAAATCGCATGTTCACTGCAAGCTAGGGTTTAATCCGCTGTATATAACCTCCGTCGATCTATCTCATGCTGTGGGTCCCTTGTAGCGTCTCAATGTACAGGACTCTCAGCTGAAGATTTCTTGGGTTCAGCCTATAATTGTCTCCCACAAAGCACATTTCTCACTTAGACTAGGAGTACCTTGGGTTGTGGAATACATATAATACCTATACCTCCTCATTTTTTCTGTATGACTTGCGTCCTCTCTTATAGCCTACAATTTCGCTCAAAATCATGGGGGTCATTTCCGCGGTCGCGGCTTTGGCTTCGGTCAACGAGAACTTCATTCTATCTATCCTACTATTCCTCCCAGTCGCCTTGATCGTGCGGAGTATATATCGTCTGTATTTCGACCCACTCCATCACATACCTGGACCTAAGCTAGCCGCAATCTCTCATGCCTATGAGTTCTATTACGATGTCATCCGGGGTGGCATGTTCATCTGGGAAATCGAAAGGATGCACCAAGAATATGGTCCGATTGTACGGATCAATCCCCGTGAAGTCCACATAAAAGATCCGTATTTTTATGACGAGCTCTACGCTCCAGCCCATGGGGGCCGCGACAAGGATCCCAAGTCCGTTGAGATATTCAGTTCGCCCACTGCGTTGGTTGCAACAGTTGACCATCAAACGCATCGCATGCGCCGGAAATTACTCACGAACTTTTTTTCAAGGCGATCAATCGAGAAGATCGAGCCTGTTATTCACGAGTCGCTTTCGACATTCTTGGATGGCCTTATGAGGGCCTACAAGGAAGGCTCTGTAGTAGAGCTCATCGACAGACTCCAAGGGTTGACCGGCGACGTCATCACACAATATGCTTATGGAGAGAGCTTTGGGCTCCAGGACCCCAAGAACTTTGGAAAGGGCATTGTAAAGGTTGTTCAGGAAGGTACGGAGGAAATCCACCTGCACAGGTTTTTCCCTATCATCCAGCGTTCTTTGCGATTAGTGCCCTCGGTCTTCATGACCCGGATCTTTCCAGCCCGGGCAGCAATGTACGACCTGTTGGGTGGGGTAAGAAATAAATCAATAGAGGTGCTTCAGCAGAAGGGCACGTCCAACCCTCCTGAGAGGATGACCATGTTTCATGCTCTTACAGCTCCCGAGGTCCCCCCTGAGGAACGGACGTTGAACCGCCTTGAGGATGAGGGACTGGTTCTGTTCGCCGCTGGTACCGAGACCACAGCGACCACCTTGGGAGTGGCTCTATTCTACATTCTTAATGATCCAACGGTCCTTACAAGACTCCGCAGAGAGGTTGAGCAAGTCATGCCCACTCCGCAAAGCCTGGCAACGTGGCGCCAACTTGAAAAGCTGCCGTATTTGGTATGTACCGTGTATATTTGTGCTGGCCGTTCCTAGGGTCCTGGTTAATAGTTTATTTCACAGAACGGGGTTATTCATGAAGCCCTACGGTTTTCTGGCCTAGCTATGCGGCAACAGAGAGTTTCGCCGACGGAGGTAATCAAATACAAGGATTATGCCATTCCACCTGGGGTATGTTGTCTCTTGATAACCTTCCTGTAACGGCGGGCACCACTGATCAACGCAAGTAGACTCCCGTTAGTATGCTCCAATACTTCTTGCATACAGGTCCAGAACTCTTTCCCGATCCCAAGAGATTTTACCCTGAGCGTTGGATGCTCGCGGCTGAGCGGAATGAGGGGATTTCAAGATTCCTGGTGACATTTGGCAAAGGCACCCGATCCTGTATAGGAATGAAGTAGGTTGACGTCATTTCATTGAGGCATTCGTCCCGCTAACTTCGAATACCACAGCCTGGCCTATGCAGAATTACATACTGTCCTAGCCGCCATTGTCCGTCGATTCGACTTGGAGCTGTACGAGACGACTGCGGAGGATATCCGTTTTGTGCGAGACAAACTGCTTCCACGGGCCAAGGATGGCCCTTGGAGAATCCGAGTGAAGGTTGTTGGTGTCCGTGAAGAATAATGCCTCGCTGCTGCGTATAGCAGTGGAAGAACTGCTAAAAAACAAAAAGTCATTCTCCATGCTGTACATCCTTGACATTGCGCGCATTCGGGAAAAACCACTTTGAGATCTTTCAACACCTAGCTTCGTAGATAATTCAGGGAAAGATTGACTATTACTATTCTATCCTCAAAATTTAGTGGTTTATCTACGACATGAATATCGGATTGAATGGAAATCAGTCGTCATAGTAGGAATCAATCCCTCCCAACCGGTAACCACTCCCCAAAGCGCGCTTCAGCATGCTGTAGCATTATCAGGCATACAATACAAAGCTATACTACTAAATCATAACAAATCCAAGTTCTCATTATATAATTCATTCTCATTCAATAGTCAACCCAACCATAGGATGTAGTAGACGGGCGGACAAAATGACCACTCACGCGAACACTTGTATGCTGATGGAGATCCTCGAGCTTGCAGGCAGGATGCAGATCCTCAGAAGAATACCCCAGAAAAGCGGTGAGAGGGAATGTGAGTTAATCGCTATTTTAGGGTTTGTAGATCCCTTTTTCCGGAAATCACTAGCTATTTCTTGGGATACTAGCAAATCCTCTTCGGGCAATAGTTTAAAACTCTAATTCACTTTCCACAATACGTCCGGGCCTCCTTGTATTTTTCTTGAATGAACCTCGAGATTGGGG